GCAAACCTTGGGAGGATCGTCGGCGTTTCGATCGCGCAGAAACTGGTGATGATCGTGGTTGCTCGTCAACCGGCTGCGCCTCCTCCGCTTCGGTCACTGCCTTGGAATTCTCATCTAGCGTAGATCGCGACTGGTCTGTGGGAGCATTGATAGTATCATCGCGCATCTCCACATCCCCATCTTCATCCACAGCCTGTACATTCGACACCCTTCTCCTCTTGCTCGCGCGCGAGTCCTTCATTGTTGACGACCGTAGATATTTCGCCTTTATCTGGGTTCAAGGGTTTACTGTCGAGCCGCTGAATACCGGAAACTTGAGAACTGCGTACTCATTTCACGGGACCCGGGTTCGTAAAAATGCGAATGGCAAGTATGTCGCACGGTTGGTTTATCGGCGCGAAGGGGAAGGATAGATAGGTAGTGAGGTGCGGAGAACGAAATAATCTCCAATGGCGACCGGTCGGAGCCCAATTGGGGGAGAAAGGTGCGGTTGGTGATTCGGCTAAATGGACTGACTTTCATACAGTCAGAATCCAACAAGTATTCTCCAGGCCACGCTGAGGAAAATGCTGTCGAAGGAGCAACCAGGGTTATGGGAGTTTGTTTCGGACTTCCGGCCTCCCAAGGCGGAGAAGCATTGATGGGGAGCGACGAAATCTTTCAGCCTCAGGCAGCACGCGCGACGCGCGGTCATGTGAGACCTCGTTGAACTATAGCCAGATTCCCATTCTTGCTTCTTGTCCAGATGCCCTCTCAAGGTTCAACCTTGTTTCGGAGACCATTGAAGTTTGTCTGTGTCGGAACCCTATAGGCTTGAAGGTTTGTTGACGGGTCCATTTGGTCTGTGTCTAGTCTGTGACTTTGGTTTGAGGAGGGTAATTGGAAGTATATATTTCGTCCCCGCAATTGACAGCTAGAATCGAACAGTCTTTCGCAAGGCCCAACCAGTTCAACGAAGACGAAGCCAAACAAAAGGGGAGGGAAAGAGATATAAGGGATGGTAAATGGACCATGATATCACAGTCCAAAGTAACAATGCTGAGCATTCACCAGTGAACAAGTGACAACTATTGAAACAACAGCCGTCAACCTCGGCTATTTCCCCCCCAGCAACTCCCCCAACCGACGCAAGCGTATAGATATGCGTCTGTGGTCGACGGATTTCATTGTCCAGACTTGCATACCACATGAGCCCATACTAGCCCAAGCCCAACGATTGTCAAATCCACAATCCAGAAATATCTTCAAGACAAAATGCCTGTACCCACCACCCGCGCATACAACGAATTGGACGAGTTCGAACGTCACGTCCACAGCCTAACCGAGGGTCCTCCCCCCTTAGACCCCGACAACAAAGTATGTATACTGTACTGTACTGTGTAGCTACATGGCCCCCGATTCCAAGTGCATTATATCACTAATGAAATGGCGCCGAAAAAGACATGGGACTACTCCCCGCAAGCCTGCAACCTGCGCTTCGAGTCCGCGACTCGGGGTGCCGGGGCCCCCGCACGATGCTCCTACCTGTTCACCACCGTCCCGGCGCTCTGTAGCTTCGCCGGCAACCTGCACGGCGGTTGCGCCGCCACCATGGTGGACTGCCTCACCTCGGTGCTGATCCTGGCGCTGTCGAGCCCCGGCCGCTTCTCGACGGCGGGGACCACGCGAAACCTCCACTTGACCTACATCCGTCCCGTGCCCGTGGGGACGGAGATGCGGCTGATCTGCGAGATGGTCAATATGGGCCAGCGGATGGCGCTGGTGAAGGCGGAGATCTGTCGCGCGGAGGATGGCAAGGTCTGTATCGTGGCGGACCATGAGAAAGTCAATTTGGATGGCTCGTCGATGTGAAGAGGGACTGGCTGGCTGGGAGGACAATGTTGGTTTGTTGCACCCGTCGGTCGACACTAGCGCTTGTTGTACTACTTCCTCTCTCTCTATCTATTTGCAGAGTCGTTTTCTCTGACCTTCGGGATCCTTCTGCTGACTGTGGTCTTCTGTGTTGTCGACGCTACTTACGATAGAGCATTTTTTACAGCCTTATGTGTTCAACTCTCAGAACAACAATTCTTATTCACAAAAGTGGTGTGGTGCTATGCACCTGCGAGCCGGATTGATATGAACATATGTAGACCTGTCCCTACTGTAATGATATCGTATGCCAGAGACCAAGGGAGCGGACTGAGTCCAAGAGCAATATGTGGTATGTTTCATGAGCGTGAAGGAAAGTCCAAGAGGAATTATGGCTCAAGTCAAAAACGCGCATCCGAAGCGACAAAAAAATTACTGTACCCTAGTATGCAAATGCTGGAGGCTGATTTACTCCACAAGTTTCTGATCTTCCCTGAGACCCTCGACCTTCAACTCTTCGCCCGTCGCACGACGGTAGATGTCCCGGACATCATCTATGAAGATATCAGCAAAAAGGCTCAAAGCCTCTCACCCATGGAATCCGCAAGGCTTACCTGTTGTGGTCTCGAAGTGGGAGGTAGCATCGTAGCTCTTGGAGATGAAGATGTTGTCCTTCTCACCACTCTCGATGGGCTCGTACAGAGGAATAGGAGCGCTGAAGAAGGTCTCCTCAATCTTACCCAAACGCTCGAATCCAGGCTCCAGTTCGATGTGGTGGTTGGCATCGCTCTCGGCAATGGTCGAGACAATGGCGATATAGTATCCCTTGGGGCAGACATTGTGTGCCGAAGAGACCATAGCAATGTAGATATCTGAAGTATATTAGTACGTCATGTGATCAGAGGCGATTGCAAATAAACATACCATGCTTTCTTCCGACCTGAGACTGAGGGATGATAAGTTGCAACGAGTCGCTGCCGTCGGTCTTATCGATGGGGTGGTTGAGGATACAGATGGCCTTCAACAAGTGGCCAGTAACGCGGACCTTGCCAGGGAAGTACGAGGGGTCGGCGAGAATCTTCTTTGTCTTAGTGGTGAAGCTCATGGTCTCGCCCTCGTTGTCACGGTCCTTCATGGTGGCCTTGATTCCGGACACCTTGCCGCTCTCATCATAAAGGACCTCATCCACGGAGGTGTTGAGCATATAAGTACCGCCATAAATAGCAGAAAGACGAGCGAAACCCTGGGGAAGCTCACCCAGGCCGTAAAGGGGGTAGATGTATGGCGATTTGCCGTAACGGGCCATGGAGTTGACATACAGGCGAATCCGGTTGATGGTTTCGGGAGCCGCTCCGGGCTTGAGGAAGTATTCATCGGATTGGTAGAGCGCCATGGAGTGACCAATGAAATCGCGAGTGTTATCCTCCAAGCTGAACTTGTCGTAGACCTCCTTCATTGTGCACTGGGTGATGTCGAGGCCTATCCTATGTCAGTGTCATGATGTAGTAAAAGCACAGCTTCCACGAACCTTGGTGAGTGGAGGGGTTGTTCTCGTTAAATTCGCCCACCCACTCCAAGAACTTCTTGGCTCTCCGCTTCTCAAACATGCCCATGAGGGAAGAACGCAGAGCTTCACCGGCATCCGAGGGCACCTTGGCGACGGTGGCCTTGGGACCCTTTCCTTGCTGGACGTAGCTGCCCGCAATCTGCTTGAACTCTAGGTATCTCGTGACATCGGTGGAAACCAGAATGTTGGTCAAGTCGCCATTGGCCATCAACAGCTTGGGAACCAGGTCGATGTTCCAGTCGTTGACGCGGCCATACTTCTTCCAGGGCTCCTCGCCGGGGCGAACGTTGCCGTACTTCTTAAAGAGCTGCAAGGTGTAAATCAACTGTTAGCAACACTGATACAGAGTATGAAAGGGGCTGTAGATACTCACAGTCTCAATGTTAACAGAGGCAGCCTCTCTGAACGCTTGGTTAGTGATTTGTGTGATGGCAAAGGTGGTGGGAAGATAGCTCCGGCGGAGCTGCCCAAACTTACCCTCCGTAGTGATCATTACGGTCAATGTGAAGGACCTTGTTTCCCTTGACACTCAAAACACTGCAGAAACCATGAGCAACTGGAATATATCCGACAGCGGTAAGGAGGACTTACCCAGAAAGCACACACTCGGTCAAACCTGCGAGGGGGGAGGGGGGTCAATATAGCTTTGGTGGAATGGCGGGGTAGTAACATACCGGTGCCGAGCACCACGACATCATACTCGGGGGCGATCTCATCCATGATGTGAGATAACGCTGGAAATCAATGACAATGTGCAAATGAGTCTCCAAAGGAGTGATAGGAGGATGGGAATAGATATGGGCAGTAAGTGTTTAGGGGAAAGAAGATGGAGAGATATGAAGCACGGTGAGTTTAAAGGAAAGGAAAGAAAAGAGGAGAGGAGGGAGAGGAGGAGGAAGAGGAGCAGGCCCGTCGAAAGGAGGCCGACCCGTCAGTCGAAGGCTGTCCAAGGGTAGATTTGGAACCCCCCGCGGATCATCGATCACCTTCTCGAACCCGTTATTATTTGACGCCCGCCCACCCAGGCTCCACCAAGGCAATTAACGTTGGCTTTTTTTCAGGGTGACTGCCAGACCTTGAACCTCCTTAGACTCTTAGACTCACGGGTTATGGACTTGACTAGACTAGACCACGAGTCCTTGGACGGTTGAGACCAAACCAACTATTCATACTACGACTACGACAATAAATACGACCCGACTATTGTATGGTAGGCACCAAGACAATGGACCCGTAGACCAAGTTAATTTATCGGATTAATCATGAGCCCCTCTCCCAATTTCTTCTTCTGTGACCTCCTGAAACTCCTGCCCCTTTTCCCAGTCGGACTACGTAGCACATAGCACATAGCACATCGCCAATGGCCAATATTCTAACGGGAGTTATTGCTTTCTGCTACGGACGGTCTACTCCGGACTGGCCAAAGTGACTAACAGCCGACCCCGGCAACTATTTGCACGCTATCCATATCGGTGCACTAATGGCTTGATTATTTGCAATAGCCATTGGAAATACCCCTTCCAATCACTCTTCTATGATGTCTTTCAATTAATCTACAGACATTTCTCCCAATGATCTGAGCGCAATGTATAGATTCTGAAGCAAGCCAATGCATGGTAAAAAAATAGGGCAAGTTGCAAACTATACTACATACAATAATACAAGACCAGTAAGGTGGACTTCCGTCAATAGAGCCCCGAACTGTGTGTCTTCAATGACATAACCAATGGTGGAATTTACGCTTTCTCAGCCTGCTCAGGCTTCTCAAGGTTCTCAGGTTCCTCAGACTTCGCAGGGTAGGATGCATCCTGAGTACCTTCATGCTGCGGCCGGTATCCATTCTTGTAAAGCTTCTGAGCATCTTCCCAAGCGTACCATCTTTCTCGCAGAACATGCTTGATGCCGTTTTGCGTAACGCGAACCTAATGGACCCGTCGAATGTCAGCAACCGTACTGATCCATTGGATAATGCGACAGAGGCTTGGATCGACGTTGCGAACTTGCATCGATTGTAGCCTATTCGAAGGAGCAATGACAAGGGGGGGGGGGCGTTTGAAGATAGGGATGGGACATACCACACGGTCTCGCTCGTTCGCCTCGTATTCACCATAGCCGGCCTTCAGTCTCTCTCTCTCCAAGTTGGAGGTGGCTATGCGGTTGCGCTCCTTGACGCAGACCCACCACAGAGAGTGGAGGTCATCCCACGACTTCTCGCGGAGTTCCTGAATCGACCATGAACGACCTAAGAGATCGAAAAATGAGTTGACTGGGCCAGACTAATCCTTGAGGAAGAGGATTGGAGAAACGAACCGTGGGCGGTATCATATTCCGGGCTGCTCAATGCCTGTCGGTCCTTGGGGAAGAATCCCCAGAGTCCATGGTCGGGGGTAGGGTGACGCTTTTCGACTTCGCCGCGAGCGACGGGCTTGGGCAACGGGTACTTCGACACACCCAGCTTGAATTTCGGGCCGGTGCGGTGGATGGCGGACACACCGCGAGACTTGCTCAGGTCACGTCCGTGGCCCGCGGCGGCAGCGGTGGACGAAAAGTTCGAGGCCTGGGCCGGCGACCGATTGAGAGAGAAATGGAGGGACGGGGCGAGGTATGGCGGAGGCAGTTCACCCAGAGGAAAAGCGCCGGTCTGGCGAGCCAGACGCAGGACGGCCTGGCGATGCATTGTGAGGAGGGTAGCCTTCGAAGTCGAAGGGATCTCTAACACAATATGTCCGTTCTGCGGCCCCGAGGAATCAAAAGCTGACGGAGCGGAGTTTGGGCGGCTAGATCACGTGCAGGCGCCGCTCCAGGATGCCCCGTGCAACATCGACCCATAGGGCGAGCCAAGCGAAACATTCCATAGGCAAGAAAACACGCGGTTGGCCAGCAAAGAGAATAGTTTACATGAATCTATACTTAGGAAGTAGTCTCTCCCAGTCTGGAAAGGTATTGGCCCATATACTGCACAGATCGTAGCTACCTACCTAGTAGTATCTAGTAATCATTACTGACCATGTATTGCTTTCAGCTACTCCTGTCTAAAAGCCATTCTTCCCACTAGTATCATGTACATACAGAGAATCCTCCCCATACATACTCATCCTGCCTACTCTTTATCGTCTCCGGCTAGAGATGAGCACTAACTAATCTGTTCACGACAAATTCTTAGTTTTGTACAAGGTAACGTGACCAGGAGTGTTCTGGATGATCGTGACCCGAGCGGCTAGTCATGGATGGTCCGTGCATCAAAGAAGAAGCGCGCGGTTGCAGCCACTCCGCCTCCCAGTACCGGCGCAACACTGTGGGTAGAGATCCTAGCTGCACATTTCCTTCTTATCGCTGTTACGCTGAAGCACTGACTTTCTTCGTGGAGTCCCGGTCCAAAACTTGACTTTTCCATAGAACCTACTGAACGCCCGCCTCTTTGCACAATGAACAGGCCAGGTTTGTCCTTTCCAACCTTCCCTTTGTCTTCGTCATGACTGGCCTTGCTGCTACGGCCGCATCATACGCCCTCGACCTTGGATACTGAGTTGCCTTCCATCGCCCCAACACTCGTATGGACGGTCCCGAGGGTGCTTGATGCACGGTACCGTGGCCGTTCTTTACTTGTGTTTCAATCGCAAAAATCCGTTGATGGTTCCTTCCATGGGCAACCACGAGACCTAGCAGCAGCATCTCCGCACCCTCCCTTCCGGCCTCACTTGAAGGCAGTCGCAAGATGTCAAGATATTCTAGCAGAGGCTCTGACTGTGTCGCTGACCACTTGTGCCAACTCTAGGAACAGGCCCACAACCCCTACGAGGCATGGCCGGCTTCCCCGCACAACAACAGGCACAAGCTCGAAACGCAGCATTAGCAACGGCGCGGTTACCGAACGGCAAGATCGGTACGACCTCTTTCTGATAATGGCCGTTCTACACCCCCGCAAACTGACAATTGTGGCTGGCATAGGGAGCGGAGGGAACTGGAACTTCAACTTGCCTGTAAGCGGAACGCCAGGGATGCAAGGCAGTCAACAACGCAGCATCGGGACAATGGGCACATTCGCTCAAAGCTTAAGTGGATCCCAGCCGACTACGCCGCTGGATCTCTCGTGAGTGTAGCACTCGACCTGCAGGGCTTGATTTCTATGGATCAGCTCATCGAGGATACCCATGTCGGTTGAGTTCATGACTGAGAATCATTGTTTCTCCTCACAGGGACTTCCCCTCGCTATCCGGCGCGGCTCCACAATCACAAACCCAAAACCCAAGCCATATGGTATGGGCAAATGCCAGCCAGCGTGCTATGCAGCAGACCCCCGTCCAAAGACCGCAACATGCTACGTCGCAAGCGCCTCAAAGACCACCTCAAACGCAACCCCAACACCCTCAACAGCAATCTCAGCCCGCACATGATGACGTATTCCCCTCCGGCGCGCAGTTCGCCAATCGTTTGGAAGATTTCCGGAATGGTGGTCAGGGTATCAGTGGTCAGCTGAGTGCCGGTGGACAGCCGCAGACGGGCAATATTGAAGAATTTCCTCCGCTCGGACGCAATGCGCCTGCAGACTTAAGTCAGGACCGACGAGGATCGCTGATGCAAGGTGCGGGACTTGGAAACTACAGCAGTGGTATGCCATTTTCTGGAGTGAACCAGTCCCAATCTGCACAAAATCGCAACATGATCGCCGCTTCCATGAACGGACAAGAACGAATCATGTCCCCTGGTGGTGCAAGCTCAACAGGTAAGTCGGAGTGGAGCGCGTTGGCGCCGCACGGAGCGCTAAGGCCACGTTCTAGGAATAGACAACTCGCGATCCCCTGTGAATCAAGGCTCCAGCAGGCTTCCAGCCCCCGAAAAAGAGGTATTGACCCCGACTCGGTGACATTTTGGCTTTGAAGCTGACGAACTATAGCAGGAAGTCAACAGCTCTGTAGCGTCTAAGTCCGCCGGTTACAGTGAACAACCAACAATCATGCGACCGCCAGGGTTTCCGGCTACGGGTAAAGAAGCGTCTGCTGGGACTGTGCAAACGGTCGATCAATCGCCTTTCGCGGAAATGAGCGAATTGGACAAGTTCGGGCTAGCGGGACTGTTGCGCATGATCCATAGCGATAATGCCGATGTTTCAAGTCTGGCAGTAGGCCAGGATTTGATGACGTTAGGGTTGGATCTGAACCAGCCGGAGTATGCATTCTACCAAACCCCATGCGGAAAACATGTCGACTGACTCCTTTAGACCATTACATACGTCATTCGCTTCACCATTCGTCGCGTCCATGACAGGTGCCCCTCTGGAGCAAGATTTCGCGCTTCCTTCATGCTACAGCGTGGCTAACGTCCAACCGTTGCAATCGCGGATTCCGAGTTTTAGTGATGAAACGCTCTTTTACATCTTCTACAGCATGCCCCGAGATCTCCTACAAGAAGTTGTAGCTGAGGAACTGATGGGTCGGAAATGGAGATATCACAAGATCGAGCGGTGCTGGCTGACTCGCGACGAGACGTATCCCGGCCCTGTTGATGTGGAACGTGGTGTCAGTGAAAGGGGTGTTTACCTCTTGTGGGATCCTACCAGCTGGAAGAAGATCAGAGTATGCCCCCTCGCCATGCCCTCATTTGAATTTTGTCTTCATAGTAACATACTAATCTTGCGATCTGCAGCGTGAGTTCATCCTTCGCTACGAGGATCTGGACAACCGTATGGATCCCAACCGAGGGCTTGCGCGCGTCGGATTCCCGCACCACGGGTCATGAAAATCGACACGGACTAGTCAAGGTGGAATGGGGTCAGCAACGGCGTTCGGGCTCACTGATTGTTTCCGTAAACAGTCGCTCTAGATGTTAGTAGTATAATAGCGGAGCACCCGGTGTTCTCTACATTCTGTGGGAAAGTACCTTGGTACATATCTCAACCTCAATCAATGACTCCGATGATCTGAAGTTCGGTTCTTGGTGACTATAATATGCACACATTATATTGTAGATTGGAGATTCATAGGTAAACCTCCCTCAATACTCTTCACTTACTTCCCACCGCAACAACAGCCGACGGCCCCATATTTACTAGGCCGTCTACCCCGAATCTCTCTTCCAGATACCTCTGCACCGCCAATGGTGCTTCCGCCTGATACCGCCCTCGCTGTTCCTGCGTCCACAACTTTTCCTTCACCAAATTCAGCATACTCCGTGAGAGCTGCACAAATTCAGAAATCGGAACCTCGACCTCTTCCGTCACAGAGGTCACCCGAACCTCTTTGAACCCCGCCTTCTCGAACTGGGACCTTACGAACGATTCCGAATCCCAGCCAACGTTATGCATAGCCAGGAACTCCTCTACGGTTGGGAACTTCAGGTCCTCAGACATTCCGGTGACAGCGGATCGGAGGAGAGACATCCAGGTCGCTATGCAGGAAAGTCAGTACCTCAGTAAAATGTGTAAGTCCTCGGTAAAAGACCCGGAGGGGCAAATTACCGTATTTCCAGGTCGTCGTCGCCAGCGTTCCCCCCGGCTTCAGGATCCTATAGCATTCTTTGCCACACAAATCGATTGCACGTCAGGAAGTCCGTTCCAGCACGTCCAGTGGAACGATCTACACTGGAGCACAACTTACCATTCATCGCCGCCTCTGGATCCGCAAACAAGGTGAAGGCTACAATCGCGGCTCCAAGGTCAGCCTTAACCCTCACCGTCCCCTGTTAAGGCGGAGACCAACCGAAAGCCGCGAATACATCGGTAAACAACTCGTCCGGAAAGTCGGTGCTCTGCGCATTCACCACCTTCGCTTCCGCATTAGGCCATCTCTCCCGCTCGATGCGCTGCCGGGTGGCCTCGATCATCGTATCGCTCAGATCGCCGCAAGTCAAGCTCCAGCGCCTCCTGCTCTCGTCGTCCAGTGTGCGGTTCAGCGTGCTGGCGACGATGCCCAGGCCGCAGGCGTTGTCGAGGATCACGCGTGGGTTCCCGGATCGGGCTCGCGCTGCGATGCGGGAGTGTTCGATCAGAGATGTGGCGAAGGGGCCGGTGAGTTTCTCGGCGATGTAGTAGTTGGCTAGGAACTCGGGGGTTTGGTAGGATGTGTACTTGAGTTTGGGGTGGGAGGTGGCCATTGTTTGGTGGGATGGTCGGGGGTGGGGGCTTGGAGAGAGGGGATCAGCGGATGTAGAACTTGAGAAGGGGGGTTGAGTGTCAAAGGAAGTGATGGATGAGATGGAGTGAACGAGCTTGGTGAGTACTTCTTATATTACTTTTTCTCATGCGCAACTAACACTCATCTAGATCAGTAGTACTGGTACTGTACAAACCCAGGAATTTTGATAACATTACTAAGACGAGGGCCGTCAGGTTTTCTTGGATCTCTCGTCTCAAATTATTTCCAACACCGATATTCTTTTTGTTGCACTAGGATAAATCAACGATGGATGAGTAGTAATACATTACTTAAGATCTTTCTCTTCTATTCTAAACATAAACAGTGTCCATCTCAGACTTGAAGAAAACGTTCTTCTATATAGTATTTGTGTTTCGGTATGTTTGCCTAGTAGGATCTGTAAAAAACAATCTTAAGTTATGACCAATATACTATATACGTTTAGTTTTGCCGTCCAGTCTCCTTCCTATTTTATAACATATTCAGATCTGCGCAGATCTAACCTTAGAATTGCTTAGGTAATCTTAAGCTTCTGCTTGATATCAATGCTTTCCGAGGGATAGTCGAGTTATGGGCGGAGGGATTGGCGAAGAACAAAGGTATCGACAACGCTGTGAGTAAAGGGGATTGACGCAGTGGTTAGAGTGGGGTGGATGGTATGTGTGGAACTGTAAGATTCGACTCTATAAGATTCCGTATCTCAGATTAAGCAGTAACAGCAGAAACAGCGGCTACTAAAAGCGGTAATTGGAGGCGGCCGGCGAGTGTAGAGCACGAACGGAGAAACCCCGCTCCGAAGTTAAAGGACTATGGAGTGGAGGAGAGACAGCAGGAGCTAAGGCACTGTGACTGATATCAATTATATAGGTGTGTCCGGCCGGAGAGATTATATAGGCGGTCGGAGATGACCGGACAGAAGAAATCTTGGGGAGGAAGAAGCCATTTTGCCCATGGAGTCTGAAATCCAGGACGAGAACGAAGGCAATAGGGACAGCTTAGCAGAGCTTGAGATATATCTCTTAATCCTCAAGAACGGGTTGTCAATAATCTGCGCAGGTCCGTTGTTTTCCGTTGCGTAATTATAAACATAATCGACGACCAGCTTGCATCTATTAAAGAACATCATCGAGCCACAGTCTTGCACCCTCCTAAGTCCGCATCTATAAGATAGTCATAAGCACTTAGACGCGGCTTAGATTCCTTTTTCATATAAGTTAGGGGAATCGAGTACTGGATCAAAACGTACGCCTGCATAATAGCGCTCTAGACCTTGCAACCGCTGCCTTTGATGAAGACGTCGCAGCCGAACCCGGCTTACATACCATCAGTATAGCACTTGCTGGTTCCGTCGCTGGTTCCATTAGTATAATCACTCGCTGTTAATTTTCCAATACCAAAGAGGAGAACGTTGAAACCATATCTTAGGGTTTTTGCTTACCCATATAAAAGGCTGCCTCTAATATGGCTTTTCGCTACCTTACAGAAGCTGGTTTAGATGAGGGAAGATCTTGTACTCCGGAGATCGTCCGGAGTATGAATGATCTAGATTCGGAAGGCGAGGTGTCTTGCAGGGAGATCGCTGCTGGTTTAGTTGATATAGTAACTTTTATAGTCGTCGAGATAGCATCAGTGGAGGTGCTAGCAGCCACTGAAGTGGTTGTATCTGATGCTTCTGCAACCTTAATAGAAGAGAACCATGACTTAATGTGTAGTCGCTAACGCAGCCACTGCCTATGCACACACCATTCAAGCAGTTCGGCCCAAAGCATACAGCCTTGTGGCACCTTGGGCCTCCACATTCGCCGTCCAGGCACTCAAGTCCTAGGCAGCCAATCGAAATGCAGTCAGGACCAAGGCATAGGCCACTGTCGTTGCAATCGTCGCCATAGCAGCCGTGCGTCTGACACAGGGTGGACTTGCAATAGCCTTTTGTGCAGCCTGCACCCCGACAGCCGGTTTCCTCGCAGTTATCCCCAAGGCATACGCTGCTCTCTGCATCGCAATCGCTGCCTGTACAGCCGAGACTAATGCAGAGGGGACCGGTACGCTCCCCATCCTTGCAATCAGGACCTGCACACTTCCCCTCGGTGAAACTGGGTCTGTAGGGTCATCAAAACCATTTGAATCTCCATCCCCCGTCTGATCGTCACAGTCATCCATGCATAGCTTGTCGCAATAACTCGTGCACAGACTACCACACCCCGCTATGCAAGTTGAACTTGGAGGTGAACCCCGCGTAAAATGAACCCCAGGTCCAGTAGGGATAGTGGTGGGGAGTGGAGTAGTCGACCAAGACCATGGAGGGATAAAGATCGTGCAATTCCCTATTACCGTGTGGGAAACAGTTCCTGTGGTCATTGGGTTGGGGTCATCGTGGATAACCACAGGTCCAATTCCGATGCTAGGAAAAAGCGTTGTGGTTGAATTTGTAATGTTTGTCTCAGTTATGTTTCAATCCCACCAGGGGATGAATCCTGTGATGATTGGATCAAGTGTAATTGTAGTGGTCTGAACTGTTCTAGTCACTGACTGAATCACTGTAACTGTATCGGAAACGGTAACTGTAACTGTTGTAGGCCATGCCACTGCAATAGGGGTGACAAATGGTTCAGGATATAGAGTAGTAGGAATTCCCAGTGTGCTTGGAGGGATAATTAGGTTTGCTGGTGCGTTTCTCGTCACAAAAATATGACCGGAATCATAGATCTCTTGGCCGACATAGAAGTTTCCTGTACCGTCACTGCCACCATCGACGCTGGCCCCATCAAGGGAGGTTGATGAGGTGTTCATACTACCAGGTTTCTCAAGTGTACCTGGGCCGCCTTCATCCAGCGCCCAGGAGAGAAGACTATCCAGGCACCTCGCATTCGCAAAATCGGCTTTCTGTTTTAGGGTCTTCGAGTTGTCAAAAGAGACCCTGTCAAAGTATTAGAGAATAGTACGTCGAGAGACAGAGCGAGTCACATACCATTGGTTGCCTTCCCATGTCATCCAGTTCACCGCAGCTTCCTCGTTGTAGACCAGATTAGGCGAATAATCTTGTATGACTTGGTTGATTTCATAGTCGGTGAGAATTCCAACCGTGTCGGTGCAGGGACCGGGAGCTCCTCCTCCGTTTCCGTAGGCGGAAGTGTCGAATGGGCATCCTGGGACAGTACAACTTTCGTCCGCCAGAGTAAAGGAGCGCCCATAAAAGCCTAGGCCCAGAAGAACCTTACTAGGGTCAATGCTGTTTCTCCAAAGCAATTCGAGACCTTCTGCGATTTCTGCATTCATGAAAGTTATTAGTTACCAGTGGTTATGTGGAAGGATCAGTATCATCTACCTGTAAGGTTGGCGTGGGGTTTAACAACAGCAGATGTATAATTGCTGTCGGCGTCCCATGTTCCATGGATGTCGTAGGCCATGAAGTTGAATTGATCGACGTACTCAGCCATAGACACAATATCGAACCCTCGAAGATACCCCACCGGCAGAATATTAGTCCTGATCCTGGACAGAAGTATATGAATCAACAATCGCTCGCTCACAATAGGACGAAGGCAGCGTAGCCGTGGTGCCATATGTAGAGTCACACGCCTCTCTTAATTCCTTCAAGAGGTCACGAAGTTAGCAGTATCAGCTGATTTACCCCCTGCATGTATTCTCAGCATTTATGTACCACAAAGGGGGCTCTTAACCACACGCCGCCTAGCGCTTACCGCGATCTGAGGCGGCTGGATACTCCCAGTCGATGTCAATACCATCCAAGTCATATTTCTTCATGAATGATATGGCAGATCAATAAAGCTTGATCGACTACCCGGGAACTCAACCATATTAGAAAAGACCTCTCCTCCGAGGTCCCAACCGCCGACTGAAATGAATGTCTTGAGGCTTGATCTTTTCTGCTTCAACGCAGTGAGCTTTGGCCAAAACTCTTCATCACGGTCATGGGTACTGGTAATAGTATCCGAGCCGCCGTCAATGCCCGCAAAGGAGTAGTAGATATGCTACTAAAGCGTCAGTCATGGTGAAGCATTGCCTGAGCGGGGACCACTCGGATGTTCGTTCACTCACAGTCCAGGGGTCGACATCGATATTCTCAGGGAGAAGAACGTCGCATGCATGCTCGTAGTTCCAACTTTCGTAATACCCCACATAAATAGCGTTGCTAGAATCACCATTACAGGAACTGATGGGACTAAAGGTCAGGGTCCCAAGGTTACGATATCAAGGCTCGAGGGCGGACGTACGGTTCAACCACCGCATCACAGCCATTTTGACTACCTGTGCCGCAGAAGTCCGTGGAGGTACCACAGAATCTGGACAAGTAACAAAGGAGAAAGAATAGTTAGCCAAGGTATCCATCGTATGTAGGCCGGAGCATCAAACCTACTCGAACTGCGAGCAACAGACGTTGAGCGGGCACGTGGGGTTTGCGACTTTTGCATATGCTGGCAAGTGACATCGTCCATCAGTTTTCACTTCTTAGTCGCAGCAACAAGGGGTGAAAGGGAGGGGAAATCCTGTAGCAACTCACGTCCACACTCGGCTACTGCATCGCATGTCGAGACGCACACGTCATCTCCGCAGGAATCAGGGCCAAAGCCGCAATAGCCGCTTTTGCTGCAACAACCACTGACACTTTCGGCCGTTGCGGAGCACGTTCCATTCCATACTGCAGACACAGCAGGTAGACTCTCGCCGATCAGAGAGCCGAGGAACAGCCCTCTGACAAGGTGAAGTGCTCGCATCGTTGTGCCACTGCGAGCGTAGATTACTCAATTGCAACTTTTGTTCCCTCGGGCGAGAGAGGTCGGTTGTACTGACAGGGGCTCATGAGATGTACATTACTGATTCATTATATAGTGATTGTGGAGAAGAAGTGATAAGAAGGATGGGCTAAGCAAGAGCTAAGCACTACTATAAACAGTGGCAAGAAGTGGAAGTTGGTGCTTCCCGCTACCGAGTAGTTACTTTTAGACTAGTTGTATTAGTACACTTGACTCACTAGTGATTATTGCAGGATAATAAAGGGTCCACGGTGCCTTACACTGACTGGGACCTGTCCATCTCCGATTACCCCTCACAGTTCTTCTGCAAACGTCCCACCACCATGTTAACTGATCTACCCCTTGAGTTGCTGATTCGCATCGCCCATCTGCTGAACTCGCCCCATGCGCTCAACACGCTAGGCCAAACCAATCATTTCCTTTACGCAGTCTTAACCCGATACTGTATCGAGCACATGTACAGCAGCACTCTCCCAGTCCCCCTAAGGCTCTATGCTGGGCTGCGGAAAATGGCCGTCTGCAGACCATTCATCAACTATTGGCTGCAGGCGCGTCTCTCCCCAGTCCACCAGTGGTCAAAGACATCTCATCTCAAGGGCCAACGGACCCCGAGGATGATGACCACTCTGAGGAAGAAGAAAATCGCTGCCACCCGATCTTTCTTGCCGCAGAAGCGGGCCATGGCGAGGTCGTCGACTTTTTCCTCTCCCAAGGCGTCTCACCAGACATCAAAGATAGATCCGGTAGCACCCTGCTCTGCGCCGCCGTCCTCAAGCAGCATTTCCATATAGCCGAGTCACTACTGCAACGAGGGGCAAACCCATGGCAGCCCAATGATACTCAAGTCTCCGCTATGGGCTGGGCAGTGACCAGAGATACAGCAGGAACAAGAAACGAGCCAAGATTTGTTCCGCTCCTCCTGCACTATGAAGAAAAGCACCAGGCAATTGATCCGAGCCTGGAAGCGGTCGTGCTTCAAGAGGGACTGCTGAAAGCCTTTGCTCGGTCAGGAACCGAGCATATTGCACGGATGTTGTTAGCGGCCGGGGCGGACCCAAACTATCTCGGCCCCGAGGCGCGGGTGACTCCCCTGGCTAGAGCTGCAGGCATGAGAAATTTTGCCATGGTCAAGCTTCTCGTCGAAGAGGCCGGTGGAGATCTCAACTTTCTCAATGACCGACAAGAAGGGCCGCTATCAGAAGCGGCTGTACGTACGCATTGCTTTTGGTGGAAATGGGATGATGGCACATAGGACAAATTCCATAACTAGAGGAAACCCTGCAAGGCTAAGGGACTGATTGACCCCTGAATACCACAGTTCCTGAAGTCTTGGGTCTAGTTTGTGATTTGGTCGAGATTGAATGTTCTCCATAACGGAGATTTGACGGCACTAAGTCACAGCCCTAATGCACAAGCCAATGTGTAGTAAAAGCTTAAGTCCTGCGCCTAGTCGACTAGTTCTCAGGTTCGCTCCACACTATCCTACACTAATATACAGTAAAACACACAAGAGGATGGTTTTTCCAGTACTACCGAGTAGGGTCCAAGGCAACTGAGACATCTTTGAGCGTCACCGCAAGCTTGATTGGCCACTCTTTTATTCTGTAACCTGGAGAGCAAGGACGAATACACCGGATGACAAGTAGGCAATCATATCACTCATGTTCTATCTGTGCTGTTGTAACGTGCCCTGTAGTGAGAGATTATAGCACCAGACATTCCCCCAAATTCTGCTTGACCTAGGTTACAATATTCAAAGCTGAAGTTGCAGTAAGCTCTCTCCTCACGACACGTCCTTTGGCCATTGAGGTGACTACACCCCATTCCAGTTGTTTGGATTCATTCTTGAAATGAGGACTGCACTTTGGTGGACCTTCTTTATAAGTCTGAATGGAGCTAGTTAAGAGCTCTAGCATCCACAAAAGATGGGTCAACGGTGACACTGTCGCTGATGCTAACAACACTGATCCGGATGTTACCAGTGATTGTACTTACTGGGCTAACGACATTGGCCCGAATGATACCTGCGCAGAGCTGGAAAGTTACTTTGGTATCACGTTCGCGCAGTTGAAAGCTTGGGTCTATCATCCTCATCTCACCATGTTTATTTCGTGAAGCTGACGTGCGCCGGTCTAGAATCCGTCTTTGTTAGAAGACTACTGCGTGTTGATCGAAGGATGGAACTACTGCGTGAGCGGCCCCGATGTTGCGGCCTCCCCAACAAGCACCACGCAGTAAGTGAGCGCGACTGCAGCTACAGCAACATCGTCCGGCTCTGCCAACTCAACATTTCCTACCCAACATGACCTCATATCAACATGCGACGCATACTATCTCGTGGGAAGTGATACTACTTGCTACAGCATCCAGGATCTGTACCGCAACTTTACGTTGGACCAGTTTTATACCTGGAATCCGTGAGTGTCTCTATTAGGCCATGGAGAAGAAATTGATTGTTAATCGCAGCTGCTACTCATGCAGCTCGATCACCACTGATTGCCAGGGCCTCGCCACTGGATTCTACGTCTGCGTTGGTGTTAGCGTCCCAAGCAGTGTTCCCAGCACCGCAACTGCTACAGCAACGAGTTTGTTACCTGATACCCCTCAACAGTCCGGGATTGTTGCCAATTGTATGACTTCCTTCGATGCTCTACTGAGGGACCACATTCTCAGCCCAACTAACTTCTTTCCTCCCCATGATTTCAACCTGTAGGTGACAAGTACTACTATGTCAACAAGGGCGACAGCTGCCAAACCATCCTTGACACTTACGGTCTCACCATGGCCCAGTTCTATAGCTGGAACCCCGCCGTGGGCTCTAATTGTGGGGAGATGGAGTATGGTTACTACGTCTGTGTGGGCATTTCTGGATCATCTAGCCGCACGTCAGCAGCTAGCACTACCGCAGGAACCTCGATGGCATCTAGCCTTTCCACTGGAGCTGCTACCCCTACAACCTCAGCGTCTGTCACTAGCTCTGTGCCAGACACTCCGCAGCAATCGGGCATTATCGCAACCTGTACGTTTCTCCTTTCTCCACGAGCATCCTGCAAGGGCATTCCGACCGACTCTAAACCCCCTCTACCCCCAACTTCTAGGTGACAACTATTACTTCGTCAAAGAAGGCGACAGCTGCAGCGCCATTCTGACCGCCTATGCCCTGACCATGGCCGAGTTCTACACCTGGAATCCAGCCGTGGGCTCAGACTGCCAGAACATGGATTACGGATACTACGTTTGCGTTGGTGTCTCGTCGGGTAAGTTGCGCTTCCTCCAATTCTCGCAGTTTCTGTTCTGCGCCCCAGATCTTCCTCGAAACTCAACCAACAAAAACACAGGATCCTCATCCTCCAGCCGTGCCACCACTCAACCGCCCACCACACCCGCCTCCACGACCGTCACCACCCCATCAACGACGGCATCGACCGCAACCAGCGCCGGACCCGCCCCGACGCAGCCCGGCATCACCGCCTCCTGCGTGACATACTACCAGGCCGAATCGGGCGACAGCTGCTGGTCCATCGCCGCGCAGAAGTACGCGTACCTGACCGAGAGCGAGTTCATCTCGTGGAACCCCGCGGTGGGGTCGACCTGCGCCGGCCTGATCGCCGGGTATTACTACTGCGTGGCGACGCGCGCGGTTGAGCCCATGCCGGGGATCATCTCGACCTGCACGGCCTATCACCGCGTCGCGGAGGGCGATAGCTGCTGGACCATTGAGGAAGCCCACGGCCTCACGGCGACGGAGTTCGCGACCTGGAACCCGGAGGTGGGCGCGAGCTGCGCGGCGTTGTGGGAGGGGTATTATGTCTGTGTGGGTGTTTAGATTTGTTTGTGGGCCTTCTCGTCGAGGGTAGCAGCGCTTGTACAAGTGTATATCAACATTCAGAAGTTTAGGGTTAAATATCAAATCATCATTGACAGAAGGCTCAATAGTTTTCAAGGACCAGGAAGATAGTGGGTATACCGGCGGGACGAAAAGAGATTAGTAGAATGTACTGTACACACTTGTATTCCATTGCAGGCGGGGAGTATCGGTGTGCTATGCCACGAGCATTTCGCAATATTGCGCGAAAGAACTTGAACTGTATAACAAGAACTGCAAAGGCATAGTATCTCTAAGGTACTCTGTTTAAGAAGGCTATAAAAGATTTCTATTACGTTTATTCAAGGACGATTGCTGCTATCCCGGTCTTGGATGTAGAGTATAGGTTCCGCATGCACTGGTTGCTTTCATAGCCACATTGCCATCGAATGTAAAGGCGCTCAACTTAAAACACCGAGTATAGTAAGACCAAAGGTACTTGCCACATCTAGTGGTTAGGCACTAGGACATGATCAGTTGGCCCAGGGCTTTGTAGTATTTTCATGAAGCATCGATCACGGACTTGATTGCATTGATGCCTCTCAAACACTCTCTCCGACAGTCCACCTACTGACCCAGAATCGAGCAGAGACCTACAAGTGACAACTACGATATGATGTGACGGCCCATCTCTGTCTCGGAGTGCCCTGCTGCAACTCACTCTGAGATTATTGTTGTTCAATGTAGGCGAAGAACCACATGCATTGTGATTGGTTGATGCTGAAATGACTATTGCAATCACGTGTTGCCCCTCCATGATTACATTATCCAGACCACAGGCTAAGCCCAATAGAGCAAACAGTAAACACGCTGCCCGCCGCCGCGCAAAACACCGCCCGCGAAAACAATTCCCGATCGAACCAGCGACACACACCAAACCCCCCCTCATCGCCTATGCACCCGGAATTGTAGTTGATGGGGCAGAATCCGAGTCGCAGCCATGAGGATTACAGAAATTATCATCGATGTGAGTCCGCTCTCCCCGTCCGCAAGAGATACATGTGAATGTGATTTACTGACTCCGTTCAATCTCAACAGGGCTTCAAATCGTATGCCGTGCGTACGGTTATCTCAGGATGGTATGCGCTTACTGGGTCGCTGAATAAACTTACTCGATCTGCGAAAAATCCTGGGCATGGACAGCTGATGATTTATACTTTCTGCCTGTAGGGACGATTCCTTCAACTCCATCACCGGCTTGAACGGTAGTGGAAAATCCAACATCCTCGACGCCATCTGTTTCGTTCTCGGTATCACGAACATGAGCACCGTCCGCGCCCAGAACCTCCAGGATCTCATCTACAAGCGCGGTCAGGCCGGTGTCACCAAGGCCAGCGTGACCATTGTCTTCGACAACCGCGACACGGCCAAGTCGCCCATCGGCTTCGAGGAGTATGCGACTATCTCCGTGACGCGCCAGATCGTTCTCGGCGGCACGAGCAAGTACCTCATCAACGGCCACCGCGCGCAGCAGCAGACCGTCCAGAATCTGTTTCAGAGCGTGCAGCTGAATATCAACAACCCCAATTTCCTGATCATGCAGGGCAAGATCACCAAGGTGCTGAACATGAAGGCGGTCGAGATCCTGTCGATGATCGAGGAAGCGGCGGGTACGCGGATGTTCGAGGATCGGAGGGAGAAGGCGGTGAAGACCATGAGCAAGAAGGAACTCAAACTGCGCGAGATCGAGGAGTTGCTGAAGGAGGAAATCGAGCCCAAGTTGGAGAAGCTTCGGTCCGAGAAGCGAGCGTTCTTGGATTTCCAGCAGACTCAGAATGACCTGGAGCGCTTGACGCGGCTGGTTGTGGCCCATGATTACCTGAAGAGCAATGAGCGGCTACGTGTGACGGGGGAGGAATGTGAGAATAAGAGACGGAGGGTGCAGGAGCTTGAGGACAGCGCAACGAAGCTCAAGGGCGAGATCGCCCACTTGGAGGACGATGTGAAGAGAGTCAAGGCCGCTCGTGATAAGGAGCTCCGTAAGGGCGGCAAGTTCCAGGCCCTGGAAGACGAAGTGAAGTCTAACTCGCACGAGCTCGTCCGATTGACTACGGTATTCGACCTCAAGAATGCTAGCATCTCCGAGGAGAAGGAGAAAATGAAGGAATCCCAGAAAGCAGTTAGCGACCTGGAAAAGGCCCTTAAGGAGAAGAAGAAGGTCTACGATAAGATGCAGGCCGAGTTCGATGCCGCCAAAGCAGATCTGGACGCCCAGACCTCCGAGGTGGAGCAGAAAGAGGAACTACTGCAAACACTCCAGACCGGTGTGGCTTCGAAAGAAGGCCAGGAGAGCGGTTATCAGGGTCAGCTGCAGGATGCTCGTAATCGTGCAAGCGCAGCTGCGACGGAACAGGAGCAAGCCAAATTGAAAATCGCGCACTTGGAAAAGAGAATCAAGGAGGAAGAGCCCAGGGCGAAGAAGGCAAAAGAGCAGAATTCCGATCTTCTCAAAGAACTGGAAGGCTTGAAGTCTCAGGCTAAGAAGTTGGAGACTGAGCTTACTAGGCTGGGATATGAGCCAGGCAGAGAAGAACAGCTTAACCAGGAGCAGGCGGAGCTGCAAAGGGACATCCGCGAGCTGCGCCGGAGAGCTGACGAGCTCCAGAGGAAGGTCGCAAATATCGATTTCCAATACGCTGATCCTCACCCTCATTTCGATCGCTCCAAGGTTAAGGGTCTTGTTGCGCAGCTTTTTGCCTTGGACAAGGAGAAGGTTCAAGCTGCAACTGCGTTGGAGATTTGCGCTGGTGGACGCTTGTACAACGTTGTCGTTGATTCTGCCGAGACTGGTACCCAACTTCTGAAGAACGGCAGGCTTAAGAAGCGTGTGACAATTATTCCCTTGAACAAGATCTCGTCTTTCAGGGCCTCCGCAGAGAAGATCGGAGCTGCTCAGAATATCGCCCCTGGTAAGGTTGACCTTGCCTTGTCACTAATCGGTTACGACGAGGAAGTTACGGCGGCAATGAACTATGTTTTTGGCAATACCTTGATCTGCCAGGATGCTGAGACGGCCAAGCGCGTCACTTTCGATCCATCCGTTCGCATCAAGAGTGTAACGCTCGAAGGCGACGTCTATGACCCTTCGGGTACACTGTCAGGTGGCAGCTCCCCGAACTCAAGTGGTGTGCTCGTGACGCTCGGGAAATTGAATGAGATCACCAGAGAGATCCGCAGCAAAGAGCGACTCCTCGCCACCGTCGAGGAGACCATGAAGAAGGAGAAGAAGAAGCTTGACGCAGCCCGAACGATCAAGCAGGACCTGGATCTCAAAACGCACGAGATCAAGCTTACAGAAGAGCAGATTAGCGGCAACTCGTCTTCAACGGTAGGAGAAGTCTACGATGCATATCTCAAATCACACAATTCACAACAGCAGCTAATTGGAACTAGATCATTCAAGCCGTCGAAGAGATGAAAGCGAATATCGAGCAGCTGAAGCAGAACATTTCTGACGCGAAGACTCGACAAACAGAAGCATCCAAGGATATCAAGCGAATTGAGAAGGACATGAGCGAGTTCAACGACAACAAGGACAGCAAGCTGGCAGAGCTGCAAGCATCTCTGGACTCTCTTAAGAAGAAGCTTGCTAAGAACTCCAACTCCGTGAAGACCCTACAGAAGGAGCTCCAGAACTCCAGGTTGGAACTGGAACAGGTTGGCAGTGACCTGTCCGCAGCGGAGGAGCAAAGCTCCGAAGCTGAAAACACACTGAAGGCTCAGCTGGAGGAGATTCAATCATTGAAGAGAGAACAGGCTCGGGTCAAGGTAGGCAAGCGAATGATCGCAGTGACAAGTTGCTTGCTAAAAATGTCATAGGATGCACACGACCTTGCACAGGCTCAGCTTGATGACGAACGAGCCAAGCTCAGCGGCTTTGATAACGAACTACGCGAACTAGAAGTGGCGATGAAATCTAAAGGCTCCCAAATAACTGAAGGCGGCCTCGAAATGCAGAAGTTGGGCCATCAGCTGGAGAAATTACAAAAGGACCAGCAGGTGGCTGCGCAGACGGTTGCTCATATGGAAAACGAGCATGAGTGGATCGCAGTCGAGAAGGATAACTTTGGACGATCCAACACGCCCTACGACTTCAAAAACCACAACATCGCCGAGTGCAAATCAACTCTGCGGAATCTTACGGAGCGGTCCCAGGGTATGAAGAAGAAGATCAATCCCAAGGTCATGAACATGATCGACAGCGTGGAGAAGAAGGAAGCTGCGCTGAAGAACATGATGAAGACTGTCAATCGGGACAAGAGCAAGATCGAGGAAACGATCATCAACCTGAATGAATACAAAAAGGAGGCTCTTCACAAGACATGGGTTAAGGTCAATGGTGACTTCGGTCAGATCTTCTCAGAGCTTCTGCCGGGCAGTTTCGCCAAGCTGGATCCTCCAGAGGGCAAGGATATCACCGATGGTCTGGAAGTCAAGGTCTCTTTGGGTAAGGTCTGGAAGCAGAGCTTGACGGAACTGAGTGGTGGACAGAGGTATGTGAAACCATACGGAGAAAGCCTTTGCGTGTATGGACACTTACAGATGAGCAGGTCTCTCATTGCCCTTTCCTTGATCATGGCGCTGCTGCAATTCAAGCCGGCCCCTATGTACATTCTGGACGAGGTTGATGCCGCTCTGGATCTTTCACACACGCAGAATATCGGTCGCTTGATCAAGACGCGGTTCAAGGGATCTCAGTTCATCGTGGTGTCGCTGAAGGATGGTATGTTCCAGAACGCCAACCGTATCTTCCGCACGAGATTCAGCGAGGGTACCAGTGTGGTCCAAGCTTTGACTGCTGCGGATCTGAAATAAGTTCGCCCTCCATAGAGACTTGATTCTTCGTTTGTGCATACTTCTTTTGGGCTATTCTGGTTAAGGACTGGGACAGGAAGCTTTTTATATGACCGGGTCATGGGGGTTTCTGGATGAGGTGTTTTCGGATGATGTATATGAATCTGGATGACTTTGCTGTTAAAATTAATGACATCTGTTGATAGTAACACGGCATTCTTGAAATAGCCGAGAATGGTGGTGTATATGTGCTGCTCAAGAGACGTACGAATACGAGTACGAGTCAGTGGGCAGGATGCCGTCAGCGGAAGTAACGTTAATCCAGCAGGGATTCCGCCCTTCCATTCCGCCCTCCCGACTGCTCCACCGCCACCACATCGCCGCTCTCCCTGATCTGCCGCGGCTTTCCTCAACTTAACCAACATCCCCGTCCCCGGTATTTACCTTTTAGCGACAATTTGCCCCTGTTGCGGGTGACGTGAGGCCAGAAATATTCTTTCACTCATTTTCGGCGATCCCGCGCCTCTCACCTCTTGACATCCCTCGAGTCTTCCCACACTGACGCAGTCCCCTCCTTCACACGTGACCCATCACCATGCCTGACGAAGAACCGTCCCTGAACATCCCCTCCCTTCTCACCCTTGCCGTTGTCTCTTTCTTCGTGATTCGATGGTTCTTCAACCGTGATGGAGATGCTGGGGCCGGAAACGGTCGTAGCCGCACGCGAGGAAATGGCGTCGATCCAGCCCACGTTGAGCAGATCTCGCAGATGTTTCCTCAGCTTAGCCATCGCGAGATCATGTGGGACTTACAACGCAACGGAGGGAACATGGCCGCTACTACGGAAAGAATCTTGACGGGTCGTGGCCTAGAAGTGGTAAGTCTTGCGCCTAACGTAGTAGCACTCTGCTACTGTTCACCCTCTCTTGCCGGAGGGAGGGAGAGACTCAGCAGTCGGAACAAGGGTTCAAACTAACGCCGCATGTAACGTCGATAGCCCCCTCCATCGTTTCAACCCCAGATCGCCATCCCCACCCCCACCGCGCCAGTACAGCCCGCCACCGCTGCGCCCAAGGCAGACGGCCAGGACCTGATCTCTCGGTACAACCTTCGCTCGAAAGTCGGCGCAGACGAGGACTCCGCGACCTCACAGGCTCAGTCCTCCACGGGTTGGTCGCAGAGCAAGGAGGAGCGGCAGCGCTTGCTCCAGAAGCGCAGGGACGACATGATCTTGGCGGCGAGGAGGAAGATGATGCAAAAGGACCAGACGGCTGCTGCTCAATGAGGGACCCCCTTTTTTAATGTGGCTCTGCGCTCAGGCTCTCCCCTCTCTACTATTCACTATTTCTTCGTTGTGACTTAGCACGGCCTGCATATATGCATGGGATCGTTGTGGGCTTTCATCTCGCTTCAGACTTCTCTTCCAGTCAAATTTGGATTGTCCTTTCATTTCCTTTTTTGTGACCTGGGGCTTTTTCAGCTCTCGTCATTAGTTTTATACCTTTGTTTTTTTTTTTGTTCGGCGTTGAGGATGGTTCAAGATTTGATCAATGCTGACAGTACCTTTTCGGCTCGTCTCGGCTCTGACATTTTCAATGTTTCGAGATGCTGGTGTTGACTTTGCTGTAAGTTGCTGTAGGTTGCTGTCCCTATTGGGCGGATTCACCCTTTCTTGCAGGGCGTGGCTTGTTCATACAAGGCGCGATCGTATCATGTCTAAAGTAAATGGACCAGATTGATATGCACTGTATGCGGTAAAGTAAATCTGTGATCAAAAGAATACGAGAGGGTATATATACATATGACTTTCCCGCTTGGGTGCTGCAAAATGCCATGAACAAAAAAGTATTGTACGTCTCCATAAAACGCCGACTGCAGATGAGCCCCCTGTGTCATAAAAAGTGAAGGGCCGTCTTCCCGAGATCTAGAATTCCATTTCATCGTCATCGTCCTGCGTCGCATCGTATCCACCGTTAGCCATCTCTTCCGCCAGCTCCTCCCTCCGAGCCTGTTCTCTGGATGCGCCGATGCGTCTAAGGACCAGAAAAGTTAGCCAGCTGCAACAACCAAAGAAGAACCTTCCCGTGATGTACACGGGAAATGATCATACCGGAGCCCATCGACCACCCCGGAGATAAACCTCCGTCCCTCACCGAGCTCGATTGCCCCGACGCCCGTCAGCGCCACGCCGCCTCCGCCCATCGCCGCGGCATCCAGCGCGTCCACGCCGGACCGGATCTTGGCCATGCGCACCTCGCGCAGCTCCTTCAGCAGCCGGCGGGTCTGGTCGGGGTCCACCAGGTCGTCGCTCGCCGCGTCCAGAAGCATATTCCCGACCTCGAGCCAGTGGAAGGGCAGCGTCTGCAGCTCCTGCGGTGGGACATGGTCGCGCGCGACGTTCTGCGGCAGAAACGGCGGCGCCGGGTAGTACTTCTCGCCGTCCGGGGTGTAGCGCGGGGTGGCGACGGCGGGCTCGCCGCGGTCGTGGAGGAGGGGTTGGCCCGGTAGGGGCGGCGGCGGGGAGAAGGTGTCCTTGTATTCTTCGTATTGGGTCTCGATGTCCAGGATGAAGGAGAGGGACTCCGGATGGAGCCACGAGGGCGGGAGGATGTTGGCGCGTCGTTGGCGTTTGAGGAGAAGCGCGAGCCAGAGGGGGAGGGAGGCGCGTCGGGGGGGAATGAGAGGTTTAACGGGGCCCTAGTGCATTCGAGCTTTAGATTCTTCCATATGCGCAAAGAGCGAGAGCGAGATGCTGGTGCGGAGTGGGGAAAGGAGTATAGAGACGCGGCTCGGTTGCATGTGAGTGAGTGGTTTATGGAAATCCGACTTAATAAGGCGAACGGGGAAATGGATTGAAGCATTTCAGGAGTGCTTTCTCGATCGCCAGAACTTACACCAAGCAACTCCAGGCCTTCCAGACGCTGACGCGGCAGGATAGTGACCATCTCCATCTCGGCCAGAAAGGAGATCTCCGGGGGCGTGATGCCCCGCGGGAGGGGAAAGGCCATTGTCCCTCAGTCAGGCAAATTGGGCGATGGAAAGAGATCGAAGGCTCAGCAGAGGAACACGGCCCATGCCCTGTGATCAATTTCTAATGGCTGAAAAGAGAGCAAAATGTGAACGACGATCTATTCAGTCATGCCATTCAAGATCAAAGAAAGATTGACAGGCGTGTGGGAAGGCGGTCTGTTTGCCCGGTTTGCAGCGGCATTTATTCTTCCCTTTTTCGGAGCTGTTGGACTTGATCCATATTGTACTGTACTTTCCCCTCCAATTGTGAAAGCATGAGTTTCTTTTGAAAAGGCATCCTTCATCATGAATGCGCAACCGAAGTCAGGCGTGGTTTTGGCCGCTCGCTATGCCGTGCCCTTTTGTTTGCTGTTGATCCCCATCTGGCTGAGCAGGATCAATGCTCACGTCCCCGAACCATATCTGGACGAAGCGTTCCACGTTCCTCAAGCACAGGCTTACTGGGCTCACAAATGGACGCATTGGGATCCTAAAATTACCACTCCTCCGGGGCTGTATCTCTGGTCCTATGGGCTGTGCGCGGTTCTTCTGTTCCTTCGTGGTTCGCCTACGGAGCTTACCCCGGAAGTGCTGCGTGCGACCAACGTGGCAGCTACTGCCATTGCGCTACCGTATCGCTTGCAGACGTTGTTGGATAGATTGCGCAAGACTCGCAATACACGTCCCTCTGGGGCTTGGCTCAGCCATACTGTGCTGAACATCTGCCTCTTCCCGCCCATTTTCTTCTTTTCTGGGCTTTACTACACCGATATTCTTGCCTTGCTGGTGGTTGTTGAAGCATACAACTGGGACCTCAAACGTTCCGCAGACGGCGCGTGGGCTCCACTCAAGACCGGGGCTTTCATTCTCCTCGGACTGCTAGCGTTGGCGTTTAGACAGACGAACATCTTCTGGGGAGCTATCTTTCTAGGCGGACTGCAGGTTATCCGGCAGCTGAGACTAAAATCTAAGCCGTGCCGGTCGTCGGGTCTCGCGGATATTGCTCGACAGGGATGGCAGAATGAGCTGTACGACCCTCTCGTCTCGGAGGCGTCTATTGAAGGTGGGCTTTCTGTTCCTGAGGCTTGTTGTTGGCTTGGTTGACAATTCTAGATTATTTCAAAACCTCTATTTCACTGCTAACGGTTGCCGTGGGAAATCTCGGCGCCGTGATCAGTACTTCTATTCCGTACCTCCTCATCCTCGCCGGATTTGGTGCATTCGTCTTCTGGAATGATGGTGTTGTCCTAGGTGAGTTTGTCCGTCTGCAGAAAGCCCTCATGTCGCCCACTGATAATCCCCAGGGCACAAGGAATTCCACACTGCGGGCATTCATCTGCCGCAGATGCTCTACATCTGGCCCTACATTGTGTTTTTCTCCTGGCCACTACTCCTTGGACCCGTCATCAACTTGGCTCTTCCCAAGTCCCTCCTTCCAAAGTTTATCGATTTCGGTTTCCCCAAGAAACAGAAGGGACTCCCAAAGTTGCTGACAGCACTTATTGTGATCCCAATTATGCTAGCTGTGGTCCACTTCAATACCATTGTGCATCCATTTACGCTGGCTGACAACCGTCATTACGTCTTCTACGCTTTCCGGATTCTTCTACGAACCCATCCAGCGGTCAAGTACGCCGCGGTTGTCGTCTACTTCCTTTGCGCATGGATGGCAATCTCTGCCCTCGGTTTCTCCACTGCCCCTCAGCCGCCCCAGATGAGGCAGATTTCGCAACCTGCAGCCTGGCAGTACCCGGAGCAGCAGAAAGAGCCGACTCAGAAGAAGGCGGAAGGCAAGCAGAAGACAGCAAAGAAGGCTGTCAAGGCACCTAAGCCGGCGGCACCCAAGCCGGAGCCCATTTCCGAGGAGGCATTCGCCAGGATTCAAGCCCACCTCATTCAGCGCCAGAAGCAGCAGCAAGGGGCGCCGCAGGTGAGCTTCGTGCTCGTCTGGCTCGCGGCCACGGCGTTGTCTCTCATCACTGCTCCTCTGGTTGAGCCACGATACTTCATCATTCCGTGGGTCATGTGGCGTCTTCACCTTCCGCCGCAGCCGACGCCGTTGGTGCACCGGCGTCCCCAGACTGCTATTGATGAACTCAACGCAAAGATGGCTACAAACTTTCCGTTGTTCCTGGAGACCTACTGGTTCTTGGTTATTAACGCGGTGACCGGATACATTTTCTTGTACTGTGGGTTTGAATGGCCGCAGGAACCAGGCAAGATCCAGCGGTTCATGTGGTGAGATTGGGGCTAGGTTGAGAGTGTATAGTATATAGAATCTCTGTAAAATAGTGTATTATTAGTGTATCCAATTGATTATTTGTGGTAAACTAGCCAGACAACGTATCAAAGATGATAGTAGACCTTCAATGGTGGCATGGCAGCTGCGGTGGTACGCAAGCCGAAAATCGACTGTTCCGCCCACTTCCTTCTCCGCACCAACCTCACTTCTCCAACTTTTTGTTCGCTTTCATTGAATCTGCCTCCATGATGGACGAACCAGACCGTCCTTCGAAACGAGCAAAAGTTCTCGCGACAACTACGAAGCACGAGGGCTCTGGCGAAGGTCATGCGCCTAGTCATGACGATAGCACCGATTCCATCAGACCCCTAGCTTCGCTGCACCGCTCCATTACACCTCCATTATCATCCCGCTCCCTCAGGGACCCCGCACCACCGCCGCCACCAGCCCACGACTCCATATCCTCCTCGCCAAGTAAATCACAGCCATGCAGTCTGGACCAGAAAGTCCTCCCCTCACCCATCCAACTCACCCACATCCGAGACTTCTCACCCTCCTCCGGCAACAATGTCGACACGGTCCGACTCCGCGATATCCTAGGCGACCCCATGATCCGCGAATGCTGGCAATTCAACTACCTCCACGATGTAGATTTCCTGATGAGCCAATTCGACGAGGACGTGCGAGCCCTTGTCAAGCTGAAGGTGGTGCACGGGTCGTGGAAGCGAGAGGCGCCGAACCGGGTGCGCATTGATGTATGTTTCTTGCCGTCACGAATTGAAGAACCTCAGAGAATCACAGTTGACTAACATCTCCACCTCAGGAAGCATGCGCACGATACCCCAATGTCGAGGCGATCGTGGCCTACATGCCCGAAGCCTTCGGGACCCATCACTCCAAGATGATGGTTCTCTTGCGACACGATGACTGTGCCCAGTGCGTCTCTTTCCCGCTGCCCTAGTATGAAGTGTACGTGTGTATGTGAATGGGGAGCTATGAGCTAAACCTTGACGAAATAGAGTTGTCATCCACACGGCCAACATGATCCCGGGCGATTGGGCGAATATGACCCAAGCGGTGTGGCGATCCCCTCTCCTTCCGCTGAGCACGAGGAGAGATACAGTTGATCCGAGCGAAAGCGACGACCATCAACAACTCCCCGGATCAGGAGCCAGGTTCAAACGAGACCTGCTGGCTTATTTGGCTGAGTATGGGTTCAAGAAGACGGGTCCGCTGGTCAGGCAACTGCGCCAGTATGATTTTGGGGCTGTGCGGGCGGCTCTCGTTGCCAGCGTGCCGTCCAAGCAGAAGTTGAGCGAGGCGGATGCGCGGGTCAAGACGCTTTGGGGGTGGGTGGCGTTGAAGGATGTGTTGAAGGATGTGCCTCTCGCCGTTTGTGATATCAAGATGGAGGGCAAAGCCAGCTCCGAAGGAAAGGAGAAGGAGAAGAAGAAGAGGCCGCACATTGTTGTTCAGGTGAGTTTGAGGTTCTGTCTGTATCGGCGCTTGTGCTACTGCTACTACTGCAAGTATGTGATCATGCTGATCTGCTCCAGATCTCCTCGGTGGCGTCACTTGGGCAAACAGACAAATGGCTGAGAGATGTCCTGTTCGCATCCCTGGCGCCTAAGAGAGAGGCCTCCCAACCGCGGTACTCTATCGTCTTCCCCACGCCGGATGAGATCCGACGCTCCTTGAACGGGTACGGATCCGGTGGCTCTATCCACATGAAACTGCAGAGCGCGGCTCAGCAGAAGCAGCTACAGTATATGCGCCCCTTTCTGTGCCGTTGGGCAGGGGATGATGATGATGATGATGATCAGCAACCCGCCGAACCACGACGCGAAGCGGGCCGCCGACGTGCGGCGCCGCATATCAAAACATACATCCGGTTCTCTACGGAAGAGATGGTGACGATCGATTGGGCTATGGTCACGTCGGCGAATCTGTCTACACAGGCGTGGGGTGCGGCGGTCAATGCGAACGGGGAGGTGCGGATCTGCAGCTGGGAGATCGGCGTGGTGGTGTGGCCGGAGTTGTTGACCAGAGGATCACCGGACACCGATACCACTGCTCCTACAAAGACAGTGATGACGCCGTGCCATCGAACAGACACCCCCGCTACCGCTGCAGACGATGCCGCCGTCACAGTCGGCTTCCGGATGCCATACGATCTCCCTCTAACCCCGTATCACGCAGAAGACATCCCCTGGTGCGCCACAGCCAGTCACAGCGAGCCCGACTGGTTTGGACAGACATGGGAAGGTTGAGAATGGAAAGCCCAAGTGACACCAGACCACTCGACATGTATATATGACTTACCCAACCCACACCCCTCAACTCTATACAATCGACAACCTCCCCTTGATTCAGGGAACCAACAAGACAAGACGGGACGGCAGAATATGCTTCTTCGCTCATAAAATTGCATAATCAAGAGGACACACACACTCATTCGACTACCCATAGGCCAAATGGAAGAGAGAATTGAACCAAGAAAAAAACAGGGAGAACCCAAAGCAGATAGCAACAAGTTCCCAGAGTTTCATAGCCAACAAGTGTAGGTGTGTTTACTTTCTTCTTCTACTGGGTACCGTACTTCTCAATGAGGTCGTTAACCTCCTTGATGTAGTTGGCCTGCGCGCGCTGCTGGCTGATGTGGCTGATCTCCTTCCAGGCGTTGTACTTGTACTTGGACTGTTGGTTTTGGATATGCTTAGTTAGCCCGCTTATTCCTCACAATCCCCCTTGGAGGCTACCTGCCAGCCTCCGGGGGTAAATGCAAGACCAGTGTGGGATGGTAAACTCACCTCCAACTGATAGAAAGAAGGCTGAGCGGGCTCCTCGTTTCTCGAGCGCTTAAAGTACTTGTAAAGCTGCAGAGCAAAACAAAAGAATCAGCATCGGCATCGGCACCGGCAATCCAAAGATTTGATCATAGAACGTTCTCCTTGGATAAGCTCTTCTGGACAAAAAACACATACAGTCAACATCTCGGTCTGCCCGGGCTCGGAAGCCAGCTGCTTGACGAGCAGGGTGGCGAACTCGAAGGCGCTCTGCAGGGCGGCGGCCTGCTCGCCCTCGACGGTGGCGCTGTCATCGCCGGCCAGGACGACCGCGATGGCGGCGGAGAAGGCGTCGGCGTTGACCTTGTCGGCGGCGGCCTGCACCGCGGGGGTGTACTGGGCCTTGGACTGGGCGGCCGAGAGGGCGGTGGTGAAGGCGGAGACGGACATTTTGGAGGATGTTTTTTTCTTTTTTTCGTGAAAGGGGGTTGAAGTTGAGGAGTGGGAAGGAAAGGGACGAAAGAAGAGGGGAAATCAGATGGATTGATGGATTGATGGAGGGGGTGTGACTTGGTCAATGGTTGAATGGTGGGGGTGGAGGGGTGGGTTTGTTTTGTTTGTTTGTTTTGGTTTGGTTTGGTGGGGCTGACGCTTGGAGAAAGAGGGGATTGTTGAGATCACGTTTGTTTTCTACGTACTCGTTTAATGTCAGCTGTCAAGAAGGTTAAGGTTGACTGTAGATGTTCTATTCATGACAGCTTTATGCCTATGTGCATCTAGGGATGATAAATTAACACCGGAATATGAACACAGAAAGGGAAAAACAGAATGACAACTCTAGCATCTGATCCATCCACCAACGCCCAACCAATTTGTAACTTGACCAACTGCGCTCAAAAAAGACTCAAAATTTCGAAGTACAGTTCAAGATCTACCAGTCAACCGCCCAGCCGTTCTTCTCCAAAAACTCCTCACACACCCCCTTTAACGCATAGTTGGGCCGGAGGTCATCCGCTGTCATGGGTACGCGCGTGATCGGGTCGACCTTGGACTGTTCCACGTACTTGGTGATCGCAACACGCTCGAAGCTGGTCCCGGACGGGGTAATCACCGGATCGTGCATGATCTCGAATGTGATCGGGTCGATGAGGTAATCGGGTACAACCTGTTGTAGTAGTGGTAGTCACACAAAGTCAGCTTTCTAGACCCCAAAATGCCTCCACTATGTTAGGAAACTCACCCGTTCCTGAACCTCTCCCTTCGACGCAATGGCAAACGTCTCCCGCAACACCTGTAGCGTCTTCTCCGTATCCTCCCGGAGCGCCTTCTGGTCCTCCGAGAAACCGATCTGGCCGATCTCCCCGCGGTCCAACTGTCCCCGGAGGTCCTCCAGTGCTCGCTGCAGGTCCGCCTCGATCAACCGTTCCACACTCGCCAGAGTGCCGTTCATCTCCCGCACGCGGGCCGCCTCCTTCGCTGCCCACAGCTGCTGCTTCGCGCGCAGGACCGTCTTGGACAGATTCTCCGACTGCACATTCTTGGCCGCCAGGCTCGCCTGGTATGCCTCCGTCGCGACCTCGTGCGCCTCCTGCGGCCGTTGCAGCTCCAACAGGGCCTGCGCCAGATAGTAGCGACTCTTCAGGCTGGCGGGGTTCTTCGCGCCGTACAAGTCGATCGCGGCGCGCGCGTCCTGCTCGACGCCGGCCCAGTTCTCGAGCTTCATGCGGGTGATCGACCGGTTGGAGAAGAACGTAGGCTCTTTCGGGTTCTTTTGGATACTGCAGTGGGAGCCCCGGGGCAACTTAGTTGGCAAGATGTCTTTGCAGCATGACAAGCGAGGAAGACTCTCGCAAGCAAGAAGGGGCAGGACTCATAGATTTCTTCCCCGTGTATTGAGGCTGGACTCACGCTTGAGAAAACATCTCCTCCGCACCGGCATAGTCGCCCGCCTTGTAGAGCTGATTGCCCTTATCTTTGAGTTCGAAGGCCATTGTTGTGGTGCTACCGTGCCCGCCGTACACAGGGGTCTGAGGATTCTGGGTGCGAAAACAGAAGGAGATATCCGAGAGCGTCGGGGTTCGTCAGCAGAAAGGTGCTTGATGCGAGGCCTCAACAACCTGTCTGTGAGAGTTTTTCGTCCCTTTTTTTTGTGTTGGTGCCCGTGAATGAGTAATTGAGCGGAGCGATCGGTTTCTGGTGGGGCCCAGTCCAGTAATGATCCACTGCTCGGTGCGGAGCTAATGCGGTCCTGCGATACAGTAGAATGGCGGTAGAAGTTCGGGAAATGCTTTCACCTCATGTATGCAGCGCGATTGTGTTGGAAAGGAGGCCAAAAAGGGGGGTGTGCTTGGATGGCAAGACACGCGACCGGAGTAGGCTCAGTCAGTATGTCTCACGGTAAGAAAGCAAAGCACTTCGGCGCTCGTTTGGATCGGGGAGGCGCGGACTGGCGCTATCCTCATAGGAAAGGGAAGCCCGAGACAGTCAGGAGGTTTGTGCGCCATTGTTGCTCAGGTAGACACGACCCTTGATGTATCTGTGACTTGCTCCTGTCCTTTTGTAAATCGAAGCTGATCGACCCCCGCAGAATGATAGCTGAGTCAGCACATTAGCCGCAGAACGAAAGTATGGGGTAACTAGTCGCAATATACGGAGATTGGAGAGAGCAAGTAAAAACGTTGCGGGAATTATGATGGGATGGAAGTTCAAATATGGTAACTACGGGCTGCTACGGTCATATTGAAGTCTCAGTTGGTATTTCATTGAACCACAATTTTGCTAAGTCAGAGCTAGAGGGGATATGAGCAATTGGCCTGCCAATATAATCCCATTCATCAGGCGGTTATCGTCAATTTCGCTTTGAGGTAGGTATTTATTTAGGTGTTCAAGAGTGACTAGGTTCGGATCCAGTCCGCAACCAGGTCGCTTCGCTCGAAAATTATTATCGAAGACAGGCTAACGATCTTCGCATCCTCTGATGAGCAGAGGGGATTTCGAGTGATTGACGGATAATGTGTCACAATTCACACAGGGCTTGTTCTTGCTTCAGGCCGTCTACTGAGCGGCAGCAGCTTGACTGAAGAGTTGGGCTTCGTAGTCGGAGATAGCTTGGACCTTCTCGGCGGAGGCGCTCTTGGGGTCGAAGCGGTAGGTCAACCACTCGTTGGCGAGCTTCTTGGCAAGCTCAATACCAATGACGCGCTGGCCGAAGCAGAGCACCTGAGCATCGTTGCTAAGGATTGAGCGCTCGACGGAGAAAGAGTCGTGCGCCGTCACAGCACGAATCCCGGGTACTTTGTTGGCAGAGATAGCGACCCCGAGACCAGTGCCGCAGATAAACAGCCCGCGGTCTGCCTTGCCCTCCTTGATGAGTTTGGCGCCAGCGACAGCGGGATGAGGGTACGCTGTCTTGTCTGTAGTGGAGTTGACGCCTACGTCGAGGATAGAGTCGACCAGCGGGCTTTTCGACAAGGCGGCCTTGAGGGTTTCCTTATAGGGCTGACCAGCCTCATCGCAGGCCATGACGATGCGGAGGGGCTTGAGATCGGTAGACATGATGGGTATTAAGCGATTAACAGGTGAAATGTGATGTATAATGGACCCTCGCGAATGAGACGGACAGGAAGGGTGGACTATATGTCTGATAAAGGACAAGAGTGGATGATGGAACAATGATGAAAAAAATGTAGTCTGGGACTGGGATCGAATCAGCCTTTATATCCTCCTCCACCGAATCCTTCCTCGAGCTCTCTTTCTTTTGGACCCGAACAGAATGCCGGCTGAGCCTGGGTGCGTGCCTCTTGAGACCCAAACTTTGGTGTTTAATGAGGGGAGAGGACACTGCTCACTGCTCCAATCAGCGCCTTCGACAGCATCCGGTGCATTCAGCACACTGCAGTAAGACTGCAGTACGTGCAGTACGAACAATATCTGACGCGCGCACCTCCAGAGGTCGCTTGTCTCCACACCAGCGATCGTTCCAAAGAAGCCTGTTCCGATGGAATGCAGGTTGATTGAATGTTTGGTTCTGGCAGGTCCACCATGGCGTCATGAGCTTATCCGCCGGGGAAAGGGAGACTCCCAATATCTGTTCCGATTAATGTACCTTAATTATTACCTACTCATCCAGTGTTACATACCAAGATAGTCGTCCAAATTCGGAAACCCGGCGTTGCATGGAACCAATGATCCACAATGGATCCGTTCATCCTTCAGTCGCCCGCCAGGCTAGTTTATCAACAATTATCCTCGGCTCTGGACGCGACTCCCAGCCAGGCACCAAATTTTGAAATCAATGTGTTTGATGTTTGGACCGCAATGCTCCTCTTGCCTTGAAATGTATAACGTTGTTACTGATCCTTTCCAGTGCAGAGCAAGCTAACCATCCTCGGATAGCGTCTGTACCGATTTGACTTACTCCTCGACACCGCCTCTGAAGTACACGACTACACCCACCATGCATTCCTGAGTCGTTGTTTGGCACCTGTCTCTGCCTCATGCTGGGTGGCTTGCAGAAGAACCAAAGAACCCCTTTTTTTTTCTCTTTGCAGATGGTTGGTACTAGCTAAGGTATGCAGGTCGACGTATCAAGTCTATCATTCATTGATGCGCAAACCAGCTCCTCGCCGTGCTGACGATTGATCGACTCTCTTCCAACATCTCCGGCTCTGTTAGGAGTATCTGAGTAACCTTTATGACATGGGAGGCTCAAACCCGGTGCCTGGTTACGCCGCAGTGGCTGCCGTGGTTAGATTGAGAATTGTTAACCTAGAAGAGTATAAACTGCAGACCGAAAATCTGCAGAGGTACTGTACGCGAGGCTTTTACTCGCCCTATCAGCAGGCACAATCTCCTATCCTTGCGAAGACAGGCCAGGGTAAAGTCGGAACCAGCAGGAGACATGATTTAGTTACGTCGATGGGCTGCCGTTCAGGTCCATTAATGAAGCCGACCAAAACTTGAGGAGCTTCCAGACAATGACGACCCAATGGGGTGGGCGGAACACCACCACACTCTAGAGAAATGTTGCAGATTGCATATGATATGTTTGCGCCGATGCAGTGATGTGTCGTCCAAGCCGAAAATGTCGACTCTGTCCGGTACGGTACGAGTACTGTACATAGGGACTACCGTATGGAGTAGATACCTCTAACTCATTCATAGATCCAGGCGCGGCGCACATCGGAGTGGGTTTTGGAGTGGATTGCACGCTCGATTCTCCACTCCCGCCCCACGGCGGATCGACTGAGCTGCCAACGTGCCTAGACTACTTTTACTACGTAGTCATCTTATATATTGATTGTTGTTTAATGCAGCCCATCAATTAGTATTATGCACTGTAGTCGAGTGCCTCTGAATTATGAATATGTTGCCTGCGATTCCGGATCTTGCGACTCTCCGTATCTTACCGTACTCAAAAGAGTCATCCGTACCTTTAGGTCTTTCATCTTTCCCAAGCAAGCCATGCTGCAAGCCACCATCTTAGAGGGGGCAAGACCGGGGTCGATCAACCCCTCCTCCTGCCGTGCCACAATACTGCATCCATCTTCATTTTCAGCACGAGATTATAGAAGAATAGAGTGGTTCCATATGGTAGAGTAGAGTTTCCACCCCTCCGTGAGATGTCCCGGTACTGTGCGTTGACATCATCTCGTGTTCCAAGCACTAGCCAGGTATGCGATGTCAGCTGCGTTCTTTTCCTCTCCTTCAGCTGAAGTTGGCTCTGCCCTTCTCTTCCAGTCTCAGCAAGCATGCCAGAAACCTGCACATACTCATAAATCTCAATTTTGATTGCTTCTCTGAAACTAGAGATGCAACACGAAGTAGCGCATGCACCGGGCCTGGTACGGAGTAGTCTATGAACTAAAGGGCACTACGGCCGTGCCCCTCCTTTCCCAGCAGCATCTTACCCCACCCCGTCATCCGATCCTATCGCTCCGATAACCGATACCACTCCAGAGTCCAGACTGTACTGACATTCCTGTTTGATTCAAGGGTGACAGCAAAGCTCCCGATTTGGGACTAGTAGACCGCTTCCTCAGATTCCTCCAAGTGGTTTTGAAGGATCCATGACTCGCCAAACTATCCCCGAGCCAACAGCTTGAACCTCGACTGAACATCCACCACCACCACAACTATTTGTTCCCATCACCACCACCATCATCATCACCACCACCACCACTACCGTCAATCACCATAACCAGCCACCATGACATTAACATACCCTACCCTCCCCCCAACCCTCCTCATCATCTCCCTAAAGATGTACTTCACCCCCGCCCGCACCCAAGAATACTGCCGCGCCCTCCTCGACCCGCAGAATAAAATCGTCCGACCCTCACACCACAACTCCAAGCTCCTCCTAGCCCTCATCCCCGACTTCCTCACCATCTACCCCTGCGCCGAGATCATCAAGCAATGGGAAGCAGCGACATCGCCACCCCAACAACAACAGCAACAACAACAAGACCGGACATTCCTCCTCGGCGCCCAAGACTGCTTCTGGGAGACTCAAGGCCCCTACACCGGCGAGGTCTCGCCGTCCGCTCTGCGGGCGCTGGGCGTCTCGATCGTGGAACTCGGCCATGCGGAGCGCCGCGATCTCTTCGGCGAGACCGACAAGCAGACCGGCCGCAAGGCGGCGGCCGTGTGCGCCAACGGCATGGTCCCCTTGGTGTGCATCGGCGAGGTCACCGCCCCGGGCCCCGTCGCCTCGCAGGCTGTCGGGCGCGCGGTGCAAGAGTGTGCGGGCCAGGTGCGCGCGGTGCTGGACGCCATCCCCGCGGACGCGCCGGTCATCTTTGCCTACGAGCCGGTCTGGGCGATTGGGAAGCCGGCGCCCGCGGGCGTGGAGCATATTGCTGCGGTGGTGGAGGGGATTAAGGCTGTGGGCATGGGGAGTGGTGGTACCGCCGGCAGCCGCGCGGGGGAGGTCCGCATTCTCTATGGGGGAAGTGCCGGCCCCGGGCTGTGGGGCGCGGGCGGGCTGGGCAAGGCCGTCGATGGCATGTTCCTGGGGAGGTTCGCCCACGAGATTGATGGGGTTCGCAAGGTGGTTCGCGAGGTCGAGGAGACGATAGGCTTGACGGCGTGAGTGAGAGTCGGGAAATTTTTGTTCCTGTGTATTGAACGGTTTTCAAGTCGGTACGCGACTATTCCATTGAGCAATGGCAGTACGAGGCAGGATCCAATACCTGACCTGACATGATACGAGTTGAAACCGCCAAAATTATTCTTTTCGAAGCTGGCTATTCTCTAAAAGGCAATGCCGAAACAATGGCATGCTGCCTTTCCGCCGGGGGTAGGAGGGGCGACAATGCTTTGCCAAATCTCCAACTTCTCTTCTCGTGCTCGGGATGGTTGTTCTTGGTGCTTCCGGGGATCTGGACTCCCGTCGAACTTGCGCGGAGTTGGTCCCGTGCGGGGAAAGAAAAAAAACACGTGGGGGCACCTGACCTTTCCCCAACTGCTTATTACGGAAATGGTGCATCATTAGTGGCTCGGTCTTTCATGCTTCATGCTTCATGCTTCATGCCTCATCTCCTCCCCCGGCTAGGAGGCTCGGTGGGACTATTGATGGTCTAACAGTTAACTTACTTTTAATCTATTTACAGCGACAGCGGGACCGGACCCGGAATCTCCTTCTATGGACGAGTAACCACCCCCAACCCCCCCCAAAAACACTCCGGCCCCTCTTTCTAAACACTTCTCAACAAATCTATTGCTGCTTCTTGCCCTCGCGCATCTCCTGCTTCACGCGCGTGACCGTTCCCATGCCCCCGTAAGTGATAGCCGTGTACATCATTGCAACCGAGGCTCCAGCGTCCAGAACTGCTTGCGCCTGCTGGCCGTTGGTGACACCGCCGGAAGCGAAAATGACCTTCCGGGCCAGGCTGTCCGAGGATTTCGGAGGCTCCACCGAGGGAGTGTTCTCTGTGTCCGGCTCGACCTGGGCCACGGTCGTGGTGGCCTCCGCGGCGGCTCCCGTCAGCTCCGGAGTGTTGGGAGTGGCATCGAGCATCGCCCGGTAACGAGCGACAAGCGAGACGGTACGGTCGAACAGCTGGGGTCCGGAATAACCTCCCGTTTCCTTCAAGGTCTCCTGCTCCGCAGCCGGTAGGGTGACTCCCTTGGGGAGAGCATCAGGACGACGGTTGGTGGTGTTACCGACGATCACACCGTCCACACCGGAACTCCACACAGCCTGGCAGATGCCAGAGACCTGCTCGTCTGCATCCTCGTCGGGGCTAACCTTCACCATGACATAGGGCTTGGTGGTGCGATCAATGCTCTTGGCAGCTCCGACAACGGCCTTCAGGATGGCCGTCAGGGGAGCAGTCGCCTGGAGGTCACGCAGACCGGGGGTGTTGGGACTAGAGACGTTCACAACCAGGATATCAGCGTACTTAGCCACGCGGTCCACGCAATACACGTAGTCACGCTTGATGGCCTCGATGTCGTTGTCAGGGGTGACCTTGTTCTTAGCCACCTGCACAGCAAGAAGCTTGCCGGGCCGCAGACTACCTGGAGGCACGCCGGCCTCGCCGTTGAGCACGCGCTTCTCAGCCAGTTCATGCTCCCCGAATCCATTAGCGTAGGCGAAATCCTTGACACGCTGCTCAAGCACGGCAGCCATGTGGTCGGCACCCTTGGAGTTGAGGCCGTAGCGGTTGATCATGGCGTTCTGGGAGACGACACGGAATACGCGAGGACGGGGATTCCCATCCTGCGGCAGAGGGGTCGTTCCACCGACCTCGACAATGGCAGGCCCGATTTCGAACAGCGGATCCGGGATGTCAGCGTGCTTGTCCAGTCCACCAGAGATACCAATAGGGTTGGAAAGAGTGTATCCGAAGACCTAACGACGGCGGAACAAAATCAGCAAGATGTCATGGATAGACCCTCTTCCTCACCCCCCCCCCCCCCACACCTAGGTAAAAGAGAAGCCAGGCCTTACCTCCGTCACCAATGACCCATCTCCGTCCGGATCGCCCCGTTCTCTGGGATTAAGACCGTACTTGTAGAGCGTCTTCAAGATATCCACGCCGAAGTGATGCGCATCCTCCGCATCGGGGAACAACGCCCTAACCAACGGAACCACACCGTACCGATGCACACTGGCCCTAGTATCCGTGGCATACACGTACCCGACGAGCGCACCCAACGCCAGCGTCGTTCCGATGACCGTCCTCTTGAGCCCACGACCGGCCTTCTTGGGTGCCTCCTTCGCCACCGTCTCCGCAGTCTCCGCAGCCTTGGCCGCGTTCTCCTTCACCGTCGCTTCGGCGGCCTCGGCCGCAGCCTCCGTGGCCTTCTCGCCCGACGAGGCAAATCGCACCTGACCCAAGAGTTGCGCGGGGAATGGCATTGAGCGGCGATAAAGCATCGAGGAGGGAACGGGGGACGCGGTGCACTGGAGGCGCAGAGAGCGTGGAAGTGCGCGGGCTCGCGAGGCCCTCCAGACTGCGTTGGCGGCCATTGTGAGTTGTTTCCGGGGGAGCGGCGTCAGTGAACAGTGATTGTTCTAATTCTTGTCAAGTGTTGCGTTCTTCGCCGGGAAGAACTCGGTTTCAAGGAGGTTGAGAAAGGTTGATGACCTATCTGGATGGTAGTGGGTAGGGTGTTAGTTAAATGGTTTCAAGTGACGTGCTCATGGTAAGTAAGAGCTTTCTATGCTATACAGAGGAGGCATTGAAAGGGAATTGCAGGTAAAGGAGGGATAGGAGGTCCAAGAAGTCGACGACTTTGAGATGTGTATGGTATATGGAGAAACTTCCAGCGATAATAAGACAGGTATAACAAGTATGGGAATGTGATAAACCAAGTGATTCAACTTTTGCAATTGTGACGGAGTGCCTCCACCGCAGTGTATACGAGCGTCTGGTATTTCAAGAGTCGCATAGAGCCCAGGCCACTGCATATGGCCTTCACTGAAGCTTCCGGTTCTTTCTGCCATTCCCCGCGAAAACGGAGTGGAACCGCGCGGGTTGAAAATGGCTGCATGAGGAAGGGAAGAACAACAAAAATCGACTTACCACACCCGCCTAATGCTTGAGTTGCGTGCAATTGAGAGCAGCTCTTGCGCAGTATTGATGGGAAAGTGAAGCGAGCCGAGATTGAGCAGCAATCGTAGGCTTGAGTAGTAAAGAAAAGAGCCCCGACTCGGGAGGGAGGGGATACAGCCGGCTTTGCGACAGCCGAAGTCAAGCCGACAACGGACGGTTTTCGAGGCGGTGGGGTGAATTCAAGCGGCAGAATTATGCGGGCCTGGATGCGGAGGGACAGGCGAGCAGGCGGTGTGTAGTATTATTACGAGGATTGATAGTAATCGACAATAGATTAGCGATCAGCACGTCAGATTTCCATGTTCAATTGACTAGAAATAGATATTTACGGTATAATACAAGGTGCGCTTGTCCAATCCGCCAGCATCGTCCAACTTGGAAACACAAATAGATACTAAATGTCTAGCGTTGAGGAATGCAGGTGAGTGCAGATTTGAGCACAAGATAAGGAACCCAATCGAGCTGAAGTGAACTTTCGCTATGTTTCAGAACTCCAAGATCACGCATACCGCCTTGGAACGCCTGCGCTTTTGCTGCCATGACTTCGTGGCTGTCTCAGCCGTCCAGAGTGCATGCGTCTGCTTGGTACATGTTGGGAACATCTGAAGTGGCGGACGACAGCAATGTTTGGTGAAGAAGCTGAAGAAAAGACTTGTATTAAACGAATGAGAGAGTATGTTAACAAATGCAATGCACACCCAGTAGGACAAGGAGCAGGGCATGATAGGCATGGATACCACTGCCCCACGTGAATAGGAATGGCGGTAGATGGCGGTAGAGAAGAGCGATGCGGTGGCTGGTTCACTCGTCGCTCATATCGTCGTCATCTGCATCGTGAGGAGTTGGCTCCCGCTCAACGCTTGCGTCGCGGTGAGCAGATGCATCGAACTCGTCCTCATCCTTGGTGGCTTCCGGCTCGGATTCTTCCGGGGCGGGAGGCATACTTTTCGAATATTTCGGGTCAATGGCAAGTCTGTGTTGAGCCCGCTTGTATGCCTCCGCCTCATCTGGATCGCGGATGACAACTTGCATCTGATCAACTTGGTCTTCTTTCGTCTTGGGCCGCGTAGGGGCGAGACCCGCCTGCGCAATGGTACGGGCTCTCTCGGGCTTCAAACGAGTCTTTCCAAGAATGGGATAGTAGTAGGCGGCCACCTGTCTCGCAGACAAGCTGTCGCGCTGGCCTCCTCGCACCTCAGAAGGATCAAAAAGCGTGACGGCTATGTCTCGCTGCTTCTGGCTATCACCGAGGGTTTGAGCGCTGGTAGCATATGTACGAGCACGATCGTAACGGTGAAACTTGGTACCGTCAGGCCCGTCATGAGTGTACAGCTCTTCACTATTACGGTCCGGGTTGGTCAACTGCAGACTTGCAGAAACGCTCTTGGCCATCTCTTTCTTCTCGGGTAAGAACAGATCGTAGTCCCAGGGAATGGGACCGGGGTCAGGATACAAATCAGGATTTGACTTGTGCAGGGCGGCCTTGGTCGCGTGCTCCTCGCATATGCGCTCCTCTGGTGCAGACGGATGTAGAATTGCCACATCCATGCGCTTGTCTCTCTTATTTGATATCTCCTGGATGGGTGTTTTATCGAACTTGAATTGAACGAAGCCTCCTGGATCAGGGAATCCTTGTAGATCAGGAAGGAGAGGGAAGAACCCGACCGGCTTCAATTTAGGATTGTCAGGATGCACTGGATGAGCCCATGCATCAAGTTCGAGCTTCGTCGCAGTGTGCCCCTTAATGCTGCTCGCCGTATCTTCGCCAACATGCTTGCTATTGGGGTACGCGATGTCGAACCCTTTCTGGAGGTACTTCTTGATATAGATAGGGTCATCCTGTGACCGGCCTTTGTCGAGGGAACGCGACTTTGTTCTGACTGTCGTGACCTTGGGGCTATCCGGCGCACGAAGCCCCGCAGAAATGTATTGTGTGCGACGGAGGAAACTGACGTTGGTGTTTTTCGGGGCAGGGTTCTTCAGCTGTTCCGGTGTCATGAGAAGTGCGAGATCGGCGGGGTCAAGGGGTTCGGGGTTCTCGGGAGCCATGATAGCTACACGTTAATTGCTGTCAGCAATTGCGCCAAAGACCTTATGCGCACAGGATTGACAAACGCACCACTCTCATCGCCCAGATGCAGGCCGGGAATACCGACCAAGTCGAGGGGCATACCACCCTCGGCGTCAACATCGATGTTAGGTTCCTCGCGACGAGCCAGATTGGCCGTGAAACCTGGTGTCAAAAATCGTTGGAGGCCCTCATGAGGTATCTCCATGAACTTCGGAGGCATGTCCGGCGGAGGTAGGTCATTGCGATAGCGTAGAGATGCGATGTACTCTTGGTGAAAGCCCCCCGAGGAGCTGCTGTCCTTTGATTTCGACATTGTGTCTTGTGAGCTTTGAGAATATCTACTACCGACTGGTATAGGTTGTTGCTAAGCTTGGATAGAGATACTTGAGCTCTTAAGTCGGGCGTGTCAGTTCACAGGCGCTCTCACCATTGGTCGTCGCATGTTTGACTTACCTAGGTGGCCGGGGTTTTAAGCCCTCCAAGAATTTTCAAGCTTGAGAACCGATTTTGGGGTTCCGGTCACGTCCTTATAGCTGAAGCCAGATGCGAACGAGTATGCATCTAAGGTATAATAAAGGAAGTTTTGAGGACATGCGTGCACTACAGGCTAAGACTAGAGGATTCAGGACAAACTCACCTGTCTGAGTCGGAGACATTCTGCACTCTGTGACCGCCTACTACTCGTGAAACGCAAAAGTCTCGGAAAGTGGTTTCTCCGCAAGCGAATGATCAATGTATATCAGTCTACTACACAAGTTCGATCGCGGGAGATTGAAGAGTGAAACTAGCGTGATAATCAGACGGAGAAACTCTTTCTGAACATTGAACAACTCGAAATAAAACATATCAACCAAGGATATAATAGAGCGACTATAACCTGTATCATAGGTAATCCGATACCCACCAACACCGACCATTATTGAAGCAAAATGCCAAAAGGCCACCAAGGCATCATGCGAAAATCAGTAAGACCACATGCACTTGTACGCCATCAACCTATGTCCCAGGCGATCATATTCCAGCTGCCCTATCCAGCTATCATTGGTTCCACTCAATTTACCGAAGACGCTTGCGCCTTTCCAGACAACGACCTGCGGGTCGAGATCCCGGGGAGGAGTGCCGATCATGATCTCCTTGGCAAATCCTGGTCGAAGGTTCTGGAGACGCTCTTCCAGATATGAGTGAAAGCCATTGATCAAGCTTCCGCCTCCCACGACCATAATACCGCCAAGAAAATCTCGCATCTTACGTTCGTCGGAACGAGCCGCATGCGCAATAGACGTTAAAATTGCACTGTCCAGCGGGAAGTTTGGTAGGATGTCATCGCGTTCCTCAACAGTAGGCGGACGGTTAGGCAATGCGCTCTGGCCCTGGCCAGCAGGCACAGGCGTAGCCCCGCCGGGAAGTGGTGTACCCAGCGTCTCCGGTGCCGGCGATCCGGCAACAGACGATCGGGGTGTGGCGTCTAGCTCCTGTACACGGCTGAGAGCATTGATCTGTTGGGATCGACTCGGTGTAGCCTGCACCTCCAACGTATTCGATTGAGCATCGCCATTTACCTGGCCATGGTTGATAGGAGGGGCAAGAGCAGTTAGAATCTCGGACTGAGCCGCCGATGTAGGGTCGTTGGGCTGTCCATCGTAAATATCAACTGAGCGAGCAATGAGTTTTCTCCTGCCCTTGAGCTTCTCCTCGTGGTTGAATATGGATGGCTGGAAGTAGCCCATGGGTGCCAGATGAATCTCATCGTAGGCTTTGAATGTGTATTTCCGGGTGTCTTGGCCGGCGACTCGAAGGTGGAAATCGTAGACCTGCACGGATACGCTTGCCTCGTTCATCGTACAGACATTCTTCTTCAGCTCTTCGGCCAACAAGAAGTCATATCTGTGCCAGAGGTTGATCTCGGCATAGGGGAAGTGGTCGTAAAGCATCATCTTGACAAATGTCTCGGTCACATCGAGACCACCGTACTTCAGGTTCACTCGCGAGTTTTCGATGCACATGCCCTCTTCCACGCAGCAGATTGATGTTTTTTGAGCACCAATGTCAACCACACAGGCAGATGTGAACCCTGCACCAAACGTGGCGGCCAAGCTCTCTTGAATGAAGCAGCTGCGAGCAAAGGCGAATTCTCGCATGAGTAGTTCCAGAACTTGGGTGACGTATGACTTCTCGTATAAGTCTGGGATGACAAAGACACATGAGTACTGAGGCCAGTCCTTCTTGCTCGTGAGTCCTAGTTGCGATTTGATAGCATCCTCGAGGATGAGCGAAATATCCAAAAACAAGAGTCTCTTGTTGTCGTAGTCTGTCTCGTTGCACCAGCCATGCTTTATTGGCCAGTAGAGTTTATACCGGGGCTTGGATGCATCGGGTATCCTTAGAGCTGCTTGTCCCACAATGTACTCAGGTGCAGGATCTGAGAGCTCGGTCCATTCAACCCGCATAGGATCATTGTGCTCTGAAATGGTTTCCGGTACTGTCCTCCGATTGTAGTTGATGACCATCTCTTTTGAGTTTGGTAATGTCCGACGCTTGTTTTGTCGCATATGGGCTTTCAGTTCTGCCGACATTGTCGTGTACTGGGAAGCGAACTATTACCAGAGCGCGATGATCAGCAAAGTAATCTGCCGTGAAAAGAAAGCTGGAGACAAACCTCAGGACCGAACATCTTTTCGGGTTCCAAGTCCGATCCATCGTCCATCTTTAGCCGCTTTGGACATGGCTCTTCGTGATCTTCGGCTTCGTTGGATGGCGATTTTCGCGCAATCACCATGGGTATGGTCTTTGGCAAAGCGTCGCTAGCCAGTCCGATACGTAGGTTCTGGCTTCCGACGTGGACCACGATCACCTTGGAGCCCGCCGTCTCGGCAGTCGTCTCCTCGGCGTCCTCCATATTGGTATCACCATCTCCTTCTGCCTCTGCTTCTGGTAGTCCTAGGTCATTCGCCTTGGCCATAGCCAGCGCACGGTCCCGGTCTTTAGCTGTCTTCGCCATTCGATTCCGCGCCTCCTCGTTCTGCAGTCGAAATGCAAGGTACTGATCATCGCGCTTGAGATAATCACTGTAGATGGTAATAGGCAGTCAGGTAAAGAAAGGCAATCCGAACTTATAGCGGTGAAGGCGATAGCGTACGTATAGTAGTTTTTCTGGTTGATTGGAGGTATTTGCGGCCAGCTTGACAGCTCCATATTGTTGTCGGTTCTCTCGAGACCTGTTCTCAATCAATCAGACGATGGCAGGCGAGTCGGATAGCACTGGAGCGACCATACCCTCATCCCGAAGGAGAGCCTTGCCCGATTTCTTCCCAACCATATTGAAAGGCTGATTGTGCAATCGGCGATGCGATGTAGGTTAGATGACGGGAAATTCGTTTTGAGATGGTGGAATTGAAATTATCGTGGTTATAAGAAACACATTCGTATGTTTTCAACTTCTCACTCTATTGGAGGGAGATCAAGTTGCGACAATTAAAGAGTTGGCAGGGAAGGCAGGGAAGGGAGGTTGTGAGGGAATTGAGCGATGAACGACCGACCCAGCGATAAACTGGTAAGGGAATCCGGAGAACGATACTAACCTACCTGCACAGTACAGTACACACACTCCATTGAGTGAGCTCGGGCCAGCCCGATCGGCAGGAGACCGCAAGCAAGTCACGGTCACCACCATTTAGTCAGCTCTTGGTCCTCGCTCGTTGAGCTGTTGCGGTAGGTTTTGGCCATATCTGTTATTTCTTCAAAGACATATTCGTCTACTTCTTCCCAATTTGACCTTGCACACCATACTTACTTCTTGGTCGGTGCAGTTGTTTGGACGACTTGATCGTTGTGTTTGTGTTCGCCCGCATCTCCGCCACCGCTCCAACGCCCTGATCCATCCCGCCGCAAAGACAATAGACAGACAAGACAGCCTCCGTCTCACGCCTTCCACTTCCCCCCGCCTCCGAACCCACGATCAGCTTATTTGTATCGCCGCGATGGGAGGTTCGCTTTCACGTCTCTGGTCCTTCGTTTGGGCAAAGAAAGAAATCCGCATCTTGATCCTTGGACTCGTATGTTCTTTCGACGTCACGCTACCGTTTGTAGCTATTACCACCTCCCCGCGGCTAATGGTCTCGCTTACTTAGGACAATGCTGGAAAAACAACTCTTCTTTACCGACTGAAGGTGCGCCCTGGAATAATCTTGAGATACATGTCGCGGAATCTTACGGGAGTCTTCTAGATTGGTGAAGTGGTCACGACGATACCCACGATTGGATTTAACGTTGAATCGGTGACGTATGGAAATTTGAACTTCAATGTTTGGGTGAGTACAACAACTTTTGGCGACTGCGACCTTCCTTGTTCCCAAAAGATTAGTGCGATGAGAGTTCCTCTCGGCTGACTTCCTTGCCTCTTACAGGACCTCGGAGGTCAAACATCCATCCGTCCATACTGGCGATGCTACTATGCCAACACCGCTGCGGTCATATTCGTCATCGACTCAACAGATATTGAACGACTCGGCACGGCTGCGGATGAGCTGGCGGCGATGCTCAACGAGGAGGAGCTTCGTGATGCGGCCCTGTTGGTGTTTGCCAACAAGCAGGACCAGCCGGGTGCCAAGGGCGCCGGCGAGATCTCTGAGGCTCTGAAGTTGGGCGAACTGCGGGACAGAAATTGGAGCATTGTCGCATGCTCTGCTATTGATGGCAAAGGTCTGAATGAGGGCATGGACTGGCTGGTTGTAAGTGATGTTGCTGGTATTTATCTTTGTTCGGACTTACTAACCGTCCTCGCCTCCTAGCAAACACTTCAGTCGGAGAACGCATAACCCCGATGCTGCGATACCAGTCATGTCATAGATTTGCTTTTGATACACCTTCGAACTCGGATGGAAAACCACAAAGAAACGTGGACGCGCCAGCTTTGTTTAGGGGCTTCTTGCGTCGCCTGTGCGCCTTTTTTAACATTGTTCTCTTTCGAGGCACGGCTGTCGTTTATACATTATACCTCTTTGATTCCGAAATGTGTTATACGTTGCATAATACCTTAATTCATTCTACCATGATCCTCGTTGTCTTGGCTGTAAGGACATAGTGTTACTGAGTGAGATGTTTGAGCTAGAGCAGTTGAACTTAGGACCAGTCAATTTTCGTCTGTCTACTTGCTGCACAGTTACTATATACTGACTTCATTAATATGTTTTGCGGTTCCATTGTTTAAAGTGTCTCTTCGTCGAAACTGCATATCCAAGTCTTTGAGAAAACGAGCCAGATCACTATCCCTATTTATACCTCTTCAAGGCTTAGGCCCAGTGCCCTTGAACTTATAGGCACAGCCCAACTTCTTAGAGCAGTCCATATTATTTTTCATACGGATCCCTCCTCGGCACACCTCCACACAGTTGGAATCTACCAAGATATCTTCTTATCTTAGCTCCTATCAGTGACGCTGGTTATCACAGCGATGCATAGATAACCCACCTACAATACAATCTTAATCAGATTAGCCGACCAAGTCTGAGAATCAAGACCAAAAAATCTGTGAATAGCGTATAGGGCCTCTGTTATATACCATATCTTCTATTGTCCGATAAGCTCCTCTCTTCCCCGCACTAGCCATCGAAACCCCTAATCTATATATTCGAGATACCCCGCAATGACCCATCTATAATTATTCACAAATTGACGTCTCCCTTGCAGCCCATCACTAGCTCCTGATACCTTTGAGAAGAGAAATCATACATCATAAACCGCCACAGATACGATACGATGAGCATCCCATCAAGCCAAACCGCAGCCCTCATCCCCGCAACCGGGGCCTCTCCTACCGCGCGCCTTCGAATCCGACACGATCACCCCGTGCCATCACCGACGGAGGGACAGATTCTTGTTAAGCTGGAGTACTCCGGGGTATGTCACTCGGATGTACACAGTGTGCGCGGGGAGACGCCCATGTTAACCGACGTGGCGGGCCATGAAGGCGTGGGGAAGGTGGTCAAAGGTAAGTATTTGACTTCCTTTCTAATGGCATCAGTGCTCCTGGTTAATCTAGTTAGTCCGCTAACTGGCATCTGGCATAGTGGGCAGTGGGCTTGACGAGCAAGTCTGGTTAGGAAAGAGAGTAGGGATACGGTTCGCACATTGGCCCTTCCTTCAGTATGTCTACAATCTGGACGAGATCTAACGACGATTGAACGGTGTCTACAGCTGGCTATACAGCACCTGCTTGGAGTGCGAGATATGCGCTATCAATAACACGGCGTGTCCATACCAAAAGAACGCTGGAGCGGTAGGTTAAGTTTCTCACTATGGTGTCTGGTTGGAGACGCTGTGTCTAGAGCTGATCTCAACGACCAAGAATATTCCGGGAACTTTTCAGCGTGAGTAACCGGCGAACTCCAATTCAATCCAAACGCGCGCGGTCTAGCTGACCGGAGCGATGCGAGGTCAGAATACATTGTCAGCCCTGCAAATCATGTCACCATCATTCCTCCGAGCCTGGAGCCAGACGTCGCTGCTCCCCTGTTGTGTGGTATGTCTTATCTCTCTCGCCTTTGTCCTTCTGCGGTATGCGTCATTGACGACCCTCTTATGAACTATTAGCTGGAATTGCCATGTACTCTTCGATAATGAAGACGAAGACTCGACCGGGAGACTGGATCGTGATCCCCGGCGCAGGCGGCGGGTTGGGCCACATGTAAGCTCTATCACCGTGCTACACCCGGAGCATAGGTACCGTTGGCTGAACCGTTGCCACAATAGGGGTATTCAAATCGCCGTCAAAAAGGGGCTCAAAGTTATCGCGATCGATAGGTAACTGCTTCTGCCCCATGCCATGCGCAAGCCCTTCGTTGCTCAAAGAACATGACTACCCTAACGAAGCCCGCTGACACGAACACCCCCCCTTCATCCAGCGGCGAAAAGAAGAGACAGCTCTGCCACTCCCTCGGAGCCACCAGTTTCCTCGACTACAAGACCGACGACATCGAGCACCGCGTCAAAGCCTTGACGTCAGGCCTAGGCGCGCACGCCGTGATCTGCACCGCCAACAGCGAGCAGGCGTACGTCCAAAGTATGAGCCTGCTTCGGAGGCTGGGAGTCCTGGTGTGTGTGGGTATCCCGAACGCACCGTTTCGACTCCCAGCGACCCCATTTGACATGATTGTTAAAGGTAAGGGAGGGAGATGTTTCCGGGAGTTTCTGTGGAGAGAAAAACGCTACGCAGCGGCTGATCTTTGAGATTGCGGCTAGGGCTCACGATCGTCGGCAACTCGGCTGGCACTGCGAAGGAAATGGATGAATTGATGGAGCTGGCTGTAGCGGGAGATGTGAAGGCGCATATCGAGACATATGACTTGGATGACATTGACGACGTCCTGGATCGGCTGGGACGCTCGGAAATCGATGGAAGAGCTGTTGTGCGGATTCCATGAGAGATTGTCTGGCGCGCTTCTGGGTAAAATTGATGTGTTTCACGAGACCTCTAGTCTGTTGCTTGTTAGGCAATTTGGTCATGGGGCCTGGTGCTTAAAACAATTGCCTTGAGCATTTGGTGGTGGTGGTGTTATTGTTGCCTGGGTGGTTAAGCAGGAACGAATTGACTTGGTTCGAAGGTAAATAGCTTCGAACCATGTTGATTTTTTACTCATGAACGCCGGCATGCTTCCCCTAAGCTAGATTTATTGCGAGATGCGCGTGGTCTTCAAGGTTTCTAGTAGCGCAACTCTCGAAACTACGAAAATAGCAGGTGCCATGTTAGCTCGAACTCTTGGAGAGGCTTACGGTGGTCCATATGAGTGGCTTGCTGAAAGGTGTAGAAACCTCGAATGGAACACATTAGCTGAGGCAAAAATTAGATTTGATCAGATATATAGTAGCTAGTAGGGATTGAAACCGTCAACGCATGAGAGATATCATCACAGGGGCTCCTATTGCCTCACAGGAAACCGTTACCAAACCGATAAAACGAGAAGACGAATCTCGTACCCCGACATTATCGAACCATAGCAGACCTAAATGTAGCTTCATAGTCTCGAGTTTCGACCTCTTGCAACCTTATGTGCATACGGGTGGGAGGCAGAATTAGGGATGAGGTGATCGATGTCTGCTGTATTGACGAGATGTGGGCCTGCTTCATCCAGGCTAGTGATTCCAACGTTGCGCATTGCTGTCTCGAGCTCATCCTTCATGACTGCAGATAATGAGATTAGCATCTGGGTCACATATCTAGCGGCGCAGCAGCCGAGTCTTACTATCGATCAAATGCTCAACGCCCTCCTGGCCATAATTGGCGGCGAAAAGCATGCTCCGCCCCATGCCCACGGCGGTTGCTCCCAGACAGATTGCCTTAAGAATATCCGTTCCGCGGCGAATACCACTGTCAACGTAGATTTCCATCTTGTCAAAGACCTCCGGACACCGCTTGTGAAGTTCGAGCAGAGTGATGATGGACGGTGGGCTGGTATCTAAATTCCGGCCTCCGTGATTGCTCAAAAGAATCCCATCAAGGCCGGCCTCCATGGCCAGGATAGCATCATCGGCAGACATAACGCCTTTCAAGCACACGGGCAGGTGAGTATGCTGCCGCACCCATGCTAAGTCCTCCCATGTCAGACCGGGATCAATGAAACCGGCCATGACACGGCCGAGACCGCCGCCCTTCTTGTCATTCTTAGCTTTCGAAGGTGCCATGGGAACGGTCAGATCCTCGTCCGCCTTGACACGCTCATCCGCCTCCCTTTTACCGGGCCATGCAGCGTCGACGGTCACAAAGATTCCCTTGACATTAGGATTAGCAGAGCATTGATGGAGAAGCGAAGCTGACTTCTCCCGGTCGCGGTTAACGTATAGTTGGAAGAAAAGGGACGCTGATGGCGCAGCCTCTTGAATCTCCTCGAGAGTATATGACGAGTTGTTAGACACCTACAGCCAATCTCGTTAGAAACCAGCCACGAAATGGTAAGGATGGGTGTGACTTACTCCCTGAAAGACGTTCTTGCTCTCGCAGGCTCTCGCAATGGCAAGCTCTCCGTCTGGGTGAATGAGCTTGGCCATGGCCGCCGGACTAACAAATAATGGGAGGCTCGTCTCAAGTCCAAGGAACTTGGTTCTCGTGTTGACAGACCGCACATTCCTCAGTACTCGTGGCCGAAGCCAGATGCGGTCAAAGCACGATTTGTTGGCGTTTCGCGTTATCAGGTCAGTCGAGGCGCTGGAATAGAACGCCCAGGTTTTTTTGCTGGCCGTTGAAGATGCCACCACTTCGAAATCATGGGAGTTGATCAAGGTGTGCAACGGTGGCTTTTCATTTTGGAGAACCATCTGCGGGCTTGCAGTAGGTGGTGGCTTCAGCCATTCATCGCTAATCGTGGCCTCATCTAAGACGCCCATATGCTTCTCTGCTGACAGCTTCGCCTTGATTAAACTCGAGGCATGCACCTCTGAGTATGGTTGGGTAGCATCACGACCCGCGTGCTTCAGGATAACTGTAGAGTGGGAACGGTCATTTACGGGATGTCCTCAGAGCATTCCAGCAGTTCTGGACATCACTTACCTGTTGGGCCTCCTGGATGCTCTTCTAAGAAATCTGTCATGTCCCATACTTGATTGTCCACAACAATCCAGCAGTCATTGGGTGAATTGTGCTTAGAGATCTGTTCTGTAGACAAGAGCTTCTTGACTGCCATTTTCTTCCCACTGTCAAGCAAGGCCAGACAGAAACACGCAAGATGAGATTTTGGATAATTGGGCGCCAATTACCAGGGAGAAGAGCTTGGTGGTTGTATCTGCCACTGTGTTCTGTTCCAATCTGATTGCAACTCAAGTTTTGCAACTTAAGTTCCTCAAGGGCAACCGAAGACGAACACCCAGGGAAGGGGCTCCATCAGTAGTAATAAATCCCCAGATCGACCAGTCTGCATGGTTCGGGGTAACATCAATGCGGAGTAACCTTAGCCGCATGGGAAGCCGCATAGCAAAAGCCGAGAAGGAATGATCAGCCACGTTTGTCAATCTGTTCCTACCGTCTGCACTATCAAGCGTCAATCTAGAACGATTATGACTTATCGTGCCTCTTAAGCATTGAGGAGACAATTATCATGAGAAGCGACGATGTCTGCACTGTGTCGCAATGTACGTTATTCATCTGTTGTACAGTTGTACATATAGATTCAGGGACGACAAACAACCACGGAGCATCGCCGAGGGAGAGTTTGCTCCGGCATGCGGAGATCTTTCCGCTCTTTGGTGGAGCCCTCAGGCCAAAAACTACGTCAGCATCCAGGACGTTTCTCACGATTTGAGGAATCTAGGGACCAAGTATGATGGGTAATTGAGTGGTGGGTTAGCAAGAATAAATTTTTTCTCCAAGGGCTCTTGTCATTTGGTCGAATTATACTGGATTGGGGTGTAGGTCGACAGATGGCTTTGAGTTCCCAGCTATGACGAGACTTGACCCTTTGCCCTGGACAAGGATTGGACCATGGCATTCCCCTGGCTACTTTGAAATTAAGTATCATATGATAGCGTACCGTGATTCATATTATGCTGCCATAGTAGTGAATGCATGTGAAGTTGAAATATTACGGTCAAGGCAGGGACAAAGTATGATATGCCACGTGACTGGCTAGACAATTTTTATCTTGCCTGAGGCATCAACGCTTAACCCAAAGTTCCTCGTCTACCTAGAGAGGCTTACCGGCCAAAATAATTCAGGCACACAAGTCCTTGATACCTCAATTTGAACCGCCGAGTCGCTGCTGACCATATCAGAGCATCTGTGGCTGTAACAGAGAGCAGTGCGCTGGAGCTTCTGATGCATGCTCTTGGTGTAGACAATTTGTTCAGATTATCTGGAATCAGTAAAAATCTTTGGAGCCTCGGGGCAATAGGAGCTAGCACCGCTACCGCTATAGATTGTTGGCGACCACGTCTCTGTCAGCCGCACCGAAATTTTTACCACAAATCAGGTATGTCCCAGTCCTGACTCGGGATGATGGCCTTGCTGCACACATGTGGTCTAGGTCTGACTCATTCCCGATCTGTCCCAGGACCTTAAGTCGGAGCCGTGAGACTTACTCGAATGCAGCAGCTTCTGGTGGATCACACACAAATCTGCATACCAGTTCTAGCTCTTGTGCATTGAAGAGAAGAAAATTCGAATTCAACAGATTCTCGACTTCAGCAAACATGGGCGACTCAAGCAAACCTATCCGATATGTTGATGTCGGTAAACTCATTGCGAATATGGAAGAATATCCTTGTATACTTGTTCACTCGCTGATGGCCACTCTAGATCGGAATCAATCTCAGTGACCCTGTCTTCATGGGTAATTACCATGGAAAGCAAGTTCATGACAACGACATGGATGACATTGTCCAGCGAGCTCAGGATGTGGGTTGCGAGAAATTCATGGTGACAGGCTCCGACTTGGAGGAGTCGCGGCGGGCTATTGAGATTGCACAGAAGTATCGTATGTCCTTCCCAATATACTTTAATCTGTATGCAACCTGACGTCCTCTGCAGCGGGGTTCTGCTATGCTACGGTTGGAGTTCACCCGTGTCAGGCGAAGCTCTTTGATGAACATCCTGGCGGACCTGCAAAAATGCTAGAGGAGCTTAGAACGCTAGTGTTCGAGGCCAAAGCATCGGGCCAAGCTGTTGCGTTTGGGGAGTTTGGTCTAGATTACGATCGGCTCTTCTTAAGCGCAAAGGAGCCCCAGCTGAAATATTTCGAAGCTCAATTGGATCTGGCGGTGGAGGTGCAACTCCCTCTCTTTCTCCATTCCAGAGCTGCCAGCGAAGATTTCGAACGTCTTCTGGCGCCCCGCCTTGAAAAGCTTCCTAAGAAAGGCCTCGTGCACAGTTTTACTGGAACACTTGACGAGATGAATCGAATGGTTGCCCTAGGTCTCGATGTCGGTGTTAACGGCTGCAGTCTGAAAACGGAGGAGAACCTGGAAGTAGTCAAGGCCCTGCCACTTGAACGGCTTCAGATCGAGACTGATGGTCCTTGGGTATGTGCTTTACCTAGGATTTCTCAAACCTTTGATTGACATTTACTGTTCAGTGTGAAATCCGTCCCTCTCATGCATCTGCGAAGTATCTCGAAGGAGCCCCTCCGCTTCCCAAGGCCGTGAAAAAGGAGAAATGGCAAAAGGGACTTATGGTGAAGGGTCGCAATGAGCCTGCAGCAATCGCTCACGTTGCGCATGTCATCGCCAAAGTGAAAGGCATCACTGTCGAGGAAGTTTGTGAAGCGTAAGTCCATTCTCTTTCTATTACCCTCTTCTCGCTTTCCAATGTGACGAGGAATATTGATTCAATGAGCAGCGCATGGAACAACTCAATCCGGATGTTTGGGCTTGGTGTTGATACACTATAAATTCTGTTCATGATATCTTTCCAGGTCGTGCCCAATCCGGGAGAGAACACCGTCCCGCAAATTATGAATACTAGATCCTTAGATATAGAAGAGACGAGGCAGTTTGCACGAGAATATTATCAATGAAAGCTACTTGACCTGTGTCGATAAGAGTACCGTCCCTAATTCTTTGTTGCCTCATCATGGAACCTTGGATCGGTGGTGTTCGGACCACTACCACTGCGAACCAAGGTCCTGTACTGATGATTCAACACCAGTCAGATCTGTCTGACGGAATACTAGATCAGCTCAGCGGGTGTCTAATTAGCTAGCTAACTATTGTCGAACCTCTCTTGTGGTGTGGCATGATAGATCCGAGGCATGTCATTCTTCCATACAGTATGTGCCCGGAGGAACAGGCAACTTGGAAGTGAGGCTAACATACCTTACTTAATTCCTTGCCCCTCAAACCTCAACTAGTCATTCTACATTCACTGCACAGCACTTGGTGGTTCGCCACATGTGCTTTGCCTTCTAGAAAGTTGCTTGGTATGATTTACGGGGGCTTATTTTCTGATGACATTTTGGTTTTTCCTGGCTCACCGCCCTGTACTGTACCTGTAGTCGCACCACCCACCACCCTTGCTCTTGTCTCTTTCCTTGTTTACCTTTCTACGTGAATGTAGTCTTCTTCTCCAATTCTCTCAAGAACAAACTCGACTCTCCAGACCTAACCTTCTGACCCGCCTAAACCCGGTCCCTCATATTGGTCACCATGTCTTCTTTTTCTAAAATCATGTTGGCTTGAAGCTTGTGGGTTAGACCCTTCGAGTCTATCACCAACCTCTCTCTTAGCAGATCTCGCGCTGTCGCTGTCTAGTCAGATCTTGCATGAGAATCCTTCTTTCGTGGTGCATTGGATCCGTCTATCTCTCTCTCCCCCCAAAATTCAGCTTTTCATTGGCATTCTATCGGTTCATAGTGCCCTCTTATCCATTCGTTTATCAGGACTTCGAGCCAGACAGCGACAGGGAACTGGCAATTTAACACAATGACGTCTCCGTTAACGGCTCAAAGCTCCAACAGCTCTCTCCAGAGCGTTTGTGGTAGGTTGTTTGTTTGTTTTGTGGGAACATCGATCATGTTCATACTCCTATCCGTATTGTTCAAGTCGCACTAACCTTCACAGAATCAGTGCGTCGCAGGGCATCCTCGATGGGAAATGATTTCATGCCGTCAGAGTTCCCTGGGAACTTTGGAGGGGTTGTTAAAGATGTCTATCGATCTGCTTTCCCGCAACCGTGGAGCTTCTCTGCGCTCAAAAAGCTTGGCCTTCGGACTATAGTGTATGTGGGCCACTCGTGTATCTGATTCCTGCTCACCACTCCTCAGCACTTTGGTAGACGAGCCTTATACGCCTGAGCACATGAGCTTTCTCAAGGAAATGGGGATCGCGCACATCCGTATCCTTGTCGAACCCAACAAGGATCCTGCAGTCAAGTCTCCAGACTACGTAATCTGTCAGGTATTAGAAGTCTTGCTCAACAAGGCCAATCACCCTGTTCTTGTCCATTGCAACAAGGGAAAAGTAAGGCTTATTCAGTGTTTTATACGAGCTTGGCTGATCGAAATTGCTGCAGCATCGCACCGGCTGTGTGGTCGCCTGCTTCCGCAAGATTCAAGGTTGGCGCATCGAAGATGTGCTTGCTGAGTATCAGACATATTCTTTCCCCAAGTCAAGGCCGCTGGATCAGAAATTCATCATGGCATTTGATGCCTCCCAGCTCTCTAGCGTGGCACATATCTCTGGCGTGAAAATGTGGCAGCCTGCCAGTCTGCCGAAGGCATTATCTGAAGAGAATGCCAAGGATCAGGCCTCATCCTCGAGTCGGCTTCTACCCTCTCTGGGCAAAATATACGTGACTTGATAATCCTATGTCGATGGAAGTCAAGCCGTTCTTTTCTGTCGTCTGTGGTGTGCCTTGTCTCCCCGAGTAGTCGGTGGTCTGACAACGCAAGGTTTTCAGCTAGGTCAATGTCGTTGCAATCTTGGCCATGAAACCGGCTGATGAACCACACCACCTAGCTCTTGTCGCCTCTCGTTCTGCATCAAAATCTACTCTTTCGATTAGAACACGGCCATCAATGAGAGGCTTGTGTACCCAGAGCGAGAGCCGCTCAAACTCCGCAGCGCTCCGCGATGTCTAGAGGCTCCATCAATTTGACTGCTTCTAGAAGGGTTGGATGCACGATATACCCAGTCATCATTTAGTTACCCATGTGGTTTTGATATTGCGGATGGGTGCATGGCAGGGATGTGTCAGATATTCTAGCCCGAGATCAAGAGAAGCGAATCGCAGAAAGACAATAGACCTGGAGAAGGACAAGTTGTAGGCCGTAGTACTCTAATGTAGAGAATAATCCACATTGATTGGCAGTTTTGAGCTAAAATATCTAAGCTAGTCGTTCTGCGTAGCTTTCCAACAGTCCCTTCAGTGTCTTTGATTGTTTGGTTGAGCTGCTGGCAAACATATACCGTACTATACCATACTACGAGCGATCCTCAGTGGCGTCGAAGTTCACTATTTGAGTTGTGATCACAGAATCTCATATATCATGTCATCATCTTCTTCGAATTCTTCAGTGTCGGATATGAGTGCTGGAAAACCTGGACAAGGCAATTGGCTCGCAATGGCTAGCTCCATTGAACCCGTTTCTGTGGTGTCCCACAAGCTCTCATTGACAGAACATGTACAGTTCTCATCAACTGATAAGAGAGAGTTTGTCTGGGATTTGCAATCAAGCTCGAAATAATCCTCAGTGCCCAAGTAGTCCTCAGAAGCCATGTCGACTTCTTCGGTAGCAGCGTGGTTGAACCAGTTCGGGACCTCTTCTGTCGAACCAGTTATCAGGAGAGATTCATAAGCATATGCTTCGTCCAAATCTGTAGGATTGATCTCGTCCAATCGACTCAGCTTCTGTGAGGCTTCCGCCTTGTAGAGTTGTTCTTGAGCAAGAGTCCAGAATGCCGCCTGAAGAATGTTTCCCGTATCTACTGCCGTCAATGGGAGACTGTCCGGTACGTATGCGACCTTCATACTGCTGACAATCTGTTGCAAAGAATGATTCATGGGTAGCTTCAACATGGATGTCAGGGACTTGACGAGCGATGTGATAAGCAGCGAACGTTGGTTCATTGCCTGCAACATGATTAGTAACCAGATACTATGAGTACCTCAGGAAAGCAGATTACTTCACTGTACCCAGGGCTAAAGACTGACGGCGCCATCCTTGGAAGACTTTGCAATTGTACCGCCTCTGGATCCAGCTCTGTTGGTCCATGCTCATGACTGTTGCCAAGCAACAGGTAGCTCAATCCGGCACGAAGTAGGTGATGTAACGCTTGGTGGTTGGCGTTGCAGCTTCTAGCTGCTGGTTCTGTAGGAGGGCTTGAGAGGATGGTGCTATCCGGGCTATTATCCATATCTGCAAGCTCCTCTGTGAAATCTCTGGTATCAGAGAACTTGGGAATGTCCATTTTGTCGAGCTCTGAAGACTGAAAGGTAGTAGATTCTAGCACCAGTTCTTCAAAGTCAGGACCCAGTGCTTTCCATGCCATTTCTCCGAGACTCGCCATGATCAGCGCGGGAGGATGTGGCTGCACTTCGGGATATGTGGGCACGAAATCTAGATTTATGTTGATTGTAGATATACTAATAGTCTCGATGTAGGGCGGAGGGATGGGCTTCCCTGGTGCCTGCATAACCTTTGGAACTCTGCGGCTCACTGTTGGTAAGAGAGCAGGTTGTGTGAGCGATCTTCCAATTCCGAAGGCTAACTGAAAGCTCGGAGGGGTTTTCTGATCGGAATATTCGCAGCTTTTGTATATTATAGCCAAGCCTAACTCTTTCCAGAGCTGAGAGCCAGAGTTGTGTTAGCAACATCTTTAGACTCATCTTGTGAGGAGTATGTTACTGTGATTACCTTTGCATTGCAGAGCATCTCCCCCACAACTGGCACAAATGTGGAGACGGTGACATCGGGTACGTTATGAGCATTGATGAATAAGTTCAGTTTGATTTCTGGTGCTTCAGCCACCCAAGCCCTTCTCATGGTCATTAGGTGTATGAGATGCATGTCGCGTGCGGCAATTTGGGGTCTTCTGCGGGATTGTATGAATATGGAGACATTCATTGTGAGAGTCAAGGTTGAGTCTGAGGAATGGAAATCGGCTCTGCCTAGGTCTATTGTCGCTTCCATTATGGATTGTCTGATATGAACTGAATTAGTGGGGAAAAGTGCCTCTATTCAAGCAAGGTACATAGTCGATGGTTTGACGAGGATAGATGCCTGGTGCTAAATGAAGCAAACACTGGCAAAATATGTAAGTGCCTCAACACAGCAACACCCGACTGCCAAGAAGCGTATATCTATTGCTTGTATCTGAAGCTATTAGCCCACACGCTCTGTATTCTATTTTGCGCCCTCGCCCAGAATAAACATTGAAAGATAATTGATAGCTTTGTTCCTGTGCTTCGTCTTACATCATAGACTTGGCTGCCGAGGCACCAATACGATAAGTGAATCGAGACTATACAACTAGAGGTAAGAACTCCTTTTGTGCCACGTGAGCACCGCTCAAGCGAGTATTTCCAAACTTCAAAACTCCAGACGTCAGTATTACTGCGCAAGATTGACCGAAATTGGGCAATAATATTTGTACACAACTGACAGTCCCTCAATGCCCAGCTACGTAGCTTGTTGACATTTATTTTTAGAGCTGCTTATCGATAAGAGCATCACGTGCCTGGGGGGTTTGATTATCTGGCCCCTAGACATCCTCCGCATCGAGGAATCTCGAATTCAGGAGTCCAACAATCAGCGATGCCCAGGGATGAAGGTGAAGATTATTTTCTGGCGGACAAAGATAGCCCCAATGGGCTGGATTCCCAGCCCCTTCTGTCACCCGTCGAGGATCACGAAACTACAAACCATGCGAACCCGGCCAGCGCGACCCGCAGCAGCAGCGGACAGCAGCCGCATCACTCCTCTATATCCCAGCCGATCCCAGAAGGACAACGACGCACCCCTCGTACCATGAACCGCGTTCGCTTCGACCTCGAGGAGGAAACGGACGAAGAGCGTCGCTCGGAACATCACCCTCGCGATTCAGACGATATCTCATGGCTCGAGGAAGAAGAATACGGCCACGGCGACGGCCGGCGGCGCCAGATGGTCCCTTTGCTGACGGATATCGAAGCCCCCAGTGTTACGCTCGCAACGTCCGATGAATTCTTCCCGGAAGAACACCTGGAAACTGCTCGCCCAAGGAGCGGGATGCGCATGGCTTTCATGAATATGGCCAACAGCATCATTGGGGCAGGCATAATAGGACAACCTTACGCACTTCGCCAGGCAGGGTTGGTAATGGGGTTGGTGCTGCTCGTCGGACTCACAGTCGCAGTAGACTGGACCATTCGACTTATAGTGGTCAACTCAAAGTTGAGCGGGGCAGATTCGTTCCAGGCGACCATGCAGCATTGCTTTGGCAAAAGCGGACTTATCGCAATCTCAGTTGCGCAGTGGGCTTTCGCTTTTGGTGGTATGATCGCGTTCTGCATCATTGTTGGAGATACAATACCGCATGTCCTGGGAGCCTTGTTTCCTTCGCTACGAGACATGTCATTCTTGTGGCTTTTGACGGACAGACGGGCCATCATCGTGCTTCTGGTCCTAGGAATCTCATATCCGCTGTCTTTGTACCGGGACATTGCTAAGGTTCGACATATAATGCTTTTGCAGCACTCTGAGACTCACAAGTTCATAGTTAGCAAAGGCGTCCGCACTGGCCTTGGTCAGCATGGTCGTCATCGTGATTGCTGTGATCACCCAGGGCTTTAGAGTGCCCTCCGAGTCGCGCGGCGATGTGAAAAGTCTACTGTTTGTCAATTCTGGCTTTTTCCAGGCTGTTGGGGTGATATCATTCGGTACGATCGCGTTCCAGATCCACATTATATAACTGTACTAACGGTCCAAAGCATTTGTCTGCCGTAGGTTATGTCATTCGGGCCACATTACATTGGGACTAATAGCTTGGAAGACCATAACAGCCTCCTTATCTATGGCTCATTAAAAAAGCCGACACTAGACCGCTTCGCGAAAGTGACACATTACTCTACAGCAGTCTCCCTTCTGACTTGCCTAGCCATGGGTGTTTCCGGGTTCCTATTCTTTGGCTCGCAGACCCAAGGCAATGTACTCAACAATTTCCCATCAGACAACATTCTGATCAATATAGCACGACTGTAAAGTCTTCTCGCCTTAATGTACTGAGACATCGTTGGGCTGACTTTTGCTAGATGCTTCGGCTTGAACATGCTCACAACTCTTCCGCTGGAGGCATTCGTATGTCGATCAGTCATGACAACCTATTACTTCCCCGACGAACCTTTCAACATGAATCGGCACTTGATCTTTACCTCTGCGCTTGTCGTTACTGCGGTTGCTATGGCTCTGATCACTTGTGACTTGGGGGCAGTCTTTGAGTTGATCGGCGCAACGAGCGCAGCGGCCCTGGCCTATATTTTCCCTCCCTTATGCTACATAAAGCTTAGCAATGCCTCTCAGAAGGCTAAGATACCAGCCTATCTATGCATTGTTTTCGGGGTAGTCGTGATGGCAGTCAGTCTGCTTCAAGCTGTTGCGAAAATGATAAGTAGTACGTTCACTTGGTCACCCGACTAACAGCATGCATCCTGCTAATTAACTCAACCACATTTATAGATGAAGGTGGTGCAAGTACCTGTGCTGCCTAGGCAAGGTACTATAAGGGCAGTTAGATCCTGCAACCTTGCTTCTGCTTTACTGATGTCGTATAACTGATAGACTTTATTCAATCCCTCATTCACAAATTATGTACATAGAGAAGTGTATTAACAAGGTGAATCATTCTGTTCAGGGCTCTGAAAAGGGGCTCCATGGACTCAAGTGCAGCAATCTCTCCTCTGGGAGCAACACAGATACCTAGATTTTGTGTAGGGACAATATGGTCTTTCAGTATACTATGATCTGTCAGATACTGATTTCTTCCTAGAAACAGCCTTCGGTTCATGATCGATATCAGTGGAGGCAATGAGAGGGGCAGATGAGGCAGCGCACTACAAGGTCTAGGTTTTGGTGTGAATGTCATTTGCTGGGTTGTATCTGCGATGTTGTGCGCGTTTGCATGGTAACGCAGTTAACAGTTTCCACTCCCTGTTTCTGCTCCCTGCCTCCTGACCCCACCACTGTCCTCTTCATCATCTGTTTTCGCATGTGTTCCAATTCTACCCTTCTCGTTACTTCATCATTCATTTTACTTCAAAAAAGAGGGATTGGCTCTGTTTCCGGAACCCGGTAGAGTCGAATGTATGAAGTGCAGGTCTCATGCTCTTCCTTTGCACCTCTTCATTTCAACTTCGTCAACTACTGCTGCACATTGACTTAGCTGGTTCTAGTGTGTTTTAAACACCTGACATCGTCCTCAGATTTATCCTTTTTGTCAACTGTCGCTACCTTGCTTCTGTTTTCTTGACACCCAGTACCCTCACATTATCTCTTCGTCTCTCTCTGAAACCTATCCTGGGGATTATAGCCATCTGGAAATCATGGATCAGAATGCAGCTGAACGCCTGAAGAGGCTCCAAATGGTAGGTTGTGTGTTTCCAACGACCTGTTCCTCCGTCTTTCGTTTGATTGCCCGCAGCTACTAACATAACTCGCCTCCACTCAGGACGACCTCGGCACGGCCAGACGAGAATTCATTTCAACCAAAGATGGCCCACGAGCAGTGCTGAATGTGGGATTGGAAACCATAGAAGCGAGCAGAGAGTCCAACCAACCTGGAACGAAGGCCCAGCTCATGGCGCAGAAGAACAAGGCCCAACTCGCGGATTGGTCGAGTAAGTGCATCCTCCAGTGCTCCTCGCCCGATTTGCTTTCTATTGGGTTTCTGGTTCCTCGCTAATTCGATTTCAAAGATATCCACAAGACAATAGGTGATACTGGAGACCTTGAGAATCTTGACAGTCTTCTTGATGGCCAGACTCATCGTCTTGCGCTCGCTGCATTGTTACATTCGAGGCCACATGACTTTGCCCCAATCAGGGGAGGCATGAGTCGTGGGCGTGGTGGAGGCGTAGCAGGGACTCGAGGTCGTCAGGGGAAGCCAAGTGTATCGAAGTAAGTCAACTCACCGAAAGCCATATTACCATCAAAACCTAATGCACGAGACATTGATGATAGGGTTCTCGGTCAAGGAGGTGTCTCGAAATCTGGCAATCATGCTTCCAAAATAGATCAGAAGCAGACTCGTGAGGTCTACTCGTATCCAAACCCGTCTTCATTGCTTATTTGCATTCTCTAGGTGCTCGAAAGCCGATCCCTAACCCACTAACCAAAGCTCGAAGACCCATGTAAGCTACCTTTTTGTTGCCTCAAAAACCATCTGACTCCTGTCTCCAGGGTTGACTATTCCTCGAAAATCAGTGCCCCTGAAGACTTTATGGCTGCTGTTCAGGATCTAGTCAACGCGAAGACTGCTTGCATAAACTCCACTGTTGCACGAGAAATGTCTAACGGTAATAGTTCGAGACCAAGCCAATTGCCTCCTGCAAAGGAAATACCAAGTCAAGTCCCATCTCGCCCCACGCAACCTGCTCTTGCAGTAGATCATGGCCCAAGCCAAAGGCCCCCCACCGTGACTAGAACCCTGGATCAAAGACCTCCCGAAAAGTCGCTTCCTCCTCAAGCTCAAGCGCCTCGAACTCCTGCTCAAAAGCCTCTGTCTGCGACATACAACGCGTCGACTCAACCTCTTCTCAGAAAGCCATCACTTTTGGAATCCGAGATGTCGAGAGATTCAAGCAAAAGGACACTTTCTTCCACGATCACTACAAACCAGATCAATCTTCAGAAACTGGTTCCGGCTTCTGACGCCATGAAGAACCCAAGACAGACACAGTCGACTGCGACGCTGAAAGCGAACCAGACACCACCCAAGGATACTGTGCATCCTGTCACAGTGACAATGAAAACCGTTCCTGCTGCTTCCAATCTGAGCAAGGAGCACGCACTGAGGTCCAACAACACTTCAGCGCAATCACAGGTTGCTGCACAAACACGCCCAACTCTGAATTCGCAGTTGTCCAAACCCTCAACTGCGCCATTACTGCGGGATGAAGGGCCTCTGCCTAAGAAGCCAGCAACCAAAGCTTATGGCAAGCCTCCATGTCAACCGGGTAACAAAGCCAATCGGGTTCCAGAGAAGCAAGGCACTGCAATGGAACCAATACTAGTGAACAAGGTGGTCGTCAAATTACCTCTCATTGAGTCAACCCTCAAACCAAATGCAGATGTCCCAGTCACGCCCAAGAAGACCAAACCACTCGAGAACCTTGTCGCCGAAGGAAGCGAGGAGAAAGCACCTCCGGCGGTGGCTTGTGGGGAGCTTCTTGATCTTGATGGTCCTCCGTCACCTGAGCATGATTCGGCTGAACAGGATCCGGCCGCTACAGCTGTAATGAGTCCCTCCTGTCAAGATCTGGAGGGGTTAGTATTTCGGCAGGGCATTACACGGTATCCTACTCAAGGAGGCTCGACCTCTAGTGAAGCTTCGTCAACACCGACTGACTTTACGGAAACCACACGAGCTATTCTTAGTCAAATTATGGCCAACGCCGAGTCTATGACTGATGAGGACAAGCAGGTGGTTGAGCGCAAGGTCGAAGAGCTTCGCAAAGAGCTGAAATTCTTCTCTGTATCAGAAGCAGGGCGCCGATATTCCATTGAAATGTTCGAGAGAGGAAGAGAAGAGTTCAGCTCCGAGCTCAAATCCGAACCTGAGTCCGGTTATCAACACTGTCTTACGTGCCAGGAAAACCATAAATCTCATGCTCATATGTTGCCTGAGACGGTGCTCACAGCTAAAGTGACTTTTAATGCAGCCTTGGGTGTAGAAGAACCCTTGACACCCCTTGCACATAAGTCACAGACCCACCGTTCTGTTTTCCAGACACGCCTCAAGGGCACTGCGCCGCCATTTGAGCCAAACAAGCTTAATCCTCCAGTAAGCAGCACAGCTGAACCAGTGACCACTGAGCAGGAGCGTCAGGAGTCTTGTATCACTAAGGCTGTCCGTCATTTGTACGGCAACCATCTACTTCCCGGGAGGTCTGGAAACCGGCCTGGCAACGGTAAGTTCTTATTCCTTCTTGTCTTCGAATCCCGGTCAGTATTGCTTATCTTGTCACTTGCTATCAGCTTCCGTCTTGGAGGATGTGAAGGTCCCAGCGTTTGAAGGGCGATTTGGTCAAATGACTCCCGCATCTACTCCCGTCAAACCGAACTTGACATCTCCACTTCTTTCGCAGACGGACGCGATCTCAGCCTCCCCTGCACTACAGAGATCTATACACGCCCCAAGAATTTCAGAGAACAGGTCACCAGCATCTCGGACTCCCTCGAGAGGACTGGATAGCTCCAGGTATGCGACGCCTGCCCTGGACAAGCCTCTACGCTGAGCTTCACGCAACCAGCACCCACCATCGCTACACAAGGTCTGTACCGTTAGCCGATTCACACTCAACTCTTGCCTGCATGAGCTGGCGTTGAGGCCTATCCGCATAATATCCCCTATCTGTTTCTTCTCCCCCGTCCAAATACGAAGCTTTATGGTGAACACGCAAGCTACATTTGTTTCGATGCTGCCATTTCTTACAGCAATTACTTAATTGTCTATTTTCTAGTGATGTGCAAGGCCTGTAAGGAAGGGCTAGAAAGGTATTTTGTTTGTAAATCCAAAGCAAACTGGCCAGTGAGCAGATTCCATTGAGCAAACCAGTTCATTTGATTCCTGTGATCATTCCCATTCCCTGTGACGCCAATAATTCATAAAATATGCCTAGTCCGAGTAATAATCGCGTGCCGTTAATAGAATTTGCCCTCTATCTATAATAGAGTACATCGAGAAAAGACCACTGCTACCGTTACTGCTGATGTTGTTGCTGTGGCGGTTGCTGGGGTTGTTGCTGCTGGGGTAGAACCTGAGGCATTCCACTTTGGTTCATCCGCGGTCTTTTCGGATCCATGACCCCAGCTCCTCCCGGAGCAGACCCGCTGCCGTCCGAGGCCTGAGCATTCGTCATATCCGACAAGGGAGGCCGTTTCCCGTTGGCATTCTGATGAGCCACAGGCCCGCTGCCGCCGGGCAGTGGTGGACGGTTCGGCGGTGCGGCGGTCCCATTCCGAGGATCGAGGTTTGGGCGGGTCAGGGGTCGATAGGAAGACGTCGTCGACGGGCCTCGATTCATCATGGGGCTGCCGACGTTGTTGCTCCCGGGGGCCCCGATCTTCCGGTGCATGTCCTGCGAAGGGTTGATGAAGTCCCGCGCCGCGGCGGCGGGGTTGCCACCGGCCGCGGGCGATGCGTTGTTGCTGCCTCCGGATAGCATGGGTTTGGAGATGGGTTTGCTGGTGCTGTGGTCGAAGCCGGCGGTCTTGCGGATGGAAGGACTCTCCGCGTGCGGGTCGAAGGCCGGCGCCGCGGCGGGGATCCCGCCGTGCGGGTTGTCTCGGAGGAGATCGACGGCGCGCGCGGAGAAGAACGAGGCGGAGGGGGTCCCCGGTGGAAGGGATTCGGGGATACCTGTTGTTGTTGTTGTCGATGGGGCGCCGGGTTCACGTTTGATGGGGACGGACAGCGGGCCGTTACCACCTGCGGGCCCGGCTGCTGTTGCTGTTACCGGTGCAGGTGATGCTGCTGTGGGCACGGATGGAGGAGGTATCATTCTGCCATTCTGAAAGTTTGGTCGAGGCCCTGTAGGTGGCATGGGTCTCTGTTGGTCGCCAGTTGCGGGGGGATTGGGGCGTCCGTTGAACGGCTGTGGAGCAGGATACTGTCTGGGGGCGGGGGGCTTGGATGGCGTTACCATCGCCGAGTTCGGTCTGATGGGTCCCCGGTAGTTGTTATTGTTGTTGTTGTTGTGAAAAGGTCGCTGATGAGTATTGAGTGGAGTGGGTGGTTGCTGTGCCCGCTGTGATTCTGGTCCTAGCACAACCTCGTCGGGATTGCCCGTTTCGGTGACGCCGAAATCAGCTTCGTCAAACAGATCGCCTAGCGCGCAAGAATGTTAGTGATCGGCTTTCGGGCAAGTTAATTGAGAGTGAAAGCTGCGTACTTCCAAATTCGCCGTCGCCGTCGAAGGCCATTGAGTCATCGAAGTTGGACCGCTTTGCGACAGCCGCTGGACGCGGCGGCAGATCATCGTCCTCAGGTGATGGTTTGGGGTGCACAGATTCCTTTTTGATGGGAATAAAATCTGGATGTCGATGTAGCTCATCGACATCCCATCTGGCCTAAAGTCGAAGCATGTCAGCAGAGGCGAGGTTTTCCTTGGTGAGGGGCGTCACATACCGGCGCAGCTTTCACTTTGGTGACTTTTGATACATAGTCCTTGTCGTAGATACAGTTGCCCAGGACATTGCCGAAATTTCGTAGCGCACGCTTGAGCGCATCTGTGGTCCCTTCTTTCTTTGCCTTTTCGAAAGCAGCTGCCTTGCCCTTGCAATTCTCGATGTGGCCGTACCCGATATCCTAAGAATTGTTCCTTGTCTTAGAACCCGTTGATTGACTAATGCATCGCCACTTCCAAGGGCATACCTCATGATAAGTGCCATCCTTCAAGGTGACTCTCACTATCACGGAGAGACCCAGGCTGATTTTACCAGTGTTTTGACTCTCTTCAACCTATTGATTGGAGCATATTAGTCATTGACCTAAGACAAAATATGTGGCCAAGGGGGAAATTCGAAGAGGGAGCATACAAAGTCGATTTGAATGTTCTGGATCGAGCTCGACCATCCGTTGAACCCAAAGACCTCATTCGCAAGATTGATACATTTGTCAGCCGAGAGGTAATGTACGCGCTGTCCCGCAGCACCAGGCCTCGACGAGATATATTCAGGCCCCAACTTCTTGTCGAGACGAGCTTGCAAGGTCGCGATCTCCTGCGCGGTGTATTCGCTGATACGTCGTTGTGGTTCTTCAAATGGGTTGGCGGAGAGACTCCCGCTTGAATTGGGCATCGTGATGGTAGCTGGGCCGCCCCGGTGCTGGTCGCCAACACTAAAGACGCGCGGTCAGTCAGTGTTGGCTTCGTCGCGGCTTGACAGGTATAAAAACACTTACGCGGGCATAGCAAAGTTAGATTCTTGTAGATGCTTTACCGAGGTACTTCATCGAGCAACAGTCCTCTTTTAAGCTTGTAATGACTGATGAAAGGATCAAATGATGCTGTTGCCCCCGACGTGTCGAGGCGCGCCGGATGCCGACACGGCCTTATCGCGATGTCACGTGATGGTAATCGCAACGCAGATAACAATGGAAAGTGTCAATTAGTGCCAACGATCATATGCTATCAGTTGCTGATTGAGGATGGGTGAATTCGCCTAGAGAGGGAAGGGTTGGAAACTATTTGCAGTCTGGCCGAACTGAGTCAATATGCTTGCTACTTCGGTCTGATTCTGGAGGAGAAGAAATGTCGTTTGAAATTATAGAGAGGCAGGCAGCATTAGGCAGCCTTCGGCTTTGCCACACTAACGCTCCGACGCAGCCAGATTACTATCACTTTGCTGTCATTTGATTCCATCTCTCCTGCCTTCAATGTGTGTTTCTATCGGAGAATTTAGGTAGCAAGAGAATATAAACCAGACCGAAACCCTTCAAATCACTGAATCACAAGACTCGCGCTCGGGGTAAGTCCCAAATCCTTCAAGGATTCGCCAAAGAACTCCGCATTGAATACTTTGCGAGGGAAGTTCTGAACGAAGCTCTGTACCTCAACTCCATCCTCCTGCTTGAGAGCCGCGGCAACTTCGAACAAGGTAGTTGTCACTGGAACCGTCTTCATGATATTGCCTTTGGCCGTTTGGAACCGCAGACGAGTTTCCGTGTAGGCCGATGCAGGCTTCGAGGCGACCGGGCCGGATGTCGTGGCTGCTGGGGCTGGGGCTGGTTGCGCAGGAGGTGCTACACCAGCTCGCTCGGCTTTCTCTCGCTCAGCCCGGAGTCGGCGCTCTTGTTTGTCCGCCTCAATCCTGGCTTTGACCCGCTGCTTAGCTTCGATGTCTGCCATCTTATCCTTCTTCTTTTGTTCCGCTTCCTTCAGCCTTTGTTTCCTCTCCAGCTCCTCCTTGACGTCTTGTGAATCCTTGTTAGCTTTCCGCCGGATTTCCTGGGATAAGACCTGGTTAGTTTGAATCACAGGGTCTGGCAAGGACAGTAGTCCGCATACCTCGTTCCTCTTCTGGTCAACCTTATCCTGCTCAGACTGCACCGCTCGCTTGGCGGCCAGCCTTTCTCTGAGCTCCTGGAGTCTCGCTTGCCGTTGCTCATCAGTCAGCGGCGCAAGCTCCTCCGTTGACTCAGAGAAGTCGGTATGTTGGGATTTCGAAGCGTGAAATTCAGCTTGGGCGTGGCTGCGGAATTTCTTGCCGCACTCGTTGCAGACTAGACTGCGAGCCTCTTCACCAGGCGCGAGTGCAGGACCTTCTGCCTCCTCATCTTCCTTGATTTCATCAATCGATTTGTCTTGGTTCTTTTCGAGCCATTCTAGAGCACCCTGCACTGAAGTGATGAAAAGTTAAGCACGTCAGCAGTTGGCGACAGCAGAGAGCTCGATGGGATAATCGTACATCCGGTGCCTTTGGCGACTGCAAGCTGTGCTCGCTCCTTGTCAAAGCCCATCTCAATGAGCTGGTCTAGATCGGAGGCCATGGTCGCACGGGGTGGGTGCAATAATTGCTGATCAAAGCGATAAATTCGAGTGGAGCGAGAGGTAGAACCCAATGGCGGGGTAATGCAGGCGGGGGCTTTTAGCCTGGACAAAGGTGACAGCCAGATGGAAATGTATCACGGCCTTGTATACCACTCAATATAGTGAGAAAGAGTAGCAATAAAATGCAAGCTGCTATCTCAAAAGCTGGATGAGGTGGATGAGGGGAGGTCAACAGTGAGGGTGCGGGTGACGTATCGACAGGCTCGGGAGCGGAGCGGAGGAACAATCAATCAACTGCGGGATGACCCGCCAGCTAAGCTCGAAAGTTGAGCCAGTCCCAGGCTCGTTCCTAGGCCCACGGTCTGGGCTCTGTCAGTCGATTGTATTTGACTATACATACTTCGCACCTCAGAGAAACACCCATTTTGCTCGTCAAGGAGCTTGAAGTCTTCGGGGTTCCTGGCATTTCTGCTTGGGGCGCAAATGCAATCTCCGCAACCTGCGTGAGGATTCTACTTCTATAGATAGATCTCGCCTCCGAAGAGAGAAAAAAAAAAAAAAAAAACGGACCGCAATGACTTATCACTACAGTCGACGAGAGAGTACTATGATTAGTAGATCCTCTACGATGTTGATGACTAGATGAACCACTTTTGTCCAGGATTTGCGAACGTAGGACAAGATGTCCCAAGGTTGGTCACTCGAAGCAGGGCGAATCCCGTTTGAAGTCCCATCCAGTTAGAAGACGCTGCCGACACCAGAGTATTGTGGTTTATTTCACCAGACCTGGATCCTGAACTGGTACTCCGAGTTAGTTCGGCGGAATCTTTCACAAATCAAGGCCTTCGGCTTCTTTGGCTTTGTCTATGTCTGTTCTCTCCTCGACCACGTTTGACTGCCGGGGCCGAGCGCAAGAGTCGTAGGCCTACCTACCAGCTGCGCCTTAGATGAGTACACGTTGTTGCCGGTAGTACTAGGTAATCTGTAAATCGTCTCATGATATGTAGCGGTGAGTCGTTCCAAGCCAATAGTGATGCTTCGTTGACAGGCCCAAAAAGAATCGGTGTGTGAAGCTGATTGTCATCAGAGGACCACCTACCTCTTGCGGGGTCGTCCCTCGTTATCTTGGGCTGTAAGGTTCGAGAACCGAAGCAGTATTAAAGTGAGACCGTGCATTCCAGAGATGATCATGCCTGAAGATTCAAGGCGTGGTGAACCCGTCGCGTGCAATCGGCTGGGCTATAATGTCCTTTGCGGGGTCGTGGAAGACCAACAATACATGCAAGATATTGGCGTTTATTGACTGACAGGGTGAGATATGAGAGTGGGCAATTGGAGACCGAACTAGTACTCAGTATCAGGACCAGGTCAATTGGTACTATGGTAGAGAGGAGTATTTTTAGACGATGTCAAGCAGTGGATCCCGAATCTATGGACCCAGACAGGCGTGGCCGATAACTGATGGAGCCGGTAGATCTGTCCAAAATGTCCGATCGCAACAGCCCATGAGCATTGCGGTGCGGCAGCAACGAAGCCGACATATGAGTCTGTAGTATGTACCGTGACTGAATATTACTGCCTAGAATGCAGGTACTGGCCAAGAATGATGCCTGAAACACCATGTCAAACGCCTTGATGACATCACCTGACCTGGACCTCCGTGGCCGTGCTGACTCAGCATGCCCCCGGCCCAACCAGCAGCAGTTGCGATGCCGAGTCCAACTCATTCATCATTACTATTCCAGCCTCTCCTCACTCTTCTTCCCCAATTCCAATTGCGCCTAAACATATATTCGCCCCGTCGTTGAGTTGGTTTTACCTTCTCCTTGTGAACCTTTTGCTGAGACATCTATCTTCTAAATATTCTCTCTGTCAGGTAAATTCTCTCCGTCAGTCCTCCGCACTCCGTTGGCTACTCTAACCTGGCTGGTTCTCTTTGTCACTCTAGCGCTCTCCCTCCTGTAGACAGGAAGACTCTCCCGCCGCCCTGTTCAGCCCGTTCCTTGGTACCTACACCCACTCCTTATCCGCGCAACCCCCTTTCTCCCGCTCGATCTACCTCTACGCCGCGTATTCGCTATGTCTATCATTCTCGATCCCCCGGAGTTGGGCTTTCAGCGTGAGCAATACTCCCTCTCCCCTGGCCGAGTTTCTATACCAGCCATGGACCGCCCCGCTCACCGGTTCCAGGTCCCTTCAACCGTGAGGTGTGTCAGATGTTGCACCTGAAGAACGAGAGTGCGGAGCCTGTCGTCTTCAAGGTACGTATACGAGCCGGATCAGAATCAAAATGGCGGGCAAATTAACAAGCTCCCGTATACTAGGTCAAAACTACCGCCCCTAAGCAGTACGTGGCCAGTCCCTACTCCACACCCCCGAGTAACCGATCCGTTTGAATCACAACTGACTAAGGGCCAGCTACTGCGTTCGTCCCAACTCGGGCCGGATAGATCCTGGCAAACATGTCGATGTCCAAGGTCGGTCTCACTGCGCTCCGTTTTCAAACCCCTTCACTCGGCTTAATGCCTGACAAGTTCGATAGTTCTGTTGCAGGCCATGAAGGAGGAGCCTGCGCTAGATGCCAAGTGCAAGGACAAGTTTCTCGTTCAGACAGTCGCGGTCACTCGTGATATGGAGTTCGCCAATGTTACCTCGATTGTTGGTTTTCCGCCCTCCCCCAGGGCCCCCAGATTCTAGTACAGAGCATCACCTAACCGGCGCAATAGTTTGAGAAAGCCCCCAAGACAGCACTCCAGGAGCGCAAAATTCGTGTGAACTGGCTGGCCGCCGATGATGCCCCAGTTGAGGAACAAGGAGTTGAGGCGACTGGCGTAAGTTGTCATTTTAGCCCCTTACTTTTGTCATTCGTCCTTCGTTGACTAATTACGTTGCGCAGAATGTGCCCGACGAAGAGCCTCCTGCCTATACCTCGCCGCCGAACCCCAACTATCAGACTCCTGCTGCCGCACTTACGAAGAGCGCGAACGACACGTCACCCATCCCACCGCCAGATTTCAGCGACAAGCCCAAGCGGGAAGTCTCCACCCCGCAGATCATCGAAAGCTCGGCCACGTCTTCAAAGTCACCCGTAGCAAGCGCTAGCGAAGACTTGAGAGCCCAATTGTCCGAGGCAAATTCGCAGATCTCAGCGCTGAAGGAGAAGTTGGCAGATCAGGGTCTGAGACAGCGAAAGATCGGAACCGATGCCGAGAAGGTGCCCGCGCCATTGGCGCAACAGCAGCCACAGTCCGTGGAGGCTGGTGTGCCCGTGCAGATCGTGGCGGGTCTATGCCTGCTAAGCTTCTTGATCGCCTACTTCTTCTTCTGATTGTCTTGACCCCTCCCCTCTTTGTGTCCACTCTTTTTGAATTTCCTTTCCTGTGACCCCCTTTTTCCCCATCATGTTTCTTTACAGACCAACTGTATTCCCTTCTGCCAATTCCCTTACTTTACTACGTCGACAACTACAGCAGTGGTACGGTGCTATTATTTATTCTTTGTGACGGCCCGTTTATTCTTCTTCATGGTCGTTCTAATTCGGCCCGGTCTCCCCATGCCGTTTTCTTCTACTTTGAGCAAGCACCCTTGTTTCTTTTCATTGTCTTGTTACTTTTCTTCATATTTGATGATATGATGTAAATGGAGGCAGAGTTCTTGTTTCAGCCAGACATGAAAACTTGGGATTCCATCGTCCAAGGTCGCGGCGACTTTAAGCTATGCTTGCGACATCTGGCCGCTGATAACACACATTCCACATTTGACACCTTCCGGTACAATATGTCCCATGTGCCATCAGGTCGCGAGCCTTCCCGGCTTTGAGTGTGTCGGGTCATGACTCCGTGGTCTTCGACTCTCCTCAACCACATTTGTTTTTTCTTCTTCTCTTCTCGTTGCCTCCAGCCCTCCACCTTGTTCGATGAGCGAGAACTTTTTTTCTTCTAGACGGAATTCATGCGTTTCTGAAACAGGCAGTGAAACCCCACTGAGCTAATTACGATGATGCCACACCACGAATGTTCATAAATCCTTGCCGGGGGTTCAGCCCTTTTTGTTCTTCCATGCTGCTTCCAATATTGTTCCAATAGCTGATAGTTCCATGATAATGAATCTCTCTCCGAGCTATGGGTTACTTTCTATGCGCTTGTTTTGGGCGATAGTCGTGATACAGATATTTGTTGCAAACCAGAAAAACCTCATCTTATTCATGACCATGACTCGGGGACCCGCACACGAAGTCTGTGGAGAAGATAACCAGAGCTGAAGGCCAAACGGGTCATGTCTAATAGTAGGCATACATAGTGGGGGGACAATTCACAAGGGCAGTGCGGCGGGATTTCAGCACTCAATCAACCAAAAGCGGCGTATACATTGACATGATGCGGGTAGATTAGATAGTGGGAACACGAAATCAGTTCTGGATCTCGCTTTCCTTCCATCCATCCCCGGATTCCTGCGGACCAGCCGACGAGGAAGCCGAGATGCCCTCTCCACCACGACCATTGCCACCTCCGCCACCACCTACGAGACGACCACCCTGCGCTCGCTTGACGCGACACCACATGCCCACGTTCTTATCTAGGATGAACGTCCAGATCACCCACACCCAGCTGTGGTGGCAGGGCAGGGGCTCGTAGAACTCCTTGGCGATGCGGTGCAGTTCGTGCAGTCTGGTCCACGGGATCGCGGGGAAGTCGTGGTGCTCGTTGTGTAGGCCGACGTTGTAGGTGAAGAAATTGAGGGGCCCGTAGTAGGAGTATGTTTCGGGGGGAGGGAGAGAGTCCAGCGGATGCGGGGGCGCCGCGGACTTCTCCTTCGGGTTCTTGAGCTCCTGCAGGGACTCGGTACCGTGCGAGACCTGCGAAAAGAAGTAGTGCTCCGCGATGAAGTGGCCGGCGCACGGGTGGAGGGAGCCGGCGAGGAAAGAGCTCATGAGGAGATAGAGGATGGGTTGGATGGAGCCGCCGCAGAACTGGATGAGGAAGTAATCGAAGGTGAGCTGGACGGCGAGGTTGAGGAGGTGGATGTAAGTGAAGGGCGGGCTGTAGATGAACATGGGCCGGACGGCATAGAAGAAGATCTGGAAGGTGCAGAAGAATGCCTTGCCGAGGAGCGAATCCAGGAAGAAGGCTTCCACGGCGGTGGGGAGATCGGTATCCAGTCCGGTCACACCGAGGGACTTGTGATGGGTGAGGTGGTAGGGCTGTGTGTGTGGGAATACGATGGAGTTTCACGTTAGCAATCCTGTATTTGGTCACGTCGCCACACGCGGCTAACGACCGTCACGACCGTGCGGGGAGCTTGTTTGAGGTTCGGTGTGGCCACATACCCTGAAGGCAGCACTGTAGGGCAAGCCGATTGGAAGATTGGCGAAGATTGCCAGTAATCTATTTGCCATTGCGGACCGGAAGGCAAGGTTGTGCGAGATCTCATGAATGGCGAGAAAGAGGTTCTGGTTTGAGGTGGCCCCAATCACGTATGCAGTTGCGAGGAATTTCCAGGACAGCATGGAAGTATCGCGGAGAAGATAGGCGCAGAGGATTTGAAGAGAAACGACTCCCAGAACAACATATTTCGTCAATGGCTCCGGTCCACAGAGCTTGGTAACCTGAATACAGAAACGAGAGCTGTTAGTATTGACAAACCGGTAGGGGATATTGGGAAAGGTACGACGCACCTCTGGATGGGCTTTGATGATAGCCAATCGCCTCGATCGATGGGGCTCTTCCGTATAGGTCCAGAAGAAATGATCATCGACAGCCGACTTCTCTGGAGGCGCAATCCTCGCGGGGGGCTGATCATCCTGTGCTGTGACCTGGGGATCCTGGCTCTTGGCCGCGGACACGCGGAGATGCGGCGAAGTTCCAGCCGTGGCCGCTTCGACAACAGAGGAGGACATACTGGAGAGGTCGGCAATTGAAGAGGGGAAGGATGAAAAAGAGACTGATCTAATGGCTACTGGGCGCCATGAATGAATAAGAAGAAGGGAGACAAAGAAGTAAGGAGAGAGGGCGCAAGAGTGCAAGGTGGAAAGAAAAGTGATCTGATTAAGCAGGAAGCTGAGAGGACGGTTCGGAGGACACCCTTTCCACGTGGGGCTACCCGCATCCCGACTTATGGTTTGATCCTTTCAACTCTTGTTTACAAAAACATTGCTCAATTCAGTGAAGACGGGTCGATGATGACCCTAAAACTGCCGGTACTGTTCATTCTTTCCCTATACAACCCTGTTCTGTGTTTTCTATAGATGCCATTCAACCAAACATGTCGCATGCCGTGGCAAAGTTCCTAGGCATAAAAAGACCCATCTTAGTAGTCGTCTCCGCGACTGATCACCTCCTTTACATTAGGTCGGAGGACGATGGTCTATGAGAAGGTCAGCGTGGGTTCAACGGAGTACTAGCGACAATATAGTGAAGAACATACATGTTCGTACTGGGCGGTGTAAGAGCCCTTGATATCGCAAAGCGGGGGGTAGTCCTGAACAATGCCCGACTGCACCAGGTTGTTCAGCTGTAAGATCTGTTAGCACTCGTCCGCAATCGCATTGCTGTCGAAATGCCTACCCCAAGGAGGTACTTGTCTTGGCCCAACCGGTCGAGGTACCGACGACAGAAGGGAAGAGTTCCAAAATTCTTGTTAATAACGTTCAACAGGTTCTTGGCGGAAGAAAGACGCAAAGGCACCGGAGCAGCGTTGGGGACCAGAGCGTAGTGAGAGGTTTCCATCTAGACCGCAGTCGTCAGTAAGCATGTCGATCGACTTGGATACGAAGCACTCACATCCTCGTGCACATAGCCCTTTCCGGTACTTCCAAAGGTCTCGATGGCGAAGACTTCACCCTCCTCCATCTTGGTCTGATCTCCGCCCTTCACAATGGGAACGCTCTTCCCACCGTGGATAATGTGTTGGTCAATGTTGTGACCGTTGAGGTTTCGAATACATTTAACGGGGTGCATAGTTCCGTTAATCTCGCATTCGTAGCTCTCCATGACTTCCTGAATAGCGGCACCGATGTCACTCATGCGGACATCGATACCGGCTTCCTGTTTCCCCCAGAAACCATTAGTTCAATGTGTGGAGTAAAGTCATTCGCTGATGCCATACCCGGATACCAGTGTTGGTGGCGTCCTTGACAGCCGCCAGAAGAGGGTCATAGACCGGATCAAAGGCAACGGTGAAGGCACTGTCGACAATCCGTCCGTTGATGTGAGCTCCAAAATCGACCTTCATGACATCGCTCTCCTGCAACACCATCTTGTTGCCCGCATTGGGTGTATAGTGGGCGGCACAGTGGTTGAGACTCAGACCACACGGAAATCCCATACCACCCTTGATGTTGTCACCCTCCTCCAGGCCCTGGTGGCCCGTCAGAGCACGAACAGCGTCCTCGATGCCCTCGGCGATTTCCGTCAGAGTCTGGCCGGGCTTGATGTTCTTCTGCGCATACTGGCGGACCTGGCGGTGCACTTCAGCACCCTGGCGGTACTCCTGCAAGAAGTCATTGTTCATGCGGTCGAGATAGCGCTTCTCCTCGTTGGTGGTGCGGTAGGAGTTTTCATTCTGGTACTCGACAATCTCTCCTTCGGGGAACTGGTTGTTCGGGAACAAAGTCGAGATCGGAACGCGCGGAGGAGAGCTCTGGACCTTGGCGCCACCCTTCTTCTTCTTCTTGGACTTGCGCTTCTTCTTCTTCTTGGCGGCTGCAATTGCAATTTGCGCTTCTTAGTATCGAAAGTCTTGAGGTTGTTGAAGTTGGTTGTCTGGGGATAAGCGTAAAATCCGTACCTCCATTAGCTGCGCCTTCAGCGCCAGCGTTGTTATCCTCGACTTCATCGTCGTCGGAATCATCCTCCGCCTCTCCGGTTCCAGCCTGACCAGCGGCGGGAGCGTCGACCTTCGCATCGCCGCTCTGACCGTTGACTAGTGGCGCGGGGAAATCTTATCAGTCACATGTCGGGAGAGGAGACATGGATCGGAGAAAAGTGGGAATCTTCACTTACGGTCGAGCTTCTGCAGCTTTTCACTAGCCTGGGCAGCCATGTTGAAAAAGCTGGAAAGAAACCGGGTGTGGTATGAGTTGAAAAGATAGAGGGAGTAGGGAAAGAGAGGGGAAATTGAAGTTCGGCGGAGGCGACGGGGAAAAGACGGTCGGCGCCAAGACTTGCTCAGAATAAGGATGATTTAACGGCAAACGGCAAATTCGGCGATGCACCAACTGGCAAGCCATCCATGTAGTGACTACAGAGTACTGTTTGTAGTACTCATCTGCAACGAATTCGCCCCGTGTATATGCATTGACAATTGGAGAGAAAAGTGTGTTGATTCTTCCATATAAGTGATACCATATCTCCAACCTGAGTTTTAACAAGTTGACAAATAACTAGATCCATTCAGCAAGACATCAAGGCTATAGTTAGTAAATAGTGTCAACGGAGCTCAAGGAAGGCAAGTGCTCAAAGATGAACTTCAGTCGCATCGAATGGCAAGACACCCAAGTAACCAATATACAAGAGATTCCTCAGAGCACCTCAGCCACGGTTCGTAACCAGCGTCGCAAGTCATCCGCAAGTCCACCTCGCAGTGAAATATGAAAAGCCTGTTTCTCAATGGCCAGGCACGGACGAAGCCCGAAGCCATGACAATATTAGAAGTAGACATTTGACCAGGGATCTGAGTAACCCAGCATCCATGCATTAACTAGCATCAGTGAAGTTAGCTGCAGAGACAAACGCCCCTCGTGTTTCCTGGAGTCCAGCTCTACCATACATACATTATGTACATATAGTAGGCCGGTTAGTCCTTGACTAGCTTCGATCAGATAAGCCACCCGATGACGCAGCAGCCCGCTCCCCCGAAGAACGGGGGCGGATTTTCGTCCCCCTCAACATCCTCTCCACCCCTACTACAGTACAACACAACACATCGTATAACTATCTCCCTCGCTCTTCATTTATCCTTGAGTGATTGATCGGCTTCATTCAAACCGCAAGTCATACATCATTATATGTACCGACCACTAATTGCAGGAAATGTCACACCCTCGTCTGCGGACCGCCGCATCCTCCTTCATCCACCGTCAATGCCGCCGTAACCCTCAACCCCGAACAGCATCAGCATCATCTTCGACATTCGCTCACATCCACACATCTCACCCTCGCCCACACCCTCTACAAAATGCCTCAAAGTCACAACAAACCTCCTCATTCTCCACAACAACCCACCATCACGCCTCCGCCCGCGAACCAAGCTACTACGAGATTCTCGACATCCCGATAACCGCCTCCCAAGGCGAGATCAAAAAGTGCGTTGCGTTTCCTTCCCTCCCTCGCCCCCAAGATTCCCCTTCACATACCCCTACCCCCCCTTCCCAATCCCACTCAAACACTAAATCAAAATCCAGAAAATTCTACACCCTCTCCATGCGCCACCACCCGGACCGCAACCGCGACGACCCGACCGCCTCCTCGCGCTTCGCCCGCATCTCCTCCGCCTACAACGTGCTCAGCCAGCCCAACAAGCGCGCCGCCTACGACCGCGACCACGGCATCTACGCCCAGTACCAAAACACGCGGTCCACCGCCACGGCCGGCCAACATCCCATGGGCAGTTACAGCAGCCACGGCGGCGGCGCCGGCGGCGGGGCCAACCTCCACACCAAGGGGGCCTCGTACGCCGGGTCCCGCCCCGCCAGTGGGTTGAGTAATCGCCGGGGCCAGTTCCGGGGCCCGCCGCCGAGTTTTTACGCGCATGGTGGGTATGGGCGGACGGGGAGGACGAACCCCGGGCCGGGTTCGACAGGTGGTGGGAGTGGTGGTGGGAGTGATGCTGCGGGCCAGTCATCCACTACCACTAATGATGAGGATCCGACGGCGTTTATTCATAGGAATACCGTTCATCATTTCAATGCTAGGGGTCACTATAAGACTCAGTCGGCGGAAGATGTTCGGCGGAGAGAGCGGAGGCAGAAAGCCATGGAAGCCGCCCTGAAGGAACAGTACATTGGGAGTCCCTGGGGGGCCGCCATGCGATTCGCGGCTGTTTGTGGGATCTTGGTCGGGGCTGCAACAGTGGCGGGCTTGTTTCAATGGCCACGTGAGAAAGTAAGTAAACAGAAAGATCAATTGAGGTGATGAGATGTGCCTGTACAGGGTGATCATGTTTATGGGTGCATGAGTGTATTGGGCTCGGTTGGCATCGTCAAATGTGTCGGATAGAAAGATACACATGGTACAGGAGTTCGGTAGATACCTTGGTGGCATTGGATCCAGACGACAGGCTTGATCAATTGATATCATGCAGCATGTACATATAATGAACAAAGGGAAATGTAGACTTGATATACACTTATCGTCGGTAGATACGATACATGGTTATTAACTAGACATCCATAAGAACCCACGCCCACCCACAAAACCAATCCTGCGCGAACCAATAGCCCGTTCAAAGATCATAAGAAAGCAATCAAGTTTCTACTCTTAAAGGCTTCCAAAAAATCAATGTATCCGGCTAACTCGAACGCTAGACTCTGAGTGCGGACTGATGCTAACTATGGTAGCTCTTCTAAGCCTCGAAGGTGAAGCTGGCGCCAACCTTGTGGGCAGCCTGGTTGAGGTTCTGGGTATCGAAAGAAGCACCAAGGCCAAGGGTGACACCAGGGCGGAGGAGAACGTTGTAGGCGAGAGCGGCAACACCACGGTCGTTGATCTTGGCCTATTATCACAGTCGAACAGGTTAAACCTTATCACACTTGACATTCATATCCGGAACATACCTTGGCGAAGGAAGAGGGGTCAAGGCGGTACTTGCTGGCGACCTCGAGGCCAACGGAGTTACCGGTCTTGGAGTCCCAGGTGGCCTTGGCACCAGCCTCAACCTGCTCGTTAACGCGGTGGTAGTAGCTGGCAGAGAAGACGGTCAGGTTGTTGCCAGCGGTGATGGCAGCAGAATACTGGGGAACGCTGTAGCCGACGGCAGCGGAGTACTTGGTGATGGCGGCCTTCTGGACGTCGTAGCCACCCTCAGCACCGACAAGGAAGCCCTCGTGGCCGAGAACAGCGTCGAAGTTGGCGGAGGGACCGTTGAGAAGGTCGAAGAAAGCACGGGCGTGGAGGTTGGGCTGCTTGAAGTGGAGGTTGAGCTTAGCGCCCTTGGACTGCTTAGCGGGCTGGTACTGGGTGAGGATCTCAGCCTTGAGGCCCTTGGCGATGTTGTTGTCGAGCTCGAGCTTGGTGTCGAGGGCGTTGGCAGTGGTCCACGCCTGGGTGAGGGTGAGGCCTGAACGAGGACGGAACATTAGCACTACCGCATGCTGGGTATTCATTGACATAAGATAGACGAAGAGGTGCTTAGACGGGACATAGCCACACGCAAACATGAGCGTGAGCCGGTTGTCGGGCACTCTGCGAGGTGGAGGGTCGGGAGGTTTGCGCAAGGGATGTTCGCATGTTTTTTTGCGCGATTTGGGGCCTTTACCGGTGGGCTTGTCGACGTACTTGGCCTCGAGCTATCGGCACGATTGAGGTTTAGCATCCAAGCATCGTACTTCGGTATGGTTTGGTTCAACTTACGGAGCCAGCAATGGGACCCTCGTGGGCAGACTTGCCCTTCACGTTGAAGGTGACGCCATTGGGGGCCTTGGACTTGACCTCAAGGCTGGCTAAGCAGGGTGTCAGCAATTTTGCGCACTTGGGGATCATCAAACGCGTCCATGAAAGAGCGCGAAAAGCAGTGGGGGACTCACCGGCGCTGGCGTGGTAGAAGTCCTTGTTAAGGAGCTATTGCGCTGATTATTAGCACGAAAATCCCTTCTAGGAGATGCTGCCGTCCGAGGTCTTTCGAAGTCGGAACGACTGAAAAGAAAAGCGTACATCGTTGGCCGCCTTGGCGATGTCGGAGAAAGCAGCAGGAGCAGACATTGTGGAATGGAGGTGGGTGGAGGAATAGAAGGGCTTGTTATGGGAGGTGGTTGGACGGGGGGAAAGGATGAGGTGACGAGGGGAAGAAGAAGGGAAAGGGAAACGATGGGGAAACAGGGCAGGAAGAGGTCGTTGAGTCGTCAAAGCAGACAAACAATGGGGAAGCCACGGGAGAAACACCACGCCCTGATTGGTGGATGCTTGGGCACCGGCAAAAGCCGCTAAGTCCCGTGATGTCGATGCCTGGGGCCGTGCTTCTCCTGCTGCATTTGCTTCTGTCCGCTTCTGCAAGCTGAGCTGGCGGAGTTGCTAATTATTGCCGATTCTCGTTGCCTCGGCTTTTCCTGCACCCTGCAATCAAAATTACTCTTATAGCCATGTTGTTTCTTTTGTTTCTTCTAAAGGAGTTCTCATTCGTTGGTTGAGCATTACAATCTGACCATGAAATCTTGAGAGCGTACTCAACATACTTCTTAACACTCTATCCAAAAGTAGATACATTGGGGATCTTAACGCTACAGCTCCAGTCCATTCTTACAAAAACGTTTTGTTGAGAAGATAAGCAAAGCAATTCCTACTTTTGCGTCCCAATGCCTGACTCCAGGATAAAATCACTCCATGCATGCTTCTATACCCAAAAACTTTGAGAACCCACACACATTACATAGGATCGCATAAATTCGTTTAAACAGCGTTGTCGTACTTGGCGTTGTGGGTGGAAATGGCTCTGATAGATGAGATTCGTCAGTGAACATGGCTTGACATCCGACTCCTACAGCTCCTGCTTACCTTCCACTGGGGTCGGTCTGCTTGGACCATGTGGGTACCCAACGTTCGACGGTTCCCGCGCAAGTGGGGGGGAAGTGCTCATCGAACATCAAGCGGTACCAGTACCTGTATTTGCAAAAGTCAGCTCACACGTCCTTATCACTGATAGACTGCAAAAGGAAAAGGCTTAACATACGCCTCCTTGGTGTCGGGGATGTCAGTTCCCCACTCGGGCTTGGGGTTCTTCATCATCTCGTCCGTGATCTGCAGCTCAGCCTGATCCTTGAGGCCATCAATCCAGCTGTAGCCGACACCATCGCTGAACTGCTCCTTCTGGCGCCACAAAATGTTGTCAGGCAAGTAAGGCTCGACATCAGGCTCGTCGGTGGTGTCGAAAGCCTTGCGCAGAATGTACTTCTCAATACGCTCCTTGGTGATCATCTTCTCAGCGGGGTCGACACCCATGCAAGTCTCCAGGAATTCCTTGTCGAGGAAAGGAACACGGGCTTCCAGACCCCAGGCGGAGGTGGACTTGTTCGCTCTCAAGCAGTCAGCCAAGTGCAGGTTCTTGACACGTCGGACAGTCTCCTTGTGGAATTCCTCCTTGTTGGGAGCGGCGTGGAAGTACAGGTATCCACCGAAGATCTCATCACTGCCCTCGCCACTGAGAACCATCTTGACTCCCATAGCCTTGATCTTGCGGCTCAGGAGGTACATAGGGGTAGAGGCACGGATGGTGGTGACATCATAGGTCTCGAGGTGATAGATGACATCGGAAAGCGCGTTGAGACCGTCCTCAACGGTGAAGGTGAAGGCGTGGTGCTTGGTTCCAAGGAACTTGGCAACCTCGAGGGCAGCCTGGGTATCAGGAGCACCGGGCAGACCGATGGAGAAGGAGTGTAGCTGCTGGAAGGTGGTGACAGTGGAGAGATCGTTCTCGTCATCGATACCAACCAAGTCAGAGGAGGCACCCTGCGCCTGAGCAGTGCGGGCGGCCTCCTGCATGCGCAGAGTCTCGCGCTGGGCAATGGAGGCAACCAAGCTGGAATCAAGACCACCGGACAGAAGAACACCGTAAGGAACCTCAGCCATGAGACGCTTGCGGACAGACTTCTCCAAAGACTTGCGAATGACCTTATAGTCGATAGGGGTGGTGGGGACGTTGGCAGCGTCCCACCACTTGGGCTGGAAGTAGCGGGTGAACTCGCCGGTCTTGGAATCGAAGACATGGCCGGGGGGGAAAGCCTGGATCTTGTCGCAGACGGGGTGCAGAGACTTCAACTCGGAGGCGAAGTACACAGCACCGGGAGTCTCGGACGACCAGCCGATGTAGAAGCTGGTTACACCAATGGGGTCACGTGCAGCGATAACCCTGTCTTGCTTCTTGTCATACAGCACGAACGAGAACATGCCGTCGAGGTGCTTGGGGGCGTCCAGGCCATATTCCATGTACTGGGGTATTGATTAGCTCCTGATCTGACATGGGAGCGAATTTTCCCGGATTTCGTCACACCTACCAATGGGATAACAACTTCACAGTCAGAGTGTGTCTTGAACTGGTAGTCGGCATTGAGGTTCTTTCTCAGAATGCGGTGGTTGTAAATCTCGCCGTTGACAGCCAGGGCGAGAGAGCCATCATCGTTGACAAGGGGCTGAGCGCCGGAGTCTTGAAAAAGGGTTCCTTGTTAGGTGGTCCGAAGAACGGGTGTGGCGATGAAGCACGTACCGACACCGACGATACACAAACGCTCATGCGTGAGGACTAGATTTCACTTAGTGTTTGCCATGAGGGATGAGGCAGTTGTGCTCAACTCACTGGTGCTGTCAGAGATCCAGCTTCCGCCTATTCTTGGGTCAGAAAATGCTACTGCTGTCGGTCACACTGAAAGCACTATGACTCACTCCAATCGGGACCGCGGTGGCGCAAGCTAGAAACAACAATCAGCGAAAGATGAACATCACGCAGGCGAGAGAAGAGAGGAAGGTGATTGATTGACTTACACCTTGGCCATGCGCAAGGCCGTAGGCTTGAATGCCTGCACATCGGGGTGACTGTGTGGACATGGTCAGTGGTTGACTCAACCCAAGCGATGTCGCGGGTCAAGAAAATTGGAGGACAAGGAATGTGGCATGGCCATCGGCATAAAGAGACGTACTGGTGACACGCGAAGATACCACACATGCTGGCGACAATCAATTGAGAAAGCACTCAAAGATTCAGGCAGCGAATATTCCAGGAGCAATTGACCTAACGTTGAAAGGAACCGTCTGGGGGAGAAAGAGGAAGCAGGTGAATTTAAAATATGAGAACGAGTAACCCGTTCCCGGCGGGGCGGAACGAGGGGCGATTTCGGCCACAAGTAATTGGACTGACTCACCCGATAAGATAACCGTGGCCCGTCTCGGACGTCGGACCTTTCTCCCCGGTTCTCATTGGTTTAATTGATCTTCGTGACGTCTGGAAGGTAACTACAGGTCTTATTCAACACTACTATAGAAGGTAGGTAAATCTTTATGCATGGGGGAGTCCATCTAGGACATTCAGGTAATTGTATACCTGTCCCGGATGAGCGGACAAATTGACAACGTGCCATGTGCCAACGTTCAATCTCTGTTCTGTCTCCATGCGGACGAAATCGGTTGCGATCTAGAAGGTGTGCCAAGAATGAACGGAGAACACCAACCCGGCCAGTGCGGTACGACCTCGGTCGGATTTTCTTGCTCTCTCAATGAAGCCAGGCATGGCCACCACGATATTGTTGATTTTGAGACGCCATGCTTCTCGCTAAGAAAAACAAAAAAAAAAAACTAAACAGACTGGCCAATATGGGGAATACATAAAATAAATCAGCCGGCAGATTTGAAAGGAGAAACAACATGCAAAACGTTTCGAGGACAAAAGACGCCATGTAGTCGCTGATCGGAAGAGTTCCTGAACCCAGATATCAATGACCATTCTGTTGCATGAATCTCTCGATGAAGATTGTCACTTCGCGTCAGAGAAAGAGATGACAAAGTCCACGGCAATCCGTTCGTTTGCCACATATGCAGGAAATCGCCGAAAGCTGCATCCGCGCATAGACCAAGGTGTGGTTGTCGCGACAACCGTAGTCGAGTGTGTGTTTGTGTGTTTGGAGTCTAGAATGTACCGAGCGATAGCATTGTTCACTGTACGCATGAATGACATTCAAAGTGCCGGATTTTCCTTGACCACTTGCTTGACACGTCGCTCATACGCCGGTCGATCCTTCTTGAACAGATTGTATGCCTCAGCCTGGGCGGGTGACTCCGGGTTCGGGTCGTTCAGTAGGTCTTGAATGCCCAGAAGAATCTGTTTGATGGTGATGGCAGGTTTCCATGCCTCCTCTTCGTTCAATATCGAAAGGCAGACGGTGCCGGAGGGGTAGACGTTCGGGTGGAAGAGCGGAGGGACGAATTTGCCTGTGAGTAATGAAAGCCATATTAGTTTCTGGCGCGCGATATCGTGAGGTTGGCGCAAGACTTTCAAAGTCGCATGGGGATAATTTTTATTATCAGCAGGGATGCACTTACATTTAGGTGGCTTAGTCGGATATTCTGCGTAGTGGGCCAGCGATCAGTTATGACCCGTCGCACCAAAGGAAAAAAGCTGATGACAGAGAAGTTGAACTCACCATCTGGAAACGTAACGTCGAGCTTGAAAAGCCCACCCTCCCATAAGGTTTGCGCCTTTCCAGGAATACCGCACTCCCATCTCTTGAGGTCGAGCGCACCTTGAGGGTTGCGATGGGGCCTCGCGTAGAATCCGAAAGGGTGGTCTCGACGCCACTGCTTTCTTCATGGGGAGCGCAATATCAGAGGTTAGCGCACCAGCCTGACTATACCATGGCGCATCCGTGGAGGAGACAGAAACCCTCACCTTTCTTCTGTAAGGCGGTTTATGCAGAGCGACATGTCGGATATACGCAATTCACGTAGGTGGGGGAAACTTGGAAGCTGAAAGTGGGAGGATATATGACTGACGCTGGAAAGAGATAATCAGGAAGTAGCTAGGTGGAGAGATGAGGAGGTATGGAAGGAAAAAGAGAAGAAAAGAACACAGATGTGTTATATGAATGGACGGGAAAGTCAACGGGTGTAGGTTAGTAGTTTAGGCCTAGTGAATGTGAATGGATGTGCACAACGGAAGTTCCAGATCATCCCGGCCTGAGAGACTGGGCAGTTGTCGCCCGCCTCGCCCACCGGCTATCGATCCGCCCCACAGCCAATCACTCTCGGGGGCTGCTGCAGGTCATCTTCATCACATGACAGAATGGGCTATAGTTGTCTCTCAATCCCGCCTGATTACTGGTCCGAGCATCGACTACATTGCGAACATATCTTTGTTATAGTACGACAATGCATGAACCCGTCGCCTTATGAATGAACCTACCATAACAGACTGACAACCCAAGGCTTGCAAGCCATGGGTGACAAAGGCTTTATCGGAAGGTCTCCTCTGACCATGGGGACTGTGATTATTCAAGCTAGGTCTCACATACGCCCTGTTGTTTATTTAAGTAAAAATGGTTTGCTCGCAGCGTGCTTGATCATGCTGCCTGTCACCTCGATTGGCTCGATCTACTGACTTCAACGCCGCAGTATATTAGCCAGGGTACAAGGAAGTTCATCATCAGTCGACCTGTTGTCTAGCGGGGAGGGCTATCCTTCTTCTCTGTACAATACACCATTGACCCACTTCCCAGCTTTCGACCTCTGATCACGCATTCAGGATGTGCCATAAGATTCGTTATTACTTTTCGGGGTGTACATGCATCGATGTGTCCCGTGACTTTGATATCAGATGTGATGAAGCCTTGAGAGTAGGGTATGAATGTACCAACCCTGAAGCTACTGGGATCCCAATGAAGGGAGTATGTCCCGAATGTCAGAAGTACTACAAAGAGTATTATGAAGCAATGCCTACGTCCAGCAAGCCAGAGACCCCAGTCCCTGAACGTCAAGCGGTCGAGATCTGCAAACCCGTTGAGGAGAAACCAGAGTGTCAATCCGGTGTTTCGGTTCCTGAAGGTCACTATGTCAACATCGGTAGGGAAACTGAGGAACCAAAGTGTCAACCCGATAATCCCGTCCCTGAGATTGCAGAGGTCGACATCCCCAACGACATTAAGGAACCAAAGTGTCACATGGGTATTCCAGTCCCTAAACGTCAGGGAACTAAAGCCTGCAGCGACATCGAGGAACCAAGGCGTCCCACCGGTATTCCAACCCCTAGACGTCAGGAAGCGAAAGCCCGCAGCGAGGTAGATAAGAAAGCAAGGTACCAGTCTGGTCTTCCAGTTCCCAAGCACCAGGAAGTCAAAATATGCAACCAAGTGGATGAGAAGCCAAAGCGCCAGTCTAGCATCCCACTGCCTAGGAAACAGGAAGCCAAGCCAAGCAACGAGGTGGGTAAGAAACCAAGGGTTCAGTCTGGTATCCCACTCCCTAAAACAGGAGAGGTCAAAACACACAACAAGCCTGCTCCGGACTCAAAGAACGCTGAGAAGTCCGAGCCTTCTGACGAGGGTTTATTCAATAGAATCACTTTCTCTGACTTGCATGACCAGGCTCGATAAGGGTACACGTAAGATTTGAAAGATGTGATATATGTTCCTCTGTCACGTTATTATTCGCGCTCGAAGTTAGCTAGACTATCACTAGGTCCCACTTCTATTAACCATCATAATCCCCTTCCTCAAACCTCTGTGTATCGTAGAACCGCGCAGTAATGACGTTTCCATTGAATATTCGGCCCTCGAGAGCATTGACTGCCTACAAGCCTCATTAGTACACTGGACAGCAACTGATGAGTGACATGACTAGGTATTGCCTTACCCGCAGAGCCGAAAGCTGATTGGTAAATTTCACAAACACTGGAACAGGGGGCTTCATCGAATCTCGTGGGATGTAAACTCGCTCGACACGGCCGTACTGCTCGCAAGTTAGATAGGGCAATCGACAGGGTTTGTCGTATAATCACTGACCTTGTCGGAGCATTCTTCTCCAATCTCCTGCATGAGACCACCGCTTTCTCCGTCGCCAGCCAATTCAGCCTCAAGATCCATCCCATCAAGCATGCCCTTGAGGACGATTACTTCACTCATTGGGCCGAATTTGCCTTCTTCCTCGTTCTTCCGCGCACCGCCAATGACCTTACCCCGTCCAGCGGGCGTCACAAAGCCACCCCCTTCTGAGTCCGGCCGTTTCTTCTGTTTTTCAACTTTGACCAGCAGTGGCTTGACAATTCCGGACCCTGTGGCACCAAGGCCAGAGCCCTTCGTCCAGCCATACTTTGCCATGAGTCGTTCCGCAAAGCCCTTCTGGCCCGGTCTTAGGGAGCGCTGACCATCGTCTCCTGGCTCATCAGCAACCGGTTGCTCCTTTGCGAACACCTCTTCAAGCTCTGCTTCCGAGGCAGGTATGTCCTCAGGAGGAGGTGGTAGTGTGTATCGAACCGGAGCGCGAGATATGGTCGCAGAAGCTGGCTGCAATTCATCCAGAGGCCGTGGCGGAGGCGGTGGCGGGGGCACTGCTGAGCTCCCTGCCGTCGACATCTGGAGCCTTCGCAGATAAGCATCCTCGCCTGTGGGGTCGTCGGGAACATGGGCTGGTGGTTCATCTGGCGGTGGGGGCGGGGGAATCCCTCCCATCGACACATCATCCGGAGTTTCGGTTCGTTCTTCAGTGGATGGTGATTCCACAGGTGGCCTGGGAGGAGCATCGTTAAGGCCCGGGGGCGGTGCGAAACTGCCGGGGGGCGCGAATTGACCTGGAATCCTGTGGTGAGCAAATGAACATTCTCGCCATGCCAATAGTGTGGCTTACGGTTCCTTGGCCGTGCATAATCATCATCGTCGCTGTATGACTCCCTACTGGGCGATCTAGCCATGCGATGTGCATATAGACGGTCTTTCCACTCGCGGATCTCAGCTATCTGCTCGTCGCTATGCTTGTATTCCTCATAATTGTTTGGCCGAGACGGATCGTAGATATCATCCCAGTTCTGTATGAATTCTTGCACTTCCCGGTTCTTCTTGCGCTTCTTACGACCTCCGCGCTGCCTCTTCGGTCCAGCATAGAACCCGTTGACATCGTCATCTTCGGTAGCCGCCCAGTCTGCAAGGGTGGTTTTGACTGATGCAGCGGCCGGCGTGGGAGCAATTGGGGCTTTAGGCAGTGTGGGCTTTGGCTTAGGTTTCTGAGTAGCGAGTTGAGGCCTTCTGGTAGGTTGAAATCGGAGAGAAGCTGAATGCCACCGACATGAATCACCGGGCGGACAAGTGAGCAATCAGATCGATCAAAGAGACGACAAAGTTCGCTCAAAAGAGAAGGGCATGAGTCTACCGGCACTGAGCTGCTGCTTCTTCGCAGCTGGATCATCGGATTGGGCCTCGGCCTCAGCGCCCTGTCTGAACACAACAGGCGCGCGAGAAATCGTTCCGGGAGAGTTATCCGCGGAGGGGTCCAGCAGATTGGCATATAGTGACAGGCCTCCTCCAGGCTTAGGAGGGGCGGGATCGGAGCTCATGACGAATGGCAGCTAAGTACATTCAGCGATAATAACGTGTTCTAGATTCAAAGATGGTGTGGTCATAAAAGACAAGTCCGCTAAGCTTGGATGACGCAAATCCCCGACGACTCTCATAGACTTGTCTGAGGTTTGATGATAATGAGAAGCGGCAGTTCCGGCGAAGCGGTGGCCGCTACGCTCCACCGCTTTCCACACCGTCCAGGCGGCAGAATATCAACAGCCTCTCGGGATGCAACCATTCCAGGTCTTCACCGCCTACGAAGCCAGCAGAACGAGGATCCGATCACGTGGTCGGCGGTGAACTGGAGCGCCCCAGAGTTGAATTAGGAAAACCCGAGGCCAAGTAAGCCCAGCCCAGCCCTAAAGGAGAGTGGAACGGAACAAAGTATCCGGCCCGTACTGGCACTAACTATGTAGGGATTGGGAGATACCTAACGGTTGAGGTCATGATGCAATTGCTTGGCTGGCATGATTGCCTGCAACTCTTGAGTTGTTCTTGACACTGAAGAAAGCCTTTGACGCAAAAGAGTTCCATTGTGCCACTGTGCCATTGTGCCATTGTGCTATTGTGTTATTGAAATCACCATCATCACAATACTCATCTGAAGTACCATTTAAACATCCTTGGCAGCCAAGACCCAAGTGTAACCCTCGTGCAGCACACTACTCGTCATGGCAACATTGGCGCGGTCATTCTCCTCCGATAGTGCGGATATCGCCATCCTAGTGCCCAACAAAACCCATCCTCTGGCGATAACCTATCAGCAGTTGCACAAGCATATCGCCGACTTCCAGGCCAAGTTAGCCAAGCTTGGGGTCGGGCATGGCGCCGCCGTGTCCCTGGCGCTGACCAACTCGTACGAGTTCATCGTGGCATTTCTGGCCGCCTCGTGGCAGCGGGCGATCGCCGCGCCGCTCAACCCGGCCTATAAGCAGGAGGAGTTCGAATTCTACATCGACGATCTCAGCTCCACCCTGGTCTTGATCCCCCAGGGTTCCTATGCGAAGGAAGGTCCCGCCGTTCGCGCGGGGAGAAAGTACAATGCCGCGATCGCCGAGTGCTACTGGAACGGTGCCGAGATCGTGCTCGATGTGAAGGAACAGGGCAAGCTATCTGGCAATGGAGGCGTCAGTGTCCAACAAGCTCAACCCGATGATGTTGCTCTCGTCTTGCACACGAGCGGAACCACTGGCAGGCCCAAGGCTGTACGTCTCATGCCCTGTTCCCTGTGATCAGGTCCGTGTTTTTGTTTTTCGGTATCATCACTAACCGCTCTCAAAATCAGGTCCCGCTCACACACAAGAACCTGACCACCACAATGCGTAAGCATCCAGTCCTTGCCCCAGTATATCCTCCAAAAAGCCCCGTCCCCCTCGATCTAACCAATCCCCGCACAGGCAACATCAAAGCGACATACAACCTCACTCCAGCAGATCGGACTTACCTGGTGATGCCCCTCTTCCACGTCCACGGTCTGCTAGCCGCATTCCTGGCGCCTCTGTACTCCGGGGGCTCGGTGATTGTTCCCGCCCGATTCTCAGCGTCGGAGTTCTGGCCCGACTTCATCACCTACAAGGCGAACTGGTACTCGGCGGTGCCCACCATCCACCAGATCCTCCTGAAGACCCCCTTACCCAACCCCATTCCGGCCATCCGCTTCATCCGGTCATGCTCCTCCCCGCTCTCCCCCAAGACCTTCCACGACCTTGAGAAAGCGTTGAATGCCCCGGTGCTCGAAGCCTACGCCATGACGGAGGCCGCGCACCAGATGACCAGCAACCCCCTGCCCCCCGCGAAGCGTCAGCCCGGCAGCGTGGGTCTCGGCCAGGGGGTGGAAGTGCGGATCCTGGACGCGGCCGGCAAGGAAGTGGCCCAGGGCCAGGAGGCGGAGATCTGCGTGCGGGGGGAGAATGTCACCAAGGGGTACCTGAACAACCCGGAAGCCAACAAGTCGTCCTTCACCGAGGACGGCTTCTTCCGCACCGGCGACCAGGGCAAGAAGGACGCGGACGGGTACGTGATCATCACGGGCCGCATCAAGGAGCTGATCAACAAGGGCGGCGAGAAGATCAGTCCCATCGAGCTGGACAATACCCTCCTCCACCACCCCAAGGTGGCGGAGGCGGTGTGCTTCGCCATCCCCGATGAGGGTCACTACGGCGAGGAGATCGGGGCGGCGGTGGTGTTGAAGAACGGTGCGAGTGCCACCGAGGCCGAACTCAAGGCCTGGGTGGAGTCGAAGTTGGCCAAGTTCAAGACGCCAAAAAAGGTATGTCTGTCGCTGCTGTCTGGTTCTTGGCACCGGAATGGCTGCTGCTAACACGCATGATTTCACAGATTTGGCTTGTCCCGCAGATTCCCAAGACAGCTACGGGGAAGATCCAGCGGCGCAAGGTGGCCGAGGCGATGCTGAAGGTCAAGGCCAAGCTGTAGTCGTGTAGCCTTGGAGATGCGTTTAGAATATAGATCTTGCTCACGCAACAAATGAAAAGAGTTAGGCGGATGTTTGCAATATAGATAGATATCTTGCTGTTCTTATCATCTTTGTCCTAAAGGCCACAATCGTTAGTTATTCTATAACCTGTCCGCATCTCGTATCTCATCACGGCTCAGAGAAACCAGAACCCCTGGCCCTGCAGCCCTGTAGCCCCAGTATAAGCTTGAGTAAAGCACACTCTCTGTGCACAAACCCGCATTCTGATCTTTCCCAAACATCTCAGAATCGAAGCAACAGACAAACAAGAACCCAATCACCCCAACAATCCGAACCCAAAAACGACGCTCTAGCTCCCAAAACACACCCCTCCCCACAGCTAAACCAATGCATGAACCCACCCAACTGCACTCTACAAGTTCCCTCTAGCAGCCTGATCGCGCTCAAACGCCTCGAACAAACTCCGAAAATTGCCCGCCCCAAACCCATCGAAATTCTCCCTCTGGATAATCTCGATGAACACCGTCGGGCGGTCGACCACATGCTTGGTGAAGATCTGCAGCAGGTAGCCGCCCTCGTCGAAATCGATGAGGATGTTGTACCTCTGCAGGATGTCGATGTCCTCGGCGATGCTGAGGCTGCTCGCCGCAAGCCGCTTCTTCATGGTCGTGTAGTAGTTGGCCGGCACGGTGAGGAAGTTGACGCCGCGCTTGCCGAGGTTCTCGACGGCGGCGATGATATTATCTGTGCGGAAGGCGATGTGCTGGCAGCCGGCGCCGTTGTAGTAGTCGACGAATCTGTAGGATGTAGTTAGGGAGTTGTTTCATCTGTCCTTCTTCGGATTCGTGGGTTTGTGTTTGAATGGGAAGTGGAGGGGGTTTGGGAGGACTCGGATGATGATGTCGGGAGTAAGGGTGGGAAGAGGGAGTGGGTTTGTAGATAAATGAAACACCCACTCAGAAGGAGAGAAAGCTTACTCTTCGATCTGGGATTTCTTGAGCCCAACAGCCGGCTCATTCATCGGCATCTTGATCACCTCGTCCGGCGAGGCCACGACAACAGAGCGCATTGCCGAGAACTCGGAGCACATTTCCTTGTCGTCGACGGTCCAGTAGCGGTGGAAGTTCAACGCGTCCTCATAGCTGGCGCCAGAAGAGGCTATAGTCAGCTCACGTACGTATTGTGCAGAGGTAGAGGACGAAGACTTACAACTTGACAATGGTATCCAACCCGTCCCACGGTTGGTTGCCCACGCAGTGGTCAATCTCAATGACATCGACCGGCGGCAGCAGGTCGTTCAAGCGGTCGAGGCCCGACACGGCGGCGTATCCGGGAAGAAAGACGCCCCGGTAGCCGGAGCGGTTGATGAGCGTGTGCGCCGTGTCGCCGAATGTCTTGATCGTGGCCCGGAGGATCTCGCCATCGACCTCGTCGGTCAGGGTCGTGGGTTCCTGGAGCGAGACGGCTCCTCCGTTCTGGACGGCGTGCTCCCAAACGCCCGTCACGTCGTCGACCTGGAAGGCGATGTCCTTGACCCCGTCCCCGTGCTTGTTCAGATGCGTCTGGATCTCGTCGAGCAGCCGGCGATCCTCGTCCGAGCCCCGCTGTTCGGCGGCGTTGTCCGCGGCCACGATGGGGGCAGTAAAGACGAATCGAGCGGCGCCGTTGGCCACGACGTACGAGCACGAGAGATAGGAGCCCGTCTCAGGGCCGCGGTAGGCGACGATGCTGAAGCCGAAGTGGGCGACGAAGTATGTCGCCGTTTGGCGGGCGTTGCCGACGTACCAGCTTACATAGTCGTAGCCAGTATAGTTCGGGTTGACGCTGCGGAGGACGGCGCTGTTGCCGTTGCCGGTCGCAGGCTGGGAAAGAGATTCATTGGAAGGCATGGCTGACGGTATGGAGAGTATCAATATATTAGCGTCCTAGATGTATCTAGGCGAACGGAATGAGTGTCCTGTCAAAGGCAGATAGTGAAAGATCTGAACCTCGCGGAGAGCGTTGTCTGTGTTGTTATTTCGGTTGTCGTGGTTGCTGTTGTTATCGTCCCACGTTTGCCACGGTCTGTCCGTCCTCATGGCTAAATACTGGAACATGATGGCACATGTGCGTGACGTGAGAACGCAAATCCATAGACCGGTACATACCACCCCACGGAGTCGTGTCAGATCCGGTTCATGCAATATCAAAGCGATCTACATTATCAGATTCCGTAATAGATATCCGCAAGGGCGGTTGGCCCTGCACTTTATACTAACCCTTGTAACGGTTCACTTAGTTCAAAATGTGATAACAACGTCACCGTTCCACCAGTCTTACTACACATGACTAATTCAAGATATCAGTTTCGAAATCATCCCTCCCTTTTTGCTTACGTCAAATATCCTTTCTTTGCATCACCCGACCCAGGACCCCTGAAGTAAATGCTAGGTTTCAAATCCTCAGCAAGCTCAAATTCCAGTGGGCTTCGATTTGATGACACAACACAAAAGCAACAGCGTCGATCATTGTACATGCAATGACGAGTCGGTGACCCAAGGTAGTATTGCATCGGAGTATATGTGCCAAGTCTAGACTGTGCATGTTTCGTCGAATGATGAAAGGCACGACGAATACCCTCGACGACCGTTTCATCATCCATGCAGTTCAGTCTTGGCGACTAGATAGCTCGCAGCTGAGCAAGAGCTAGAGCATTCGAGCACAAGTCACATCCAGGAAACCAGCATTCAGCGACAATTGTCACGACAGAGCTAGTGCCGCGTGTACAGTGTCTTCCTAAAGAGGAGAGAGAGGCGTAGCGGTTGATGCATGCAAATGCGGATAGCCCCTCGACTATGCATAGCAATGGATTCAAGGCGTGCAAGGAGTCCTGGGGATGGAAGCCACTTAGCAGTCATCTCGGAGGAAACCTGGCAATGATCGTGGGAAGCACAGAATAAGGTGGCCTAACTACCAAGGAAGTGTTGTGGATAAGCGCGACTCGAGCATGTCGATTCGAACCTGAAATTTATCAGCTGTTATGCACAAAGGGTTTCAGTGGTATACTACAATCCGTCAAAAGGAACCATTCAAACAATTTGTCACGGGGATCCAGGATGTCATTGCATTCGCCAACTATGGGAGAGAGATCTACAAAGCCAAGCGAGCAGCAGACTTGAACTGAAGTATGGCGAAGTATGTCAGCACGTGCGCAAAGAAAAGACAAGAAGATAATGACCGTACCGGTATGATTTGAGCCTTCTCTAGGTCCCATACATCAGACTTGGTGTAAATATCATTCTTCACCAACCTCTCGACCTCCTCCTTGCTCTCTGCGACGTATATCATAACACTGCCCTTGAAGGAGACGGAGTCGTCTGGTTTCGGGTGCTGGTCGAGCATAGCTCCTATCCGCATTCCATTGATTTAGCCGATGTTATTGTTTGGGAGGATGATTTGCTTGGGACATACCGCCCAGGACAACCTTTCCGGACTCAACAAGAGGGGTGACATTTGCAAGATGTTGTCTGTTTCATTTTCAGCTCTGCGCCAGCGGCTAACGGTTGAAGGAGTCAATCTTACGCGCGCACTTCCAGTCTTCTGGCCAATGCGTCGGGCTTGTCCGGGAGGATGCAAAGGAACTCGTTCTTGGCAGACATTTTGCTGACAGTTGAGTTAAGAAAGTATAGCAGCAGCAGCAGTAGTAGTGACAGGGAAGAAACGAAGAGGAAAAGGAGTAGCAGCGCCCAACTCAATAGAGAAATTACAGTTAGAAGAAATAGATGGCGTTGGCCGAGGGGAAAGCGAAAGCGGAGGGCGGGGAGGTTGAGTGAAGTGGGTGGTGGGCGGGCAGCACGGAGCTGAGGGCGCAAGACTTATCCGGTTTGGTGTCACTGGGATTTAGTCTAACCCCCTCTCCCCCATGTCTCACAGCTGTCTTGACGCAGTGATCACCTTGGAAGCGGGGCTCATGCTTATCAATGATACCGTCATAGCAGATTATTATTGCTCGCAATACTCTACCCTGTACGACATATGTACATGGACATGGAGATCAGAGTTCGTGCCTAGCCTTGTTCCTCTGTGCACCTCTTACTTGATGACATTGTCGCTCTGATCCAGTAATCGAGACAGAGCGTAGAGTGCAATGCGCATCGGCATACACAATCAAACATGGCTGGTGCGCATAGAGCACCAGCCGCTGGGCGAGCAGCTACTCGTCACTGGTATCTTACCCGCAAGAAAAAACATAGCAAGGCATAATCAGAGCTCAGTCAACCGGCGCTCTATGGGTGTTCTCCAATATACCTAAACACTGTCCCTGTAGCGCCAACAAAGCCAGACATAACCCTGGATCGCAAACACACACACACACAAAAAAGAAAGAGACAAAGAAATAAAAATTACCGGAGTTGTGAGATATCCATCTCAGTGTCCGTAGCATGCATTCAGGCAAATAGAACAGATGTAAAGAGAAGGTAAAAAGAAGAGAACACAAAGGTTGAAATAAAAAAACGTAATAGGTGAGCCTCCACATAGATGACCATCATAACGGCTCAGATGTACACAGGGAAAAAAGGGTATTTCGAGTTTTGGTAACAAGGATGAAGATGGTCGCTTCACTCAGACTGCATGAAAGATAGGATCAACCCGTAAATGCAGCTAATAGGCTTTGCGGCCCCCAAGGTTACCACCCTTCTCTTCGGTATCGATATGCCAGACAACATAGTTGGGTAGTCCATAGACGCCGTACCCAGCACGCTTTGCCATGCGGGCGAATCCTTCGGTTTCGGCCTGGTTCTCGAAGGCGTAAGCAGGGAAGTTGATACCAGACCGATGAACGTCAGCCTTAACGAGGATGTTGACTCCGCCAATGCCGTCCAGCTCGACTTCCTCATCCTTGTTGTTCCTCCAGTCACCCATGCCAACGAGGTATTGTCGGCCAGTATCATACTCCTTGTAACCTTCGGCCAAAACAGTATCCGGATCGAGCGTCTCGCGAAGACGACGTCCCTTATCGGATTCGATCCACGAGTTGTAGTCAACTGCAAGAGTCAGCAAACAGAGTCAATAAGTTGGTTTGTTGGCGTGGTACATACAGCGACCCTCAATATCGCGGCCATCCCTGTAGCGGTGGAACCAGATGTCTGCAACGATGATTAGTATGAAGCTCCTAGGGTACATGTCTGAAGGTAATAACATACTGGGCACGAGAATGTCTCTGTCGTGAGCGACAAAGTCCTCAATGATACTGGGTGGGCTGTCAGAAATGTCGACATCTCGCCAATAGACCCATGAGTGGTCAGGCTTGAGAGCAGAGTAGAGTAGGTAGTTCCGAGCTCTGCCGATAGCCTTGCGGCGCGGTCCCTGCGCAGCAAATGAATGCCTGTCTTCGACATTCATCTGGAAATCGCTATGGAAATCCTTCTCCACAATTGTAGCACTGCGGAAAGCGATTTTCTCATCGGTCTGAGACTGAATACGAGCCAATTCTGCGGTAAGAACAGCCATGGTGTCATCTTTGCTATCGCCAACGAGGAAGGCCAGATCGATGAGATCGTGGGGGTACGTCAACTTGTAGAGAAGGTCGAAGTAGTTGATCAGATGAGCCGAGGCATCTCGTAGTGGCGTCAGGATAAGTACTCGCTCAGCGTTCGCGACGGCCTGTTGGGTCGACTTGATGGGATTGAGGTCGACGTGCTTGATGTTGGATGAGTTTACTTCGTAGGCATCGTGGTGATTGAAGACCACAGGGGTCTGAAGATGTGCGTTCCATTCGACCATTTCGTTGATGGACATATCCATTGGCGATTTCGGAGGGCCGTAGCAATAGAAACTGCATGCAGTCGGCGGTGTTAACTCTTTCCGTGTCTTAATCTCACGATAGGGAGTCATTGTATCGCGACCTGCGCGATCGATGAGAGAGAGGACTCACCTTTGCATTTCTGAAGCCGACCTGCTGATACCACGCCATAGAAGGACCATCAAGCCAGTCACGGCCAGTGATACTAGGAATCTAGTTCTCGTGACCATGAACAGGACAGCCCGCCATGGAGGCAGCCTGGCTTTGGCCGACTTCCACGTTACACCACCCTTGGGGAGCAACATGTTTGTAAAGGAGAAAAGGTCGCTGAAGTTGAACGCGAGCCAATCCGTGAATTGCCCCGCTTCACTTATCTGGAAATCGCCGATGCTCACAACAGGCGACGATTTCTCGTGATTCACCTGTCGCTAAGACACAAATCCAAGGAGATCGTTTAATCGCTCTCCGATCGACAAGATGACAGGCGAACGAAGTGAAGAAAGAGACTATTCCCGGGACAAGGAAGAGGAAACTTGACGTAAGCCCCGATCGTAAATCAACTTCCAAGCCAGGTACAAGCCCGATGGGTTGACGTGGACAGGTCAGAGTTGATGATGCGATACGGAGAAGAAGGGGAGGGGGGGACCTGCGATCGCCCGGGGAAGGAAAAGGGTAGTAAGGGAACTCGACTCAAGGGCTGGCTGCGGTAGAGCGCGGAACCGAAACCGAGCAATGGGAAATTGGACTTGAAACGAACGTAGGCGTGAGCCGGACAGAAGATTCGAACAAAAACAAAAGCCCTGCTAATCCTCGACAATTCAATGCCAGCGTCGCAAGCCCAGGAGGAAATTCGGGAACGGTCGTCGAAAGGGAAGACGGACCAGTTTGACAGCGAGGGATTAGAAGATTCGACCCGCCCGATGGTTCCAGCCAGAGAGTCCAGTTGGCCGCTACCGGATTGGTCCGTTACTTTTAATAGGGTACCGTGGACCTGACTAATGATATCTTACTCATCAGCATAACCATGAATAATTCACTTGCTCTCGGAGACACCCATTCCACCCGTGACCTCTGCCTACTAGGTCTCTCTAGAATTTTACCACTTTGACCAGGGCATCTAAGAAAATCCGCTCCTCTGCTGCCGGCCATTGGCTCATTTCGTAATACTACTTCGTGAGTAACACCCGTCAGACATACATTTCTCATGGGGTTTCTCTCATAATGATTTTACTCATAAGCCTTCTGAAACACATCCGAAACTAATGAGCGGAAACAAGGAAGAAGATTGCAAAAGAGATCTGAATTACCGAAAATGATCATGTATGTATACAAATGCTTCTAAACTCAGTAAATCACAAGATGGTTCCCAGATAGATCCCGTTTCACGCCAGAAATGAAGCCCACAAATGATACCCCGTGTAGCCTCTCTCGATATAGACAATATAAACAATGGAGGAACTTGTACAAACTCCATGAGAAATGCCATGCTCATGCACCCCGAACGACCTTTTCTTTTGATGTACACCACACAACTCTCGAAATCAGCTGACACCAGACAGAGAAGGAAGGCCTCGTCACGTGGATCCCGTACTCGACAAAGTAATAAATAAATCAATATGCAAGCTCTGATGTTGCCAGTGTATGTCGATGAAAAACGCTCCGGCTATGCTAGAAAGAAACACAGTTGAAAAGGGTGGTGACGGATTTGCGACTGCAGTATGTACCAGTCTCTATATGCAATTCTAAATTTGACTGCTGAGTGCAGCGCTCGCAGCTGTTCGTTGACGCGGCGCGCTCAAGTCGATCAGGGCGACGGGTTGAGCGATGGGCGTCGTGATGCCGGTACCGAGTAAGATGCCTGAGTGAACATCGGTGACGAGGGGCCGGTGACGGGGGGAGTGTTCCCCGGGTAAGAGTGACCAAATGACTGCGTTGCTGCAGCGGGAATGTGCTCCAACCGAGACTCAGGGCCATTGACAGCAATCTCGTCACAGAACACCCTCAAGCCAGGGAGCATGTTCCGTGGCTTGGGCTCTGCTGGATTTGGCATCGGCTGAGGGGCCATGTGCTCGCTCTTGGAGGTGCGGAACATGTGCTCATACGTCTTCAGCTGAAACTCAAGCGTCTGATTGCGCTCCTCCAACATCTGATTCTCTTGCTTCAGGGTCTTGACTTGCTGTTGGAGGCTCTGATTCTGTTGCTGTAGGTGGGACACCGTTTGCTGCAGCTGCATGCAACGGAGTTGGGTCTGCAGCTTTTTCGAAAGGTGACGCGGCGGCTCATTTTCCTGGTGGATCAGATGAATAATGATCACAAGCATGAAGTCAATGAGAAATATAGCGGCCTGCACAATATGCTCTTTCGATTCAGGGAGACTCTTGGATGGATTCCAACCTGCTCGCTCAAGGAAGAAATCGTGGAGGCGACTGTCGAGTTCGCGGTGCAACTGGCTGAGGTTCTTGCGGCGGTTACCCTCGGCAATTCTGTGCTTCTCCCTCTGCTCGTCCGAGTCCGCCGTAATCATGTTTCCCTTCCGCTTGCGGCCACATAGTTGCTGCAGTGGTGGCTTGCGGTTGATGTGTTTAGGCATGATTAGACTCAGGATTTCATTGTGAGAGAGCTCCTGGTGCCACTCGAGAACTTTCTGCGAGGGCAAAGGCTCCGGCCAAGAGCTATCAGCGGAGGTCGCCGGGGATGGAGGTGCCACCATATGCTCTGCCGATGGCCAAGGTGATCTGACAGGGAAAGTTTCGTGTGACGTAGGCGGGCTCGGAGCAAAAATGTTGGAAGTGAAGGGGTTGAAAGGTCCCCGGGGCAAGGGCTCCACCCGTGGTAGGGGTGGTAGACGGCGGTCGTCACTCATGTCTGCGGTACTGGAGGCGCTGGAGATGGTGCGCATGTCGCTATGCAGCCGAGAGCTGTCAGCTCTGCGTTCGGAGGCAAGGACACAGGAAGGTAACTCACGATGGAGAGCGTCGGACGATGTCGTCAGACATTCAGTCAAAGATTTGCTGATGAGTGAGACACAGGAGGGTGTCTCTTGCAGTTGGGGATGCTGTATGTCTGAGGCTGATGCGTCTAGACTGGGGAATGTCTCTGATATGTACGGTACGTCTGCACCTTCGCGGGATGTCTGAGAGTAATTTCAACGACGAGAGGCAAACACAGATGGCATATATATAGTTTCGAGACTGCCTTTCAAGGGGGATAGATCAGTGACTAAAGATGGGAGTGGCGAATGAATTGTGATGCTAGAAAACAATATTTGTGATCAAGGGGAAGGGTTGCTATGGAAAGCCGAGAAACACTGAGGATATTCAATGGAAAACCACGAGGTATGGAAGATATAATCGAGGAACACTGTGCTTTCCAGGGATACGGGAGGCTTCCGCTGCATGATTTATATTGCAGGAAGTGAACGAGGAGACAGGAGGGGGAATTGATAAATCCAATGAAGGAGGTGGGGAGGGGAGGAAGAGCGAGCGCGGAAAGACGCCATTGTGGTGGCGCTCAGACGTACAGTTGAGCTGGCAATGAACTGCATCAGATGGAGAGAAGGAGATCCGAAGGATAGGCAAGATGAGAGGGTTCATCTTTCTCTCTATGCGTGCGTGTGAGTTTGTATGTGTGTGTATGTGTAAAAAGTGAAGATGAATAACTAGCACTGCAAGCTGTAGTTGAGAGGAAGGATGTATCAACAACTTCATCCCAGAGTGGTACTGCACTTCATTGGTACCGGCACCACCGCCGCCAGGCCGGGCCCCCCTCAAGCATCCATAACCAGTGATTACAGGGCTTGCACTTTTCCTAGTCTGAGTTAAATGGATTAGCTCGATCTGCGACTACCTCAAGAAGGAAATGGGGCTACCATGGGTCGATTACATACAGCTTCCTTCCCGGGCGTTGTTTGATGTTATTTTTACTTCTGGGGAAATATTCCTTTTTTTTCTCCCTAGTTTTATTTTTCTCATTTTGCTTTTTTCTTCATCGTTTTATTTTCTTTTTTCTACCATGTATGTTTTTTCTCTTTGATTTTTCCTAAAGCAAAGGTTTGCTTTTGACCTCTCGCAAGTATGCAAGATATTCCCCAATTTGGTGCAGGTCTTACACGATATACTAGATCATCATAATGGGCACGGCGCATATTCTTGGTTGGCATTGTCATGGTGGTTGAGTTCGTGCATCCAGACTATCCCCGACGTCCTTCGGGCCAGGAACAATGAAGCCTATCTGACCTTCTGGCTCCATTTTGGTCCCATTCGGGATTTCCTGCTCTTACTTCATCGTCCTCTTCTCCATGAGGACACGCGGGGAAGCACCAAGAAGATTCCGGCAAAGTTCGACAGCTCGAGCTAGTGGCTTTTTGGGATCATTCGGGTCCTAGGCTGGGTCCTCTGGGTCCTCTGGGTCCTCTGGGTCCTCTTGGGGGCAGATATCTCTATCACAAATTGGCACAGACGCGAGGCAGCACCGGATCGACGAATCAACGTGCCATGATCCCGATGACCAAGAGAGTCGAATGAGGATCGAAGACCCTTGATTTGTCACCACTACAGCGGTTTTCGATCTACACGGGGCGAAAAGTATCGACTCCCCTTGCATTGCAGCCATCAATAGTCTGCTCGGGCCAATGGCCATGGTCCCTTCGGGAAGTGTTGAGAGCGACACCTTGACCCAGACAGCGGTGCATCCGTGAACTGATAGTGTCCAGGTGGGAAACGTTCCTATTATCTGTACGGAGACAAGCGCTATCCAATGACTTTATGGAGGTAAGAACCGAGTCTCTGGCGCTTATCTATCCTGTCGGTGCTCGAGCAGACAGCCTTTGCGGGGTACAGTAGGAAGCACAGGTCTCTCTGAGGACCATACCTATAAGGAACGATCAGCCATTATTGCAGGGGGGACACACTCAGCCAAGGTACCGACGACGAAACGCAGATCGGATCAGACATCCGGAACTTTTGGCTGGATGGCTTATCGTCTCCTTGGTACCTCATCGCATGTACCGCATTCGAGAACTCCAGATACTATATACAGTATAGGAACAGGCGTAGTACTGTGCTGAGATGCGACCCCGAGAAGGCGAGAACTCCGGAGTCCTGCAGTCTCATTATTGCTCACGACAATGAGATCATTGCATCGAGAGTACAAAAGTACCAATAAAGGGACCAAAGCCCTGGAATCAGTATGTACTATACATAAACATCCGACGCGCAAACGAGTGGAGGGTTCCCCAAAGCAGATCATCACTTCGGCAGAAGGGGATCAGTACTTGATAGCACGAAGCAAGGACTCTCGAGGGAAGATGCAAAAAGTACGTGAGACAGGTTCTGCGAGGAGGCCATGGATTTAGCGTCATGCCAGGGAAATCCCGAAGCGATGACGCCCACCACGATGTCATTCCTCTGCTTTGGTCTATTCTCCCAACCTGGAAGATAGCAGGGCTAAGAGTCACAGTCATTCATTATCAATTAATGGTCAGAATAAGGGTGTTGTCACTGCTGTCGGTGCCTTGCATTGCTCAGCGTCTGTCGTCATCGTCGAACTTAGTAATAGTAGTAGTAGTAGTAGTAGTAGTAGTAGTAGTAGTAGTAGTAGTAGTAGTAGTAGTAGTAGTAGTATATCTTTGCGAAGAATAACAATAACAATGGGAGTGATCGAGCTCCAGGCCCAGCGCATTGAACAGTCATGTACTACCGAATTGGGAAACGCAGCAGGTGGACAGGGCCATAGAGTTTGTTTTTTTATGTGGAAGACCGAATGGGCCCGACTTAAGGGGTCCAAACTCAACCTACTGTACTAAGTACAGTACTATGTATGGTACGGAGACGCAGTACGGAGACTGGACTAGGTAATGTAGCCCGCGGGACAGAATTGGATCGTCGACAGCCGAGGAAGGGCCCATCCGACTGGGCCTCTGGTTGATCCCAGCGACCAGGATGTCAGGATGTGACTGGCGGCCTGTCAAGCGTGACTTCTGGACTCAATCGCCCGCCACTGTTTGTTTATACTTTGTATGATGGGAATTTTTGGAATCTATTCCACAAGTCAATCCAGAGCACTAAGCCCAGAGCAACATCAACAACCACAACAATAACGAGCCTTCAACAGCGGTATTGACAACTCTGCTGTCAAGAGGGAGCACTATTCCATGCAATGATTCCATACATTACCAACCAAAAAAAAAAAAAAGTGAGAACAGAAACCAGCATACGAATGTAAATAAGTACTATACCTACAGTGTTGCGACTATGGAGTACTGTAGATAATCGTAGGCAGGGGGTAAAATGGACCTCAAACTGGAACGTAAGATCTGTCATATTTTGAGAGTCCCCGGATCTGAGATTTGCACCTCCTGAGGTGAAGAAAATAATGGGTCTTCCGGCGTCCTTAACTTTTCCTTAGGTATGGTAGCCCCACGTTGTTGAGGCGACTGACTTGACGAGGAGAAGATCGTTATACTCGTCACTATTATCGTTCCATCGCCATCATCTTTGCTAGCACCTAGTAGGCTATTGATGGTCATCCATAACTGAATGTGCTCATATTGTCAACGACATAGCAAACAAATACTCCCACATGGTCTTTTCCCTTCCCGTCCCGTCATACGCCGCCCTCCGTCCGTCCCCAGAGGGCCGGGAAGTGAGCAGCAGCACTATGCCAAAACAGGCTATGCTCACTACGGCCTAGAGCTTTGCTTCCTCTATGGATTTCAAAATGACTTTCATGACGCTGAACGTTATTCCATGATACTTGGCCAGCAGCTTGCTGGCCACTCGTCGTTGGCTACCACCGCTTGAAAGTCCAAGTATCAACTATTAAGGCCTGACATATATTGATTTGCCCCCTCTCCCCACGGAGGACCGACTGAACGAGCGCTGTGGAGGCTAGAAAGTACGCATTCTCCATAACATGATGAGTTGGCAATACATATATCCACTTGCGGAATGGGATCATGAAACACTGAGCGCGATCCTCAAGAGACCCTAGCCCCTGTTTGATCAGAGATACCTTGCACGCTGTGGATGCCAGGCACGAACTCATTTGTGGTCTACAGAGTTTCCTCCCGTTCAGATGATTGCATGCAGACTTCCGTACATGGCTTGGATAGTTGATGGTGCTCACGGGCCCCATGGTTGAACCTTCAGCCAGGAATATTGTCCGGGGAGGGTGCCGGTGGTAGTGGTGGTGGTGGTGCTAGCAAGCCCTTCCCTACCGTCTGTGTCGACGAGATTCTCGCTTATTCTCCGATATATCGTGGTCTCGAATCATCGATCACTACCAATCTATTGATTCTTGCCAGGGATTCCCGGCAGCGAGACCCAAGAATCACGACAAAACGAATCCCGGGGAGAGGGGCTGAATTGAACCTTAATGCGGCTCCTTAATGAGATCTACCACAGGACACGGACACAGTGTTGCCTCTCTTGAGTAATGAAGACCATCAGTTGACTTTGCCTGTCAGACGAAAGACAGCCACTGTGACATAGTCCTCTGAATTAACGTGGGTGGCAGCCGATCGTATCACTGGGCCCAAGGGAGAGAACGAGAGAGCGGGAGAAGAAGGTTAGGTTGAATTTGACTGCGGGTTTGCGCTACACAGCATTTCCTTTTCCTTTTAGCGGGTCCTCAATAAGACGCCAGCCTGAGTTCAACTGCGTAGACTAACCAACTAGTGAGTTAAGTATGTTACTCATAATTCATAACTAATTTACTGCATTGACCTAACATCATTGACTAATTACTTGTTTCGTCAAATTGAACTCCCAGGAAATTGGCTTGATACTGGTCACAAAGGCTACAAGCGTAAAGTTCAGCCCAAGGGACTTGCCAATTGCCATCATCTGAGTGTTGTCTACCTATGTAGTAACTTATCGGGCAGTCTGCCCTAAGATAACGGTTCTCCTAGAGGGGGCAAAAAGTCAAAACACACCAGCCACCACCACCACTAATCATATCAGCTAGTCTAGGCGTGATGTATCACAAAACCAAAAGCACCACTTCTCCCTCCCCTCTCCTCCCCGCTGAGACCCCCTTCCCACCCCCTCTTCTACCATCAATGCGCTGTCTGAACCCGGAAATCCACTCTCGTCTAGTCTACCTGTCGACTTGCCTACGGCACCATCCCTGGCTCTACCGGCTTGCCCCTCAACGGACCCGTTTGGGCCCCACGCCACCCCGGTGGCTTCTACAGTAGTACGTACGCAACCCTCAATATACTTACATGCCTAAGTAGTCTCATGGTCGAACATACACATATAACTTTAATCCCCAACCACACATGAGCCACGTCCGTCATGGTGCGGGTAATGACCAGGGTTGTCCCGGCGTGCCACTATGCAAGATCACCTCATGTATCAGATTTTTTTTCGGATGCAGTTCGCCACATCCTCTGCCACCTTGGGTCTCCAGCTCATGGAGCTGAGATGAGCTGGCTGGCTGGCTGGCTGGATGGTCTAGCCGGGCTGGCACGAAGTCTCAACTCACATTATCCCCCTTCGCAGGTGAGGTCCCATTCCCCAACTCACATTATCCCCCTTCGCAGGTGAGGTCCCATTCCCCGAACGGGTCATCGCGATCAGATATCCGATGAAAGGCGAGACAAAAGGTCGGGTGATGTCGCCGCCGGCAAGGCTACGACGACTCGTGCCATGTTTCAGGTTCACTAAGGGAGTACTCCGTAGTTATTCTTCAGTGATTCTATGGTTTCCATCGGATCTCGGTAGACTGTCTCGATAGAAACCCTCGAATGGCCGGCCCATGGCGATGCAGCATCCCCCATCTTCCTGCCGGACTGTCCGAATCCGTCTCTGGACATCTTCCCCCCCCCCCCTGTCGGCAACAACCACCTTGCCTCATCATCTCTACCTTGCCTAAATTATTGCACTTTGCTTTGGGCCCAGTGCGAAGTGGCCTTTCAGTACAACCTGGATGAATCGTTGCCACTCTGGCTTCGCGTTCCAGGCCCTACCGGGGGAGGGAGGCGAGAGGACAGACCAGCGATGAGGGCTGGCTAAGTGTTGCTCCCCCTTCGATCTCTGACAGACTAAGAAGCTTCAGGCATGCGCAATTGACATTGATGATGCAAGGCATCATCAGCCGTCAGTTCTCCATACAGGGTTACCGTCTATCTATCATATGTGGCCCGAGGACTCTGTAACCAGACACAAGAACGACCATCATCAGCACTCCATCTCACGGGATCCACCCTCGACCCATTCCAAATAGCCTTTCTATTATTACCACCGACCCCGTGTCAATCCGTTCAGCAGGCAGAAAAGAATCTTAAATAGAGTAAAATCGTAGGTGATCCTCGACTTTGCAGACACAGGAAAGAGCCTCCCACCTGATCGAAGCCCGAGGTCGGGGGAGCCCCGAATTAAACCTCTACTGTACTGTACTTACTTACATTGGTTAGTTAGTTACAATCGTACTCAACCTCTCAACTCGAGACTCGCACGGATCCTCGACCCTCCCTATCCTTTCTTTTTTCCCTTCGCTCTACTTTGCTTCATCTCAAATCTAAGGGATGCAAGACAAAGAAAGTCTATCAGAACTGTGAATCCCCACATAGGCAGCGGGCCGCAGGATTCGAAACATCCTCTTTCTCTCCCTCTTTTTTTTTTCTCTCTTTCTATTTTCCCTTTCCCCTCGCGACTCCGTATTTAGAGTTGAGACCATTGCCGACGGATTCGCGTTCACATACCAGATTTAGAGAATGGCATGGCATCTACGGTACCGTGCGGTGGGACTTTCGGCGCAAAGTACAGTAGTACAGTAGTACATAGTCCATAGTCCATAGTCTAAATACCCAGTACCGTAGCCAGTCTAATTGAATGTGAAGAAAAGGTGAGTGCTTTGTGTTCAGTCCCCGTTCCAATCAATCTATCCTCCGAGAAGTCCCAGCCAATCAAGCTCAAGCAAATCTATTTTAGCCCATCATGCCCTAGCCGGCGGGCAGGCATTTGTCCGGTAGGACTTCTCGGGGCTGTATGTCACTGTACAGAGAGTAATTACGGTGGCTACGCGAGTAACACAAGAGGACTCAGTCTCGGACTACATGCCATGGAGGTCTCTGTTCAGTGTACAGTACTTTTTCCTCTTACCCAGCTCTTGATTGTAGCTATGCCCCTCCCCTCGTCTTCGCATGACTGATCAAATCAACACGATGACATCCATAGGGCAAAGATCCATGACCGCATCCCGAGCTGTCTGATTGTGGTGTGCTGTCTCGGAACTCGTCGTTCGCTAGGGCATTTTATGCTGTCCGATGCTTGGGTATACTCGCGATGTTTTGTGCAGGTGTCTTTGGTTCTATGGCGCCCTTCGGAGGGTTGATGCGCAGCCCTCTGCGGCTTATGTCTGTATCTAACTCGCAGTCTCGCTGGAAAATCCGAATGTCCCAGCCAAAATGGGGGGTAATGAATTGACCTGAAGCTTAAGCGTCTTGAGCTCCAGCTTTCATTAAATTCCATGGCTGCGTGCTCTTTGCGTGCCAAACGACACATAATGCGGCTATCCGCTCTGGTCAGAGTTGGCTCAAATGGCAACAAAGGAAGTCCAGTCCCTCCTCTGCCACCTCAATCCACCATCAACTGAAACAGATTACCTCTGGCTCAATGAGTGCTGCTCTTTGACGGCTTCAATTTGAACAAGGAAAAGCATCGCTCTGTTGTGATTGTTGCTGAAATAGTCAACGGACCCCCCCCCCCCCGTCCCCCAAATCTACCAAGCAGCTTCAATCAGAAAACTGTCTGCACAATAGCCAAGTCGAACTTCTTGGTGTAAGACTGCCAAATAAAAAACTTCCAACGTGTCAGTATGTCTATACCGTTCTACTTTCACACTCTAGCAATGCGTTGTCGTTTTCACTCTATCGAACCACTTTGAACCTGACGAGGTTGAATCTTCCTGGCTTATTCTGGTATGTCTTTGATTTTTTTTCTCTCTCTCTCCAAGCTGTCTCAGGGATATCGCTTTCTTTTCAAGATGGCGGTGAAACCCGATAGTTCGGTCAGCCCGGATGAGCCCCTCAAGCATGAGAAGTCCAGTGATGACCACCCCGATGATGAGGGCTCCGATGACGAGGGCTCCGATGACGAGGGCTCAGAGTACGAGAGCTCCGATGACGAGAGAGAACTTGTCATACTTGAGCTTCCCAAGGTGAATGGTGCCGACTATGCAGATGAGGAGATCGAGGCCGAACTCACTCGGGTCTGGCATTGGAAATCTGCGAACTATGCCATCCGCCGTCCACGAATGTTCATTCCAGTCCCGAAACCCGAGATCATATCGGATTTGGATTACACGATGCTGTACCACAACTATGTGGTCGGATGAACGACCTTCCGAGTCCTGGTCAGCACCAAACCACCGCCGGCCCCGTTCGACCAGACGAACACGAACACGCTGGGATACCAAATGCTCCAGGAAAGTGAGGGCAACACGTTTTCCTTCCTGAGACGCCTGCTGCCGGAACTGTGCCAGCCATTCTTCAAGGCATATGGAGACTGGACAGGCGATGACCTCGAGAGTCATCTCCTGCGCGCCGAAGTCCACTTGCAGTTGGTGACCACCAAGGACGGACTGCCCAGGCTCATCAACCTCACTCTGCCGGGCCATCTTCCCGCCTTGATGGTTCGTCAGGGTCCGGGATATGACAACACCCCCTGGCTGGACCTAGACATCCCAGCCGGCTTTCCCCGCTACGAACTCGCGGCAGCCAGATTTCTGGAAACGATGGCCCCGAATTGGGTATACAAGGTTGAGATCAACGGCACGCCGCTCATCTACAAGAGAAGGGAAATGGCGGAAGTGGCTTACACGCGAGGCCACAATGCTTCAGGAATTGGAGGGGTGTTCCCTCCGCGCACCCAAGCTGGCTGCCTTCATAGGGTTGGAGAGCCAGTGTCCGGGAATTTTGGTATCGTTCATCCCCCACGAGACCACACTGTGGGATGTTCGGGACAACATGCAGACGACGGATCTTGCTGTGCGCCACAAGTGGTTTGACCAGATTCATGAAACTGTCATGGCGCTACACCAGAGGGGTATGACCTGGGGAGATGTCAAGCCAGACAACGTTCTGATTGACAGCAACCAGGACGCTTGGATTATAGATCTAGAGGGAGGCTTTACGAAGGGCTACGTGCCCCTAGAGCTGAAGGGAACAGTAGCAGGTGATCTTGTGGGGTTGAAGGCGATCCGCGAATTCCTGTGTTTACCGGACTGAAGGATAGATGGCTGGCTATGATTCAAAGGCTTGGAGCCCTATGATGGTGTACCTAGTGAATGCTCTGATCAGCTTGGTTGTTTGTTTCCCTCCCGAATATGACTACGTGTTTCTGTTTGCCTGGCTTCTCGCATGGCTGGTGCGCACACCGAGTTCCCATTCTTTTGCTCCCGTTTGTTCCGCTCTTTCTTGAGTTAATCGCCGGTGCTACGACGGGCGGGCTACAAATCGCTGACCTGTACTGTTCCATGACTGACTTGAGTCGGATAGTATCTCTCTAATGAGTGCCCAACAAGGTCACCAATACCCGTTTGTCTCCGCGGCGTGCAGAGTGCCGAAAATCAACAAAGCATAAGTCTTTTAGTCAACCCAGCCATCAGCCACACACGCTGCGTCATCGAAAGCTCTGGAAGCCTCTTCACAGCCGGCGTTGTTTTTAAAAGAGGGCCTGATATCTGTTGGAGTCCACCGTCATGTCATGCTACCATTCGCTTTCTCCCTATTCGAATAGCCGAGCCTGACAACTCAACCAATTCCTCACCCTTCGATCCTCAGCTGCTTTTCGGACTTACACACTCACGGGTCCATCACTCAACCAAAGACAGCAGCCCCATCCACCATGGCCCAGAACGGCACTCCCACGGCACGATGCGGCAAACATCCCTTGCGGTACGAGGAGATCCAGCGACGACGTGGCACATACATCAATGCGCAAGGATAGTTCATTGAGTATGATTACATTGAAACTCATTATGATTCGGATGGCGTCTGCGCTGTGGAAAACTGTCCCTTCCGGATGTACAATGGCAAGTGGAAATGCCATGTCTGCGGGGGAGGTCCCAACCCCGAAGGACGCTGCGAGAGGAACGTGGTCGAGAACGGCAAAAGCAGGACTTGCAACCATCAGTGCTGCCACAGGTGCCGGGCTTGGTGGTAAGCGGGCAGCCTTGGGTCATTTTGGCGTAGTGGCTTTTTTTCCGTGACTCTGGTCCTCATCATCAACCATATTAGATTGGTTTCTTTTGCGGGTGGTGTATCAGCTACAGTACGAGATTAGTTCCCGAGCCTTCAAGAGAGTGAATAGCAGCCACTCCGCACGTTGTTTGATTGAAGTGAGATTGGCTGTCTTCTTTCCTCCTCCCTCCCACTCGAAAAGCCCTGGAGTGAAATGGTTCTCTGCTGCTGTCGTAGAACGAAGGATAAAAGAAAAAGAGTGTATAGCCCGCTAACTATCGGCCCCGACAGAGCGGTTAAACCTGCCAGTATGATATTGAACTGTAGATTGCTCCTCCTCCGAGACATAATCTCCTTGCAAGAGCTCTGCTCGAGACCACGTGAAGAGGCAATTGTGTGGGTGTAGTGGATCCAACCCCTTCATTGTCCAGAGGGAGAAAGAAAAAACAAACTGACATGTCATGTTTTGGCACAGCCGCAGTGGATGTATATGTTGACCGTCACAGACTACCGGTACCACAGTTCACTTTCTTTCCCATCCCCTATTGTTCGGATCTTGATTCCGGGTCGCTCAATGGACAAGAAAAAAGACCAAACATCCAGAAGAAAGAACCTTGTGAGATAAAAGCAGATATGGACTAAATAGTCCGCATCAGTCAGGTTTACAAAATAAGTGAAGTGAAGCACGGCAACCAATACTCCTAGCACAGACACATTGTTTCCACGAACTGAGCAGACCATGAATTCGTCTGCAATGCACAATTATCTGCAAGTTGAACACTGAGCAGACCAAGGTATCGACCGACCCACCGGCTGCGAGAGCCGTGCGTCGTCGGAGGACAACACACCCTTTCCCTCCGGGCAGACGTCTCAGATGGCGTATGCCTGGATAGGTAAAAAGGCAAGTTATACGTCATATACTTATCGTCATCCGCTGCGGATCAGAGGATGGTGCATCGGCGGAGAGACAGACAGACCCATGAAGGCGTCCAACCATATACAGATGATTAAGAGTCTGGGCTGGCCAGGCAGATACGAATGCAGCTCAATGCACGCTCGATGATTCCGGTGGAGATTAAGTTTGGCACCACGGTCTTTCGGGCTGCACGAGATTGGGGACCTGGCTTGACTCTTGAGTGCACTGCAGATCGGAACTACTGAAGAAAGAAAGAGGGGGATTTTGATAGTTTCAAGTATGGACGATGAATTAATGAAATACAAAAGCAATGCACTAGCATGCAACGAAGCAGCGTAAAACAGCAAAGGAACGTCTATAACACACGTCGAGACCGCTCACTGGGGCGAATGCCCGGTGGCCACAATCCAGCCCAGCATCGAATGCGGGCGGCCAAAGGGCGAACCGTCCACAAGCCCGTGGCCGCGTCTCCATATTAAGCAAGATAAACACAAGGATTAACCATCATTTCTTCGAAGGCAAGCACTGCTGCGCAAATGTTGCTCAACCCAATATTCAAATTATTATCATAAGAACAGCAGAGTACTGGGAATAACGACCAATTGCTCATTAAGCAACTTTACACACAACGACCATCATATGGGTTTAACAAAAGCGGCACACTCAAACAATCACTATCGGGGGTCCTTTACAGGAGGTACTGGACGAAAGCACCGAAGATGGCAGCGGCACCCATGGCGGGGACGCTGACAATGTTCATGACAGAGGCGCTGTCGCTGGAGGTGGAGGAAGCGGAGCTGGTGCTGCTGGTGGAAGTGGTGGTGCCGGAAGAGCCGTCCTTGGTCGTGGGGTTAGAGGTCTGGGTGCACTTGTAGGTACCACGGATGACGTTGTTGCTGTGCATCTTCTCGAAGGTGGTGCAGCTCAGGTTACCGGTGCTCTGGACGTTGAAACCACCCTTGACCTCCTCGAGGGCGGGGAGAGAGACACTAGAGCAAGTCAGTCGATGCACGTAGAGTCAGTGCAAATGTAGGCAACTTACGAGTTGAATTCACCGCTGAAGTCAATGGCACCAGTAACAGTCTCAAGGTCGGGGAAAGCGATCTCCTTGAGCTTGTCGTTGCGGGCAATCTGGAAACCACCGTTGACGGTCTTGAGGACGGGCATGCTGATGTTGGCAAGGTCGGTGTTGTCGTCAAAGACGAGATCACCAGTGCTGGTGAGGTTGGCAGCGCTGAAGTTGGAGAAAGTGTTGCCCCAGAAGCCGAGCTGTCCGCTCAGCTCCTTGAGGGAGGGGATGGAGACAGCGCTGACGTTGCGGAAGGTCATGTTGGTACCACCGGCAAGGTTGGGGAGGATAATCTGGAGAGAGTCCAGGTTACCAGCGAAGTTGATCAGACCAGTGGCGTTGGTCAGGTCGTTGACGTTGACGGTCTTCAGGTTGGTGTTCTCGGTGATGTCGAAAGTGCCGACGCTCTTGAGAGAGATACCATCCAAGCTGGTCAGACCGGTGTTGGTGATCTCGACATCGCCAGCCTCGGAGACACCCTTGGTAAAGTCGAGAGACTGGAGCTCAGGAAGGGCGGTCCAGGAGATGGCACCGACGCTGCTCAGGTTGGTCAAGCTGAGGGTGGTCAGGGTGGTTAGACCGTTCAGCTTGAAGGTGTCACCGATCGTGGCAAGGCTGGTGGAGGTGAGCGAGGTGAGGTTGCTGGCGCCATCGCTAGAGAGTCCACCGGTGATCTCGTAGGGACCGTTGATGCTCAGGTCACCAGAGAAGCTCTCGCTGATCTCAACGTCACCGGTGAGCTTCGTGCAAGTGGCGTAGCTGTCGGCATCGCTCTGGCTGGAGATCGTGATGGTGCTGCCGCTGCTACCACAGCCTGATTTCGTGGTCAGTAAGAATTGCAACTGTCATCTCGGCAACCCAGGAAGAGATTCACTCACTAGCAGCGAGGGCGACCTGGGCCGCAGCGATGGCGGGAATAGCGTATTTGATGATGGCCATTGTTTCGAGTTGAGTTTAGACTGTTCGAATCCAGAACTTGACGTTAGCCTTGGAAGAATCGCGATGGGGGAGATTTTAGAAGCCTGTCTTCCAAGACTGGCTGCAAGATTCTGACATGCAGTATCGGGCTCACTCGACAGCCGATGCGGGAGCAAGCCGATCTATTTGAGCGATGCAGGAAGAGAGTGGGACAATGAAAACAAACATGGAAACCTACCAATGACTGGAGAGTGGATTTTTGTGAAGTCTGGGCAAGGCGTGGCCCTTTGTAGTCAAGTCAAGCGTAAGAGCTGGAAAGGGGTGGAAGCGAAACAATAAATAAACGAATGGAAGAAGGGAGCTTCAACGAAGGAGAAGCTTTTTTTCAGGTTTTGTTTTAACGATTGCCTTCAAGGGAAGGAAAGAATCGGTTTGTTTGGTGCGGCGGATTAGGCAGGCACTTTCTGATATGGAAGAGAGAAGAGAAGGGAAGAAGAGAAGGGAAGAGAAAGAAGCGAGCGAGTGGGAGGAGGGCGAGGAGGAGAAGAAAGAAAGACTGGGACTGGGATAACAAGAAGGAAAAACCACCAAGAAAGTGGGAAGGAAGACTTTCAGGGAGGACGAGAAAGGAGTCGTGGCCCCGAGGTTTAGTTTAGTCTAGTTTAGGTGTGGACCTGAGACCGGGGGAATTGAAGAGTGAATCTCCTTGCGACGTTACCGGATTGTGTATGAGCACACCAAAAACCATACAATACAATGTAACTTACAGAGATCCCGGAAGTAATTGTACCTTCTAGAGGTACAATTTACTTAGTACCTGAATGAATCTGGCTCGGCTGGGCCAATCATTTTCCTTTCGAGTGTGTCCATGGTAACGAAAGTACCGGGAAGGCGGCGGGAAAGAATAATAAACCGGCCACCAGCATGATCCAACCCACAGGAATCCGGTTCTTCTGAATTTCTGACCGGAAACCAGTCCATCCTGGGACTTCTTAGACTGCTCCATCTTGTAACACTTCACCAATGATCATGCCTGACAATCCTTTCTGATTCGCTCAGCAGCCCCTTCCCCTCCCCCCNCNCNCNCNCNCNCNCNCNCNCACACACTACTACTACTACTACT